CTGTCAAAATTTTTTCTTATACATATTTTTTCATAAAACAAATTGACTTTTTCTATGCGATCCATTAAAATATGCGAGAATTGGTTGAATGCTGCATTGGAAAATTTCAGTTCGCCATGTTAGCAAGATCTTTGAAGGATCTATTGAATATTTTAATTGATTTTGATATCAAGGAAAAATGCCCTGGATATGTTTTGGATATGCTGTAGGTATTATGTTGTAGGTATGTTGTGGTTATGGTAGGTCATCTTTTTCTATGATTACGCGATATTTGTTCCAACGTTTACGTTATAATAGAAAACGTGGAAAGACAAGTTTATATTCGTATTATTATACAATTCATAAGATAATTATAAATCAACAAGATATAGAATCATTTAAAAAATACTTACAGAACTTGTCGCTTGTTAATTCTACTCAGTAATTTACATTATCACTTTTTTATGAACTGTTTCAATCTCTTGGACATAAAATCGACAAAATATTGAAATAACAATAATAAATATCAATAATAATAGCGCTTATAAATATCTTCCTGTTATGTGTTATGTTTTCTGTCAAGTATAATCAGTACATAATATGATTTGAATATAGTACTGTGCGCTTTAAAGATAGCTGAAATAACATAAATGAATAAATAATAATAAGAAGAAAAATAATAATAATAATAATAATAAAAACGTAGTAGAACTTGTGGCAAGTTGTAGGTGATTGGCAATATCTCGGACTTGAGCATTCCTGAGAATCTATAAAGGTCCTCGCCTCTGGCTTACCTTAGCCGGCCGGCCAGAGTGAAGTCGCAAAAGCTATATGCTCGAAGGATGAAAGTGTTAAAGGCATAAAGCCGGAAGTAACGCTTAGTGAAATTGCAGCACACCTTTCTACACTTTCAGCTACTCACGTCGATGTCTCTTACCTATCATTATACAATGACCTTTTGGGGGGTCCATTTAGTGAGTCATCTGCCAAATTTGTATGGATTTTGATATTATAAATAGCAGATTTCCGAAATCTTAAATCAATACCCAAACATAACATCACAATAGTCTAGACATTTATTTTATTCATATATTCATATATATGTAATGTTTCTATTTGATTTGCAATTTCACAAATACCTTAAAGAATCGAGTATTTTGGCACCTAAAAAAATATAATAATAATAATGATAATAATAATAATAATAATAATAATAATAATAATAATAATAATAATAATAATAATAATAATAATAATAATAATAATAATAATAATAATAATAATAATAATAATAATAATAATAATAATAATAATAATAATAATAATAATAATAATAATAATAATAATAATAATAATAATAATAATAATAATAATAATAATAATAATAATAATTAATAATTAATAATATGTGGGAGATATGGAGTGAATCGTAACACTTTCATGTGAGAAAATATAATTGCTATTCGTTAATATTATTATTATGTAAATGTATGAGACCTTATATTATTATATAATATTATTATTATGTAAATAGACACTTTATATTAAAATCGTATCATAACAAACGATCAAACGTCGCTTTGTTGTAAATGTCGTTTTTTGTTATTGTCGATGAAGACTGTTTGTAAAAATTTGTAGGCAGAAAACATCTGTTCTATCTATTGTTCTTTCGCGTTTCTTTTAAGGCCATTCTTTCTATTTAATAACACAAAGAGATTTGGAATCTTGGCAAATCACGCATTCTCTTGATTCATTGTCGGATCTTTGTTATTTTTTCTTATTTCTTTGATTCCGTAGCATCAGGAGCATCAACAAACTCTTCTAATCCCTAACTATTTTTACGTTTTTCAGATTCGTGATGAATTTGACCGTCTCGAACCTGCTAATCTGTGCGCTACTGAATCCTCTCTTAATCATGGATGCCTCACCAACAACTAAATCCGACTCGTCACCGTTATCAGCGGAAAATATCTGCGCGATATCAGAAGGTGCGACGGCCCTCATGACAACTTCCTCGGTGTTATCGGTCTTCCTTATAGCCATAGACCAATACTTCGCCGTGGTGGATCCTTTGAGATATCGCGCAAAGGTCGACAAACTGAAATCTGGGATCTTAATAATCTCAGTTTGGCTCATTTCCTCGATATTTGCCCTTTTGGCCTTCTTAAATCCAAATCCTCGCAGCCTTTGGCTATCTTGTAATCTACAGTCTATATCAGCTACTTATCTATCTCGAAACTCGTCCATAAATTTACAGAGCAATTCGAGCTTTGGCATCATCAAAAATAAGACTGTCGATATAGAAACAAAATGGATCGAATTCGTCGAGAATGCTCCAAACGAAAATTCGATGACCTATGGTACGATTTACACGATGGTGCACAGTTTATTCGCCTACCTCTTACCGTTTGCCTGTGTCTGTTGGATATACGTAAAAATCTATTCTGCGGCGCATAGGAATTCGGAAAGAACAAGAAGAACTGGTTCCAGACCAATACTTTCGTCGGCAAGTTTTTGCGAGGATCAAAAATCGCAGCAACAACAGAACCAACAAGTAGACAGTTTCGTGGAGGACTGTAGAAGAATACCTAAAATTTCGAGTCTCTCGTCGATTGATGAAACCAGCGAGACGACTCAACCGGCAGGAAGCCAAGTACTTCGCGGACGTTCTTTTTCGTCAGCTTTAGAAATTCATTTGACTAATCTTCCTTCCACCAACGAGGTTTCTTCGTCTACCACTGTTGTATTTACCGTAGGACCCGATACTGACGAGTGCTCGTCGTATCATGAGGAAAATGAAAAAAACGAATCCAACAAATCAGATCTTCCTATCTCGACGAGGAAGTCTGACTTTATGGAGAAGGACGAAATAACTATCCAGCTGTTTCCGGATCCTACCAAGTATGATCTCGTTAAGAATCGGTTTCTGGATCGATCTGATCATAGAAGGAAATTGTCACATAATCTTATGTACGATCAGATGTTGGTGCAAGAAAGTACGAGAGATTCTTGGATCAATGATGACGCTGTAGCTAATGTAAGAAATTCGGATACGGAAGAAGATATTCCTTCTGAACGTTTTCGCCCCACAATCGAAGACGATGTGTGTCGTCAACAAAAACCCATATATCTTTCACCATATTCGGCCTACGAAACCTTAAATCGTAATGAAGAAAAGGATGGCATAGAAGTAGATGGTATATATACTACTCAAAGTTTGAGATTTAATGACACTTTCGTTCGAACCAAAGATCGTGGAAATGTCGAGGAGTCTAATAAAAACGAATTCGAACGGTCAAAAAATAAAAAACATTACGATGGATTAACCTCAGATTTTGAAATAACCGAGGTAATTGTCGATAACTGCGATGTCTTCAATGTAGAAAATACTGGAAAATCCACGGAAATAGTGTTGAACGGTGCTAACTCTGAAACATCGGCTTGCCTCTTGACACCTATTGTAACGATCACGCCAGCTCCTAATAAAAGCACCTTGCATCGAGTTGCCAGTGTCAGAAGTACTTCTAGTTACATAAATTCTCTTAAGTACAGGATCAGTAATGGTTCGTTATTCAGATATCGAGAGGAGACTAGAGCTGCTAGGATAAGCGCTTTAGTCATTGTGATGGGCTTGATCTGTTGGTCCCCATATGAGATACTATTGCTTCTGAAGAATTTTCCGCCTTATAACGATCGACGAATCGCTCACGAGTATGATGTGATGGCACTGTGTTTTCTTGTTCTGGCTGCTTATGTGAGTCCGTTGCTTTTCGGGTATCGTTCGAAAAGAGTTAAAAGAGAGCTGAGGAAGTTCTTTTGTTTCAAAAAAGAGCTATCCTACAAAAATAACAGAAGCCTTATGGCGAAAAAGGTTTTAAAGAGACGTCATAGTAATACGTTCAGCCAAATGGAGCAGGAGAATCGCTACAATATCTTCAATTGTGTCTATGGTAGAAATCGTTGGCCTAAGGAAAAAGTGCAATTCGTTCAGGTGTCAGATACCGCTTTAGCGGTGGAAACCTGCAGAAGTAGCTTTTCAAGTGGTGCGAGTACACAAATTTCGAGCACATCCACGGACGATTGTTGATAAGACGTTATTGTAGATTAATTCGGTCATTCAATCTACAATGTTCCTTGGGAAACTCGCTAATGAATTAATTTTCGTGCAATCGATGAATTTCAATTTTCTTTTTAAATATACAAAGGACTGTCGAAGAAAGTCGAGGAAATATACGAATCGTCGTCAAATGCATTGGAGGTAGCTTATAATTCATAAGAGGTAACTTTGTTTTCGAACGTTTATACAAAATGAGTCATTCAAATTGAAATTCTCAATATTTGCCTTATTTATAAATATACAAAAAAGAATATAAGGAAAAATAGAGATTATTTTTTCTTATCGTTATACTTGTTGCTCAAGAAACAACAAATATATTGTGGAGATTCAATTTAAATGACATATTTTATATATGTGTGTATATATTTACTCATTCTATGGATGTATTTATTATTCATTTTTATATCCATCCTCTTCCATATATCTCAAACTAAAATTTAATATAATAAGTAAAAGTGGATGATCATATGACTTATGGTATATTTGTATGTATGCGGTCTATCTAATGAATACGTTGGTATGTATGATGTATTCATCTTTGTCAAAACGATAAGAGAAGATAAGACGAAAAAAATGTTCAAATCGAAAGTATTCCGCGTAACGACAACAGTCTTACCGCTAGTATTACAATCTTTTTCTAGAGATAGCTGTAATCATGATTGTAATTGTACTTTAGAATGAGCATGGCTTCTTTCTTTACACTTTACGCTTATCCGCGAATGTTCATATCGACATTTATGCGATTTACTCTCTAATATATTTTATTATAACTATTTAATATTATAGATACATATGTTCTATGTTCATCTTTCAGTATACTTCTTTTAACTAGTTATATACATCTGCAAGCATATATTCATCCACGAGAAAATATGAGAAGATATTTTTTACAAAAATATGCATGTTCGCGTACCTCCGCTCAGTTTTATTATGTAAATATGTATGTACACAATCAGCATTTCATGACAAATTACGAATTTATGCCTTGGTTTAATGGGTCGAGGACTTAAACTATATTATGAATATATTATTATTTTGTACATTACAAGTATAGCTCTTTTATTTATATTAAATAATCGCTGTAAATAATATTACGATCAAATTCGCAACTACTTCGTTTCAATCTTAATCGTTTCGGTAATTTAGTAACACATTATATAATAGTTTGTTGATTATTGAGATCATTGTCTCTTTAATTTTTTAAGATGTAATTCCATTAATTGCGTACTTCGTTAATCTTTACTTCATATCTTTTTGTTTTTATATGGCCCGAAATTCGATTTTCGGACGTTGTCGTCATCATCTTAACAATGTGATAATAAAATAACAATAATAATAATGATAATATATCGAAAATCTATTGACGTTCGATGTGAAACTAATTTATGTGACGTTGTCAATAAAAAAAAAGAAAAGAGCTACAATGATTTTTTTACGCGCTACATTCAAAGCGAGGTTCGTTCATTCTTCAAAGAAATACTTCCCTTTATTTTTTCATTCTATACATCACGGTTTGATTTATCCTAAAGCACAAGTCTTTGTTTAATTATAGTATCGGTATCAGTTTTGTTCTTGATGTTAAAAGTACCGCCTTGACTTTGAAGTTTTTGGAGATTACATAATTACGTACGTGACGTACTTTGACACGCGTATAATTTAATTTCTTCAAAAATAAATGCAAGAGTAATTACTAATAGTTCTTTGTTTTCCTTTAAATGAGATGCTTATTCTTAATACTTATCTTGCCGTTAATTTACCATGATCATAATTGCGAGTTCTCATAGTATGGCGGTCGAATGGATAATCGAGGAAGTTCCATTGTCGAAGAAACGTGTTGGTCTTCATCGTTGACGAATGTGCAATTGTCGTATCTAGTTTGATCTTCGATGTTCTTCATTTGTTTTACCGGTCCATCCATTAGAAACATCGTCAGAAGAAACATGATTGAACCTGATAAATAAGATACACATTAGATAAGAGTCGGTAATAATTTTCTTCTTTTTTCTTTGCATTTTTGTTTGTATCGAAATCTCATAAATCGTACATACTTATGCCGTAGAAACCAGCGTAGAAAATGTAGAGGGATTCCCGAAAGCCGATAGCTATCCTGGTTGGTTCAACGAGTATCGGTAAATTACCACCAATATTGTTCATTACGAACAGAAAAACGCCTATAGTCGTAGATCTTAAGTTCAACGGAACGATCTCTACTACTATTGCAAAAACGATACCGAACCACATCTCCGCTGAAATAAACATTAATCTTTAAATGTACTGTAATTTAATATTCTCAAAAGTCGACGAGTGATAGAAATAGAGCAAAATACGATTAATAATTTGAGGAAAGATAAGAAAATGATTTTACCAAAGAAATATGAAAACCCGAGGGATAACATAGCCCAACGTGGTTCGAAGTAGACTGATCCAAAAGCTGGCGGTGTCGCTATTAGCTGGCTGATGGCCAAAACTGCCACACGTGATCTGATTCCCATTTTCGCGACAAATTTATCACTGACCACACCTCCAACGACGACGCCGATGCTGCCGATGACAATGGTCACCGCAAAGAGCCACCAGCCGAGATCGTGATCCGGAAAATAGTCGCGATAATAAAGATCGCAATTGTATGCAAAACACATGCCACCTGGAAAAAGAAAACTCCTTTTTATTACCATTTTGTTTTCAAAATATTTCGTAAGACATAAAATCGTATTTGAAAGAATAAAAAAGAAGACTCATGGATTCGATGAAATTTAATTATTACTCTTTACCGCAATGTCTGATGCTGGCAGCGAGACAAAGGAGTATTATTCGTGGCTGTAATATCACTTTCCAAATCGAGATCTTTTTTTCTTTAGTCTTATCGTTTTCTTCGCCAATGGTCTTCCTTTCCGGTTCAGTTAAAGTCAGACCGGTAAGAATTGCGATAATGATGCCGACTATTCCAGCTCCATAGTAACAGACTCTCCATCCCTAAAAAGTTTGTGATAAGTAATTAAATATTATACATTATGCTTGGTTTATTTCATCTTTTAACTAAACATACGCGTCTATATCTATGTACATAAGCACTTACTAGATCCCAAGCATTTAAAGCTGGAACGTATCGGCCAACCGGAAAGGCAATGCCATAGCCGCCATAAATACCCCAATTGAAAATGGACATGACGAGACCACGCTGTTCCTCAGGAAACCAATCGGAAATAAGACCGGTTGCTAGTGGATTGCATCCTGCCTCGCTGTTTATTTAGTCATTAAAATACAAATAATCTATCTATGTATTTGACTTCTATGAGACGCTTAACGAACACGAATTATAAATACGAATTTAAATTCTCAAGTAACGCCTGGCAAGATGATAACTACTAAATGTTATGAATACGCGGTGCAATGTCGAGAGGGCTTATTTCAAATGATAAAACGATTTTACAACTCAACGTGAATTTAATTTGTTTTTGAATCTTAAAGTATCATGGGAACGCGATTAGACAAATTTATAGATCAATGATGTGAAGTGAGATCTTATAAATAAATAGGTAAAACTTACCCAGCAGCAAGAACCATCCGAAGGACAACGAGATGCCAATATTCTTTCACTGCTCCCATTAAAACGATCGCCAAACTAAATATCAGCGTGCATATTGCTAAGAGTCGGACCCTGACAATGAATCCAATTGTCTTTATTTGCTTTTATAATTTATAATTTGATTGCTTTTATAATTTATTTACAGAGAGAAAAAGAGTTTTTAATTTTATGACTGAAACAAAGTATTTACCTATTGAATCGATCGGCAGCGATGCCTAAAATGACTCCAACTATTGTAAAGACGGCAATGAAACTTGGCCCTGCTAAGATTTGGTAGTCTAAGCCGAGACCGCTGTAGTTCCATTCGCAATAAGAGGAGCCATTCAGTTCTAAAGATTGACAGCTGCGAAACGAAATTTACTGAAATATATACCCCTAATTTTGTTTAAAGCTCAGCTGAGTAACTTAGATTACGAATAATAATAATAATAATGATAATAATAAATGAATATTATAAATATCTTTGTAATATAATCTATATAATTATATAATTTATAATATAATGTAAAATTGAGTTTAACAAAAAAACACATTAAAAATCAAATATAAAAATTGAATAGAAAAAGTTGTAAAAACTGAACTTTCCATACGAAACAAAACAAAAGTGATTAATGCATATAATATATCTATATTTAATTACTTATTTGGCATTATAAAATGGAGATGTATAAACTAAATATCACAGCAACATTACTACATTTCAACCACTATAATATAATCGACAAATTTATAAATAACAATATAAATGAAGAAAGATATAAAATAAAATGGCAAACATATATATCAAATCATAAAGGAATACATAAACACAAAGGCATCTAATACATAGTTAAAGAAAGAAAACATATTTGCTGAAAAGGATAGATTTATGATATCAATACAAGATAATACACACCAGAAATTACTCTAAATACATTATAAAAGACTACAAAATTCAAACAGATAAATGGAGGAAATATAACGAACAGCCAGAAATTATAGACCTTATGATAGGAGTATACCTGACAATAAACTATACAATTAAACACAACAACGTAGCCAAATATATACATCATGAGCTAGTACTTAAACACAAACTTATAAAGACACAATCCAATATACAAATACACACCTTTATACATACTACAAATGTAATATACAAGACTATATTGGAACTGAGATATAATCACCGATAAAACAATAAAATGTAATTGGCCAGATATCACAATCATACACAAAAGACAAATTCATAGAAATATCTAGAGCAAATTCATAAAATTTAGAAAAGTAGTACACAAAAAAAAGACGAAAGTACAAAAAAATACAGAAATACATATCACTAGCAGAAGAAATCAAGAAATAATGGAAAGTATAAAAAGTTACAATAGTACTAATCATTCTTAACCAGTGGAATTATATCAAAATCATTGCATAAGAAGCTAATAGATATACATCCGTATATATACATGGTAATACAAAAATTAGTAATTTTAACATCTACTCACTTTGATTTGAAAATTTTTCATTGACACTACCCCCATAATAATAACTAAGAAGTGTAGCTTGACTAAAAAAGTTCACTATATATTTTTTAAAAACTAAGCTGAATTTCATGAAAAAACAAAATAATAAAAATGGCAAATTAGAATAGAAAATAAAATCAAAAAATTAAGGCACATTAAACAAATCACATGGCAAAATAAACAAACAACATCAAAAATATTAGATACATATAAACAATAATTAGCAGTCTATTTAATACACTTCAAAAGATATAAACAATCCAGTAACAGAAAGAATAAAAACATGTTCTTTTAAACAAATGAAAAATGATACTACAAGAAACTAATCAATACATAAGAAAGGACAATAATATCACTCTCCAAAAAATAAATTACAGAATTTTGGGAAAATACATGGAACATAGAATACAACACAATGGATCCCAACCCGTTCAATGAATCCTACCAAAAAAGGAAAATGTCAAAAACATGAAAGAACGAGAGGAATATTTCATCACAGAAGAACTTTATAGAACAATAAAAAATACAGATAATTGGAAATCGTCCAAAACAGATTTTATACAAAATTACTGGTACAAACAATGTATATTTACACATAAATATCTCACCGTCTGTATAAATAAAATAATAAAAGTGCAAAAAAAATGTTCAGAAGGAATAGTATACATCAAGTCAAAAAATAAACACATAAGATGTGGCTAATTATAGACCGATTACATGACTGTCTATCTATTTTGTAAGAAATAATATATTTATAGAAGAGCAGAAAGAATGCAAAAAACATAGACAAGGACGTAAAGCATAATTAATAATAACATTATAATAAACTAAATGACAAAAGAACTGAAAAACTTCCACGTTCCATACATTGATGATAAAAAAGCATTTGACATAATTCCACACAATTGATTCATAAAAACATTATAAATTTATAAAATATACTGAATCATTCGTAAATTTCTTGCCACTATTATGAACACATGGTTAAAACAATCATACATTTAAAAACTGAAAAAGAAAATATGTAAATAGAAAAAATTAAAATTAATAAAGGAATCTTCTAAGGAAATTCATTGAGCACACTATGGTTTTACATAAGTGTCAACCTTGTATCGAAATTACTAAATAAAACTACATACGCATTCAATATCAAAGATAAAGCAATCATAAAATAAATCATTTGTTGTACATAGACAAAAATCTATGCAAATGCAAAAACACAATTAAACAAAATTGCTGAAGATAACAAAAACAATTAGTAAAGATATAAAAATAGAATTTAAAATTAATAAATGCGAAGTAGTATATATAAAAAGATGAAAATGGCAAGAAGAAAGAAAAATAGAAACATTAAACAGTGAAATAGTAAAGAAAATGAAAGAAAATGAAAGAAAATGAAAGAAAATGAAAGAATATGAAATATATAAATACCTAAGATTTCAACAAAACTAAATTATACACAGATCAAAGAATGACTGAAAAATACATATAAAAACTGCCTAAAACTTCTAATAAAATCAAAACTACACTTTAAAAATCTATTTAAAGCTATAAAAAATATTGAAGCTATAAAGAGTTAGTATTTGTAATACTAATTCTGACATATTTATTCGGCATCATTAAATAGTCAGAAACTAATACTACAGAACTCAGAAACAATAACCAAAGCAGAATTAATAAAACACAGAAAACCTTCCGTATGCATGCAAGGGAAGAACCATATTAAACATAAATATACCCGAATTATATATAAATCAAATAAAAATGTTAAGAAAATACTTTCATAGCAAACAGATCTAACTGCATAAGGAAATAAGCAGTGCAGATAAAAATTACAAACCCTTAAATTTAGTAAAAATTGCAATACCGTAACTGATACACAAACAGCCGAAGACAAACTAAAAATGAAGAAAGATAATTGGACCAATAAGGCTTTATTATGGTAATACAAAAGTAAATAATAGCTATCTTGAACTATAGAAACGCATCATTAAAAATAAAACAATAGTAAATGATCGATGCAGAAAATACTACATATTTACGAAACAATGAATACAGGAGGATATAAACTACTGGTAGGAATAAAATATATCGAGAGACACAATAATGCTGCAAAAATAATACATTAAGCAATAGAAAACAAATGTAAACTATATAAGGATAATGTACCAGACAACAAATATACATTCAATATAGTATTTAAAAGCAAAGAATACAAATTATTCTGAGATATAACAATACAATAAAGATAAAATTATATCATACAATAGATCAAATATAATTTTAAAGACGAAATATAGAAGATTACATACATCATAGACATAACTATTCCGTTAGAAAGCATCAAAATATGAAAAATATATATATAAATACTATTGTATATACACCGCTAGCAAAAGACATAAAATACGGAAATAAAAACAAATTTCATATTATTATTCATAATTTCAACCATAGGTACAACAACCAGATTATTTATACAACACCTAAGATAGTTTCGGCTAAACTCGGACATACATGGATATATTCAAAAACTTATCCTAAAAATATGTAGCATAATTATACTCACACACAATTTTGAGTAACAGTAATATTAAACACGGTCGAATATGTTAGAAAGATATAAAAAAACGTAGGGATAGACAAAAACATAATGTAACTTGCCAAAACAATCAAAAATAGTTTTATAATAGCTTATCAATAATAATATTAACATAATAGAGATATCCTCAATAAATGAAATAAAAAAATATTGATTCAATATTTGGTTGAAAGAAGAAAAACGCAATAAAAAAACCACAATGATACAGCACGAAATAAAGAATATGTGAATATGTAAACAACACAAACAAATAAGATAAATAAAACAGAAGCAATAAAAAATACACAAATAGAAAATACCATTAATAAACAAGATACAAAACTGCTAGTACAAAGATTTCTTTGCCACATATGAAAATTTAACACAACTATTTAATTAATGCCTAAAACTATTAAATATGCAAGACACGTCAAGCTTCCTTACATTAGGACTAACGTTCCTAAAATAAAAAAAAACCAGCAAACTACCAACCAATAACCTATCTTCCTAGAATGTACAAAATACTAACTGCAGTAATAACTAACAAAATGGAAAGTATTTAACACAAAATTATATTATTGCAGAAAAACAAAAAGAATATAGAAAATCAAGCAAGAGATGTAAGGAACAGCTAATTATTATAAGACCAAATAATAGTTAATCTCGCAAAAATAAAAGAATTATTAAAAGGCATTTGATAGCGTATTACACACATGGTAAATACAAATTTTTAAATATACAGAATAAATGTATAGTAATCCATGTATTGTCAACAATTATCAAATCAACATTGAGCATTCAAACGGAAAAGAACAATATACAAAACAACAAAATTCAAATCAAAAGAGGAATTTTTCAAGACTTTTTAAGAAATCTTTTTTTCTTAATCCAGTTAATCTATTACCATATCTCTTAAACAGTAATAAATATGAATTTAAAATTATACAAACAAACAACTATTAGAAAAATTTAAATCATCTATTCTACATGAATGGCATCAAATTATATTCAAGTATTAATTAACAATTACCATAATAATTTATATTCGATTTTTTCGTGGATTCGAAATTTGTATAGATTTTTAGTACAGATAATAAAATGACAATCGGACTTAATAAATGCAAAACATATTCAATAATATGAAGCCGGTACAAAAACATGAAGGATATAATGAAATAAAAGCATTAAACAACGAAAAAACATTAAAATATATTGAAATACATCAAACACTAATAATCAGCCAAAATCAAATAACAATAGACATAAAATAAATTTAAGAAAAAATTAAAACAAATTTACAAAAAACAATTTATTGTTATAAACATTGTAAAAGTAGTAAATATATATGCAATACTACTACTTACATATTCTTTTAAAATAATCAAATGGACAGATACAGAATTCGTCGCATTAAACTGACTAATCAGAACCACTGTAACAAAATACCAATTATACTATAAAAAGTTAACATTAGAAATATTGATACTATCAAGATAACAAGAGGAAGAAGCTACGTAGATATAATAACATCGCACTATCAACAAATAAGTAATCTAAGAAAATATTTCTATAACGGACAAAATAGCTCACTACACTAGTCCATCATCAAAATAGATCATGCGCTAATATCATTAAAATTACACAATCATTAATATAAACCAGAAGAAAACATAATTATAAATACCAACAAAATACAATTATGGAAGTAAAAAGCATTGCTTGGAGAACACATAAAATAATTAAAACAAGAACACATAAATATAAATGTCTTAAATCAATGGCTAATATAGGAACAAATATTTGTAGAGATAGCAAGGGCTTACGATCGCCATCCACGTCAGAATGATTAAATCAAAAAAGAAAACGTATATTTCGAGACAATATAATAATGAATGACAGATGCAAATGATGTCATATAGTACTAGAAACAATAAAGCATATCGCCAGTGGATGTCCAACATTTACAACCAATAAATACACAATCGAACATGACAATATTTGCAAACAGGTGCACATATCATAAGTATAGTAACACAGATTAGCGAACAACATTATCTAAGTTATATCATTTCGAAAAGCATCATCAGTGCCACGTATGCATTAGGTTTTGAAAGTACATTTCTTTGTAAATCTTAAGGGACTATATCTACTTAGAAATTGTTTTTGTATTTTCTAAAGTTTTAAAATGTCAAGAATATATCTTGAAAATTACACATTGATATTTATAAAATTGACAAAATTATAGAATTCTGAGCATTCGAACGTATAAACATTCGGCGTTGCGCGCACAAAAAACCCGCTTTAGTGATATTTTGTAAAAATATGTGATATACGCGAATGGTTCCGAATGTCCAGAACAATAGTGCATTGATTATGAAATATTACTGCAAATATTATTATATGCATTTTCAACAAAATGTCACTGCATATTTGCTGCTGATGCATTCATTGAATACTTAAATTACATTGCATATTGCGAGTATCAAGATCAAGAGCGCATCGATTCAGTTAAAATTCGAACTCAGGATGCGACGTACAAAAAAATAATTTCTCATAGACATCAACGATCCTCTTTCCATGAAGTTGTAATTATTACTGAGGGTCTATATGGTCTCGGAATTGATAACTAGATATATAGTTAAAAATCTTCATTTAAAAGTAATACTACTATACTTAAAACATTGTTTTTGAAGTCGATAAATATGGAAAACCCCTTGATAGAACACCTTTTCAAATTTACACAAAATATGCTCAAAAATATTTAAAAGTCGTTGATGATTTTACTTTCTTAAATCAATTTTTCATATTTGAGTTTCAATTTGTCACCATTTTGTAAAAACAAATCGATTTTAAAAATTAATTTAAAAATCGTCTTTCGTGTTAATTTGAATAAACCGTTTTAGTTTTTGATTTTAAATGGACCATTTCAGCTTGAATGCCAAACATCTCCAAAAAATTTTCTCTTTTGTCAACGACCATATTTAATGTTTCGATATTTCTAGATGATTTTTTTAAGACTCTCAATACATGTATCTTTGAATAAAAAAATTATAATCGCTGGATTATAATCCCCTTGAAAATATCTAGGCATGTATTGTATAAAGCAGAGACTTCGTGAGAGATAAATATTCATCGTAACATAATAAATATGATAGATTCATTACATTTGGAAATTCTTATTGTATGAGTACACTGTTACAAAGTATATCTCAAAGATGCCTTTGTTGATTATTAATACTATTAGTTACTAAACTTATTATCGATTAGTTGAATTTTAATTCCAAGTACATTTTAAAATTTAATATAAATTTGTCTATGAATTAAGCTAAACACGTTTTAATTGAACAGATTGTATGCGTGTTCATTATAAACCACCAACATAATCAATAAACAGGTATAAGTTGAGCAAATTACGTGACCAATAATTTCATTTATGTATTTGTTGAATCTTTAATTTATACTTTTAATACAACCAAAAATTATAAATGTTTATGATATATTTTATATGTATATTTTTTTAAAATATATATATAACTTGATTTTTTCTTATATGAAAGTGTTAAAACTGATATAGGCAAATTCAAAATATCCTAAATTTTTCTTGTTATAATTACTGTGAACAAAAATATTATTAATATTTCAAGATATATCGATGCAACAAATCTACTTACAGCATTGTTTCTTAAAGATATTCAATTGTTCTTGATTTTATATCATAATAACATTTTTGATTTTGTCAAGTCAAAAATGCAACAAGTTTATAGTTCTCGATTTTATAATGCATCTTGGAAGATGAAAAAAGCAAGGAAGAAAATGTTGCATATTCAGATATTTGTATGACATACAATGTATAAAAATAATATTATAATATTTTTTAAAGAAATCTATTAGAATTTTAATTTATGTTATAGATACAAAAGTACATTATTATTAGGATATAAAATCAAGAAGGATTGAATATTTTTAATACTTATCTTCTTAAGTAAATCTTCAGTAACGAAAAATTTTAGATATTTTTATTCACAGTGATCACAATAGAAGAAATTAAAAACGTTTTGACTTTATCTTGATCTGCTTTAAAACTTATACAAAACGAAAAAAATCAATCTTTGTGTACAAATTTTTACTATCACTATATATCAATTTCTTCGAATCATATTCCTCCTTGGGAAATTTTTTTCTGTCATCAGAAATAAACAAAACATTCACGCTTTCAGCTTTAGATGACTCATACGCAATGTCGTTATAAATGTATGTTTAGTTATATATGATTATAAGGTTAGATATAAATAGAGTTATATATATACATACATATTTGTGATAATTGCTCTATAAATTTTTTGTAAATCTCACTTACTAAGTCTCGTTCTGTGCCTGTTCGCATCTAATCGGGAGTTCGATGAGCGAAAGAGTACTCGAATTCAATTGGCAGGATATGTCGCCATAGTGTAAATCTTCAGCGGTCGCCTTACTCGTAACACCTTCGAAAGAATAGAATGTATTTATGTAACATGAAAAACGATTCGATTGGATTAACCGAAGGCAATTAAATTTGTTCGAGCATCAAGAGAGAAAAAAAATGAGAGGAATGGAGAAAATTCTTACCGATCACGTAATGTCCCAACTCGCCGAGTACGTATCCGACCGAGACTATGGCCAAGGCGTAAGGCTTATATAAAAATCGCAGCTTTTGTACAGCTGTATTGAACATCTTTACCTGAAAATGACAAGATTCTACGACAATAAATTTATCGCTTGTATATAATTAATGCCTAAAGATTGTATCATAAAACTCTTAATGTTGCAATTAAAGCCTCTAAATGTAAGATAATCTAAAGAATACGTATTTACTTTTATATATATATAAAAAATAAAAAAAAAAGAGTGAATCTTTTGAGATGGCCAAATAAAAAATACATTATGTATTTATGTTATATACAAATAATACATAATGGAACATAATGTAACACGGTGTGATGACGATCAATTTTTGATTGCCTCTTATATTCAATTCTACAAACGTGACACGATGACGTTCTCTCTTATTATCTTTTCATTGGGCTTTTGTTCCATATAACATATTATTCTGCGGACTGTTCAACGATTGCACTTCTCTTTCCTACATTAAATAATATGATAAAAATAAAATGAATAAATAAATAACAATTCATAGAATTCATTTTCATCGTTTTAGACAACATGCACACTCACACGAATCACATGAACAAAAAATGATATCTTAAAAATTAGTCGCAATACGAGATTTTTTGCACATTGATCTTCATGATAACACGATGCAACATCTATCAATTGTCGGCATAATCACAATTGTTATTTGCATTTATCTTATGCTGTTTTTTTCATCTCTATTCCTTATCCGTATTGATTATCTCTTGAGTATTCGACGGTTCTTTGCGTTAGATATATATTTTTTTTTTTATAAATGCTGCATCAGAAATGATCAGAATAACAAATCAATTTTTTATATCTTCAAAGGCTCAAAAGATTACACTTTTAGTATAAGTATTATATATAACTTAGCGTTTGTACTTTTGATCCGTTTCTAGTTTATTAAATCCGCGGACATTTCTTTGAGATTTAAGCAATAAGATCGATCGTTGAACGTTGATAAAATTTTAGTATCAATGGTATAGCATTACATTACATATTTTCGTTTCTTTAAAAGTTTACATAGTCATGTAAGTAAACTATCGGGAAAACTAATAATATAATAATCGACCCAAGGAAGGTGAAACCTGTCATTCGAGAAAATTATCACGTTGAAAATTATTACGATGATCTTACAAAGTGCTTCTCACAATTTCGTAAATCGACATTAATAAATCTAATCTCATCAATTTCTCATATTTAAATACCTTCGTATTATATTATATCTTATATGTATTATATACGTACAAGATCTGTTATTAGAAAAAGAAAAATATTAAGAAAATTTATAGTAATTACAGCAATACAACTTTATATGATGTTCGATAGGACCGAAAAGTTACGGCATACTGAACATTCCTAACGATAGAGCGATCATCATCTGTTAGGGAAATAGTCGAGTTTTTTTTTGGATAGAACAAGAGAATATAATAATTATCAGACGACTCATTAGCATGAAAAAAAAGAGAATTATCATTCAGTTCCCAACGATAAAGATTTTATCCATTATTATCGATGTCTTTTTGAGCGATGACGCGTGTTCATCACGTTATAGAATTTGTTTCTTTATGGTTTTAATTTACAAAGACTTTCTGTATTAAGCAATGAATATCTGCAATGAAGATTCTCTTTTTGTCTCGTATAGACTTTGAATTATCAAAGAGAATATGATTCTTAGATGGAAAATCGAAATGACCTCCGTAATGTATGTAGGTTAATGCGGTAATATTAGAAAAATCCAATACAAGAGGAGGACATGCTCATACAGTGTATGTACATATCTATGTAATACATGAATGTATGTATAATTATCTTGACAAACGTTATCTTGGACAACCATTTTCGCCTCCGTAAATTAATAAGAAAGAGTCGACGAACGTTCGCATTATTATTATTCTCTAATATTAACAAAAGGAAAGAACAAAGAATCGTGCAGGCATTCGTGCCCGAATGCACGCGAGCGTAATCAAGTTGAAGATGTGCAGGCACTTGAAGCGTGTTTATGCTCACCTTGAACCAAAATCGGTGAGACGGAACAGAAACAATCATTTTTTTATTAAAGTCAACTTCTTTTTCGACTTTTTCGGGACATTGTTAATCATCCAACTTTTAATAAATCTTTTGCAATCCTCATTGAATGTGCACGAAAACTAATTCTAAGACACTCATTTTTATGCTTGTTGATTATTATTAGAAGTTATTAATTCCGAATGAACCATGATGATATTTGAATAATATTACATTTTAATATATCTGTCAGTAGTTTACGAAGCCTTTTGTTTAATCTGAGACAGTGCTAATTTGTGCTTATCCGCGATTAATCGAAAAAAGATACCTACTTCTAAAATGTCTAACAACGAAAATCTTGAATGAAGATTATATCAAACAATTATGTAAATTCTGGAATAATTAAACATCTTCTATACGGTCGGTAGAGCGTGCATTATAAGACGTTTTAATATTAATAAAATATTAAGACTATCCGTTAATAACGCTTCGTCGTTGATTTTTATTATTTATGTGTATTTTAAGAAGCAACAGCGAGACGAATGCAACGAAAGACTGAAGTTCAGCTTAGGTTGGACGTATCAAGTGAACGTTTCCCTTCTTCCAGTTCTTTCCACGTTAAAAAACAAGGAAAGAATCATTGTAAAATTCGTTATGCATCGTTGAAAAATGATTGAGCATTAGTCAAAGCACGTGTCTATATTACTCTTATGCGTTCAATTATGCGTTTGCACGTGTTCAATTAATAGTTCGGATAACTCTTTTTCTCTCATCATTTGAAACTATTATAGAAACGTTGTGTACTGCATTAATCTTCATTGTCCAAACTAAACGCCTCGCATGCTTGTCACGTGACGTCGATTATCAAGCACACTTCTTTTCTTCCTCTTTTTATTCTTACGCCTTTCGAGGAAACTCTTAAGCGACTCAGATCGTTAAATAAAGTGGGCGACTCGCTCAACGTTTACGACGTGAAGACGTAACGAGTAATAAACATTTTTTTCAAATATTATATTATTAGACCACTTAACGAATAAATCCGGATATAATTACAGCTCACAAAACCATCCTAAAAGTCAGTAATATTGGAATTAGTATTTCTTAGAAAATGACAAAGAACATAAAAATATATCAATTGTATTTGTCGTAATAGTTTCGTTTTATAAATGAATGAATTGTTATTGAAGTTATAAATATTTTTAGATAGGCCCTATTTCTATTCACAATATATATACATATTTAACATCAAATCATCGAATAGCTGACTTGAATTTAATCTATAATTCATATTTGATCAATAAGATAACATTCCGATGTGCCAATTACAATGGTGCAAACATATTTTAATAAAGACATGTTTTAAATGAAAATTTATTAGGCAGACATATACTAAATGATGTCACAACTAAGCATTTATAATTAATTGTGTATGTTTAATTAATGCGCTAATTATCCAATAGTTATAGCCATAGATATGATAAATAAATTCACTTGTAAACTCAATCATTCAGCTGTACATGTTTTATCAAAGTACTTGAATTTTTAAAGACGAGATTTATCGATACAGAATGTTAATGTTGAATCTCGTTAACTTCTAAGATATTCTATCAAAGAAAAAATGAGTAAAAGTAAAAAATAAATAAATTGATACTCGATCAGGATGTTTCATGAAAATTTATTATCATTTTTCTCGCCCGATTTTTTCGATACTTATTAATCTAAAAAGTCAAGGTAAGTCAGAGAACATATCCTGCATGAACGTGCATGTAATAGGCAGAAAGAAAAAAGTTACAGCGAGTGCAAGAGTACGATCCTTATACCGAGAGAATCTCACTCAACCAGTATTTGCATACATACGTAGCTGCTTAAGAACTTTTCATTTTTTATCAGTAGAATCATCGTTAATTTCATCTCTATTGCTTTCTTACATCATATCATTTATCAATTACGATTGATCAGGAATTTTTGTCTAAAAAAAAAAAAAAAAATTCGCGAAATTTATTTCACTTTTGTCCTTATCAATATAGTTATCTCTATTTTATCAAGGTGTTTGTTAAATCATTTCAAATCGTAATATAAATTGCATCGCATTGCGGGAGGCCGATCGCATATACATTGGCAATGAGCGACTTAATAGCAGTATTACGACTCGAGCGAGTCAGCGTTTGTGTCTTTACGTGTCGTTACGTGTCGCGAGTATCTGAAAAATAAAAGGAAGAATTTAATCGTAAGATTTACATTGTAATGAATATAACTAAATAATTATATTTTATCAAAATAATTGTTTATTCCCGTTTATCTATTAGCAAATTATATGCAATATGAAGTCTTCTGGGCGACCTTGTTAATACTTTCACGACTCACGGTGCACCTCGCAAATAGTGCGGAACAAAGTTAACGGATATGGTGTAACACACCCACGTAACGTTTCATGAACTTCTAATCTGTATTTCGATTTGATCTGTAAAAGATTCATCCTACACAGATTATGTGCATTTTTTATGTAAATATATAAAATATGCGTCTATGTCAAACGTATACTTGTAAGTATAACAACTAGAATTAGAAAATAAATAATATACGTATAAAGATAAAAACAAATAAATATATGAAATAAACCTACATCTACGCTCTGTAGTCATACGTTATATAGTTGCGATTTAGAGACGTTCAACTATTTTCAAATAAAATATAATAAAAGCTTAACGTCTTTACTCTGACTAAAAGAACAGCCACAACGTGTCTTTCAAGTTTCCATTAGTAACAAATAAGAGGTATTCGTAATCTTGAACAACGCATAAGAATAGATATGCCTATAGGGATGACTAATGTGCGTATGATCCAACTACAATTCACATGATGTCTTTTACCGAGCATAGAATGTCCGTGCAATTAACTTCGATTGCGATAGCGAGCTCGAAAGACAAATCGTCCTGTCACTAATTATCTTGTTTTCTTTCAATGAAATTAATTTAAAGAAATATAAGAAGAGTATAATCAAATTCAATTTGATCAAATTGATAGCAGGTTCGTTGTGCACGTTTAATGTTTAGGTTAACATTTAAAATCTATTATTTGATACAATACTTCAAAAGATCACTTTGCGATAATACGCAAATATAGTTTAGATCGCAGCCACGCGTTGTCCAAAATATGTCGACAGAAAACAAGCGATACGCCATTTCGGTCTCGTTTGTGCTCATTCAATAGCACCTTAGTTATTTAATTTTTATGCTAAAAATTATAAAAATCTATAGCAGTCAACTTAAATAAAACTGATTTACATTTGCCTTTCTATTACTTTAATTTTATTAACTTTATTTTAATTTAATATCTATCTCAAATGAAAAAAGAAAAAGAAATATTTTGTCAATTAGCAGCTTCGATATAATACGTTAAATTCCGAAGAAATTTTCTTGATAAATAAATTATAAAATCCATATTTATAGAAAACTTACAGCTTCTGCGAAGACGAGTAACAAAAGGTGATATCGTAATGATATTCAGTGAATTTTCTTATTCTGGCACGACGTAGTGGATTTATAGATGGTAAAAAAAAATTCAGCAAACAACCACTTATTATCACACTAAAATGCACTGTGAGTTAAATTCGTAATTTTGACAAAATGAAATTTCGAAGAGGAAAAAGTAGAAGAATGAAGAAAAAGAAGGTAGAAGAGATAAACAGACGAAAATGGAGAGAAGAAAAACCTCGAGGGATCGTGAGGGATGGAGAGTTAAATGAGGCAAGAGTCGATAGAGAACCTTCATTTATAAGAAAGTACCCAAGGATCGGGTTTCCAATGGTTTTCATCGAAGAGGAAGGGGACGCCGGTCGAACTCCCCGTGCATCCACACGCCTAACTATTGTCGATGTGTCGTCTACTGATCTGTAGACGATCGTACATACGGTACAGTACAGTATGCTACAATACAATACGATACGAATATTACTCTCTCGATCTCCATGGTGGGAGCACAGACACTCTCGATCTTTGATTTTCAAGGTCAGCTCGGCTTGACTAATCACAAGTCATTCTTCATATCGCTGTGACAAAAATGTGTGCATCTCACTCATGATGTACCACTACGACATAAGATTATCATTGCAATACTTACATCGTGACTGTTACTTGCATTCAAATCATCAATCAAATTTTTGTCGTTTTCCTATCGTTTGGTACTACTGTGAAAATGAAAAAAAAATAAATAAGGAATATAGCAAGGAGAATAGAAAGAAAATGAAAATAGCTCTTTCGCGAAAGGCAAACTAGAACGAAACATGCTACATGTCGCGATATACTACAATTCTTGCTTATTGTTCCAAGTAGAAAGTCCTTGAAGGAAGATCTTGCCGATCTCTTTGCACCGCTTTGAGGCCTTAAGTAGTTTCTAGAAGGTAAACATAGAGGAAGTCGGTTAACACGATTGGTATCAATGAGATATATCCAGAGGTGATTAACCCTCCTGATTACCGATAGAACGATGTGAGACGTTTTATCTGTCATGCGAATGCCGTAACATTGACATACTTTTCATACTAAGACCGCCTCTTTATCTTTCTTCCTGATATCACGGTTTCACCTAATCGACACAATGTCTACCATCTAATATGTGTATAAATATACCTATATATGTAATACGGATATACTAGGAAGAAAAAAATGATAAAAAGTGAAAATATGTTTGACCACATGTATATGTACATAGTCGTATATATGTCTACGTAAATAAAATCAAAGGTCAATAATGATCTCCAGTCAAGTGAAATATACATCTAGATACATTCCTTTTTTAAACATAAGTTCGAACATCAAAGACTATTGACATTGAAACGATAAAGCCTCAGGCTAGACAATACTACCAATCGTCTAATTGATTCGTTAAACAGAATTTTCTAATAAACAGACAATATGAAAGAGACGAAACCATTATAATATATGTTATAGTGAGACTGGATTGATTTCCTCATAGAATAAGATTAAGACATAATTATTAGCATCAACTAAAAAATTTTTGTTGAAAATTCGATTCAAATTGATGATATGGTATACCGATATATACGTGAATAACAATTAATAATTTACAATTAAATACAAAAAATATTGGTATTTTGCTCTTCCTGAAAATCGAGAGTAATCGAAATACAAACAAACACCTTCGTGAACATCCACTTTTGTTTTATTAACAAGTTGCTTGGTCGTGATCATCTGTAAACATAATTTTTTTTAATGATCCATGCTGGCATAATGACTCTATTACTATAAAATTCACAAATTAATTAGATACTATAAATCGTATGCCATTGAACAGAAAATTAAAAATAACACTATCACTAGATAACGATGTAAAATAAAAAATGTACTATACAATTAATAATTGTACTAATAATGAAAAGAACGATTAAAGAAAGTTTATCTTGACGCATTTATAATCTATATATAAATTATCTTAAATGTTAGAGAGCTATAGAAATATCGCTCGTCTCTGCTAATTTAAAACTTGACAAAGTTATTTTACAAAAATTAGATTTTGCGATAAAATATATGCATTAATTATATTATCTAATTAATTATATTAGCCTGTTGTCCTATGGCAACGAGAATTCGTAAGTATTTTCTTCTCCCTTATATAAAGTAATACGAGTTTTTCGAAAAGATATAGGAATCTCGAAAAATATTTCGAGGACGTTTCTTTGATTTCTATTCTTCCACTTCTTTTCTTCTTCCTCGCCGATTTGACCTTTTCTCTAAACCCTTGGAAAAAGTTAGTTGGGACGACGCAACAGATGCGACGTGAAAGATTCGCCAAGAAAAAAAAAGAGACAAAATTTGGGAAAATCGTGCGAAAACGAAGAAGCGCGCATGCAATACGCATTCTCTCCGTTATTGACCATCGGAACGAGTCGAACCGAGGTGACTCGAGTCGAGCCGAACTGAGCTAAAGCCAAAGAGAGGACTACAAGAGACCAAGAGAAAAGACCGATCCCGGTCCTCGAGTCCTTTGAAAACGATAACAACGTCGCATATCTGTCTTTTTTATTTTTATTTTTTAACCTTTCACAGTGAAAAATATCCAATCTTTCTAATCTTTTTCTTCCTTTTGCTGCGAATAATTTAACGTATGTGTTTACATTGTAACGAGAACAATCGATCGGACTTCTGGCTTTCTTGCATTTTGGCCCTACGTTAAAAAAGAAACAGAGAAATATATATTTATATATGTAAATATATAAGTAGTGTGTATACATACACGCGCGTATTCTCGTGGATATGTGTGCATGTACCTGTGTCTGTGCATATACCCGTCATATCAGAAGTGATAAGAGGGTGTAATCTTCCTTCTTTTTCATAATGGTGAATATCAGGATCGACCAGTGTTTTCTACGAAAAGAAAGAAGAAAGATCTTTCTTCGAGGTACGAGAAACTTTCGACGAAACGAAGGAAGCTTCGTGAATTGTTAAGAAACAGAAAAAATGTCCAGTATAATTTCGTGACTTCTTTTCCAATAATTCAACAAAATTGTACGTTCTTTCATTTCTTTTCTTGTTCGTTCAAACGTATGTATTAAAAAATAAAATTATTTTTAAAACACGATGTTGTGTTAACGCGAATCTATCATGATCGTGATCAATTGGAGTTGGACAAGGATCACAAATCTCATGGATCAAGGATCGCATTCTTCGTCATTTTTTCGAAGAATCTGTCATCTTAAGAGCTCGTCTTACTAGGTTATTATGAATAAAAGTAAGTTCCTTTCTCTTTTTCTCTTATCTTCACTAACGATCTTATCATTAGGATTATCACTATTATTATTGAATGTTTTTTAAATACTTTTAAAGAAGAAGAAATAAACTCGCGTCACGAGAGTTACAACCGAATATCGTTTTTCAATATGTTAGTCACTTACCTTCAAGTCTTACACCCATACATTTTTTCGCTCCTTTGAATATGTCTCTTATGTCGATTTACGCAGCATGTGTGCGCAACAGTTTTTCTTTCGGAAATGGCCAAAGAAGTTGTTGATCAACGATCGCAGAGAAAAAGATCAGTGCGATAAGTTTAAGAAGGATGGAAGAAAGGAAACAAAAAACAAAAAGTGGTAAAGTGAAAGAAAGATAAAGAAAGAAAGAGAGATAAAATAGAAAAAAGGCATAGCTTGGATTTGAGTTACAATAAAGGCGCGTAATACTTATAGGTCGTAATCTAAATCGAAACATCGACATGTTGAAAATTGAAAGGAGTTTGACAACCTCGTATTTCGTTTCTCTTTGAACTCATACTGCTCTCAACGAGATCTGATTTCGATGAAAAAATATAAAGGAACAATACAATATGCTATTATTTTCACTTTTTTCAAAAATATTTGAATTTTTCGTTTGTTTCGATTTCGACAATTTTAATAATGATATTATATTAAAAAATATTATATATGTATTATATATAAATATATATATTTCATATTATAATGATATAATAAAAAAAAAAATTATGAGACAAGATCTCTCTGTCTTCCCTCTTTCTTCTTTTCTCTCTCTCTCTCTCTCTCTCTCTTAATTTTTCTCCCTTCTCCCCTTCAGTCGTCCATGAATTATTCTTTGTTTCGGATTACTCGCTCTATTACCGCGATTAATTGTCGATCGACCGTATGTTACCAATGCTACGGCAAACGTGTGTCCATGTAATAATAGATGCTTGTCAGGTCACGTTCTGGCTTTACGAATCATGTTACATATTATTAACGGTTATTGATAATAAAAAAATCATTATCATCATTACGAATATCAATTCTTATAATAATATTTAAAACACATTCAGGCAAATAGATTTTTAGCTACTTACTTAGAAAGCCCTATAAATCCATTTTGAATTATTTCAAACATTATTATAAAATATAGAGAAAATTGGAACACGATAGAAATAGTAATTTCTTTAAATATTCTTAAAACATTCTTAGTATATAGGATTTCTTAAAAGTAACGAGAAATAAAAGAGAACTAATTCAAGTGCGAATTCACGATAGGAAATATCTGTAAAAAAAGAAAAAGAAACAAATAATAAATTTGTATAGCCGGTTTTTTGAAGGAAATACGCTTTTTATGATACAATCACACCAATCGCGCTTATGTCATTAGCAGTCATTGCGCATAAATCATTTTCTACAAGGTCTATAGTTCTTTCGATGTATCTTCGATCATTGACGAATTGTGATTCATGTTCTTACTTTTTCCTGTATGTAAATGTGCACGTGTATAATGATCACTGCAATATTCGACAAAAAAAAAGTGAGATCTGATTAGATCACAATCAAGTCAAGTTAAATGAATTCTTTAGAGTGACGAAATCATGGAAATGGGTGTGTCCAATCGCAAAACAAATTAAAAATGTAGGAAGAATTATGTAAATCCTGCTAAGAAGATCAAGTTTTCCACTTGTTACGAAAGTTCCTTTTTATTCTATCACTCGAAACGTGGAGGTGTGTACGCACTTCTTACCGATCTCATTGCTTTACGATTTGCATGAAATGAGATCTTTGTCAATGATTGGCTTGACGAGAAAACGATCGACCAATCGGCCCTCTCCAATCATTATTTCAAGGCCGTCAATAAATAATATCTACACTAACGGTTCTTTCGTCGCAAGTTCTTGTTCAAGGTTACCTTACGACAGATCGATTGATTTTTATTATCCTTTTTTCTGATTATTCTTTTCCTTCTTCATCTGGTTTATACTATTGAAAGGAAAGGAAAACCTGCTAGTACATCGATCGACTTCTTGACTTTTTTCTTGTTACCTCAGAAATCGTACAAGTATCAGATTTTTATCAGAATGGGTATTAATGGGATCGGAAGTTAAAAATGATGCGAACACTTTTACAGTCAATATTTCATTAAGTTATTTCTCTAACTCGATGGAATGAATTCTAAACATGGCTCTCGTCCATTTGCAATTGCGGCTATACAGATTTAGCAATAAACCAATGATCAATCAACGAAAATCCAATATTTTATAGGCCATCTATTTGTGAAAAGCAAGTTTAAGCTTCTTACTTAAAAAATTAGTTCTATTCTTGGATATATCTACGATGCTGATTTCAAAAATATCATCGGTTTCATCGTATCAAATCTAATATTCGAAATACGGTATAACGAGTTTATACGAAGTGTAACAAAAATGTAGTGAGACTATTATTAGAAAATTCTGTATTTGAAAAAAATTTATAAAATCACATTATTTTTTCAAAATAAATCTCTTCAGAGACTTAGAAAGAAGTCTATAGGACTTAGATTTAATGAAATTACTGGAATGTCCTTTCTAGATAAAAATTCGGTGTTCGATGAAAAGTGATAGATGACATTGTCATGATGAAACATCTATCTGTCTACAAAGTATGACGAACTCTCTATCGTAATACTGATCCTAATGTTAAAGTTGATCTAAAAGTATAAGAACTTAACTCTTTAAAAATATAAGACTTTTTGAACATTTTTTTCCGTTCTCGCCATCAAAGGTCTCTCAGAACACAGTTGCTCTCCTGCACATTCTCGGTCTTCCGAAAATATGCGATCCGAACACGTATGTTTTCGATAATGTTTGTGTTGGGTTTTCATCGAACAAAATTTTAAACATCATTAGTACGTGTACTGATACAAATTGTTATAAACAGACAGCTCATAAAGTTTGAAAGTTTGCAATTCATTGGATGATTATTTAGATTATAAACATTTTTTGCATTACTGAAATACGTATTTATATTGTTGCCAATAAACAATTTTCTAACAACAGTCTCAACTCGTATAAGACTATTATATACTCTATCTCGAAAACTAGATCTAATACGGTAAAACCGATGGTATTTTTGACATCAGTGCACCAACTATACCCAAGAATGAGTTCAATTTCTGAAGCATCAAGTCAAAAATTTTTTTCAGTTGGGCAATATAATTATTAACATTTTCGTTCAAAAAAGCTCACTGAAGAAGGAATAAAAGAAAAGATGACTGGGAAATGCCAACGTAAGAAAACAGAAGTGAAAAAAGTGGATTAAGAAAAGGATAAAAGCGGAAGGCAGGAAAGGCGCAAGGGAAAAGAAAGATGGGCTCTTTGCCAAATCTACATGAGTTGTCGAAGGAGAAACTCGAAAGTCCTGTTTACAGAGCCGTAGCAATTGGTGGACTAGGTCCGATGAGATTGCCCGCTCAAACTCAACCGTTAGCACATACCCATCGTCGTGCGAGAAGCAGTGGAAATCATCATACCACTACCTTGTGGGATAATGACGCTATGTTAGAGGTCGGTAAAATATTGAAGAAATTAGCGATTTTGCCATTATTTTTCTTAACACATTGCGGACGGATCACAAGAATTCTCGTGTTGTTCTGTTCTAGAACTTGTGACCGGTCATGAGAATTCTCGTATTTGCGTTATTCACCAAAATCATACCTGGTCACTGAATAAAGCTAGCAATAAAACTACTAGTCCGCAATATGTTAATATAGCTTAAAGTAAAAAACTAAAGACGAAAATAACTTGTAGCACATGGCAGCGTACTCGCCGATTTCATGTCGCTCGACCAGGACATCCGCCGCGTTGTCTTGGAGACGACGAGACTCGATGAATTCCTCAGCGGGAGCTTCATCAGTCCGTCGATTGATAGCTGCCGTAAGAACAACTCCGTCCGGGCCACGTCCGACAAAGAAAGCAATTCTAAGGCATTGCGCGGCTCTCCTTCTCGGCCATGCAACTTCCTCAGCCGCGATCTTGCCGATCTTTCCTCTCCAAGCTGGTCTTGGGACATTCAACCCTCATCTTGGACCGATATTATTGGCTCTACTTTATGCCATTGCTGCGATCACCGCTTGTTTCGCGCCGATTCTTCTTCAAAAACTTGGCACGAATCTCGTAATCAGCCTCAATCATTTTGTTACGACAATCTTCGTCGGTGTGCACTTATATCCGAAGTGGTATGTGCTCTTACCTAGTTACGCCATCTTGGGTGCCTGCGTCAGTCCGAGTTTTTTGGCAAGGACCTCGCACGTCAACATATCGGCAAGTTGTTTAGCTTTGCTCTGTGTCGATCCCGAAGATCCAGACGAAACTAGGCGTGATTGTCTCTTGAGAAGACTCAACAGAGGCGTCAAATTGGCAGAAGATGTGGGTCTCGCAATAGGTAAACGTATTCTTTATTATTTGTATCTTTATTTATTTCACTTTATTATGCTTCTCTATTGCTTCTGCCGTTCTATTTTATAATTGCTTCTCTCTCTTTCTCCCAATATAATTCCATCCGCCTAACATTTCTATAACTTGTTAGGTTGCCTGATCGCGGCAGTCTTGGTAAAACTTACGGACTCGATCCCACCAGATGTAACGGAAAGCGAGATTGAAGACATTTGCGGTGCAGAGTATTGCCCCGAAGAGACTTATTTCTATAACGAAAGTCTCTATTTACCATCAATATCAAATAATACGTCGAAGATGTTGATTAGTATTTGGTTCGGCCTTGCCGTTCTAGGAATGGGCATTTCCTGTGCCTTTCTCGATTCGAGAATGAAGGAACCGCAAAATATAAACGACAGAGTTAGCACACGTAACATTTTCAAATCCATCAAGTGCGCCTTTCAAGATCCAAAGCTGCAATTAGCAGCTCCATTAACACTCTTCATCGGCCTCGAGCAAGGTTTCATTTACGCCGACTTCACTGAAGTATGTTTTGAAATGATATTCGAGTTATGAATTTTTGAATGAAAAAATTCTCCTGGCCTATCTTTCAACTGATTTCATTGACTTTTTTTCTTTATCAACAGGCATATGTGGCTTGCGCCCTTGGCGGAGTTGGCACCATCACTGTCAGTTTTCTGAGCTTGGCTTTGTTACAGGGTCTCGCCGGCGTAACGCTCTCCATGTTATTGAGGCACATCAAGAGATACTTTGTCGTAGGTAAGGTGCTTCTCGCTTCGACGATAATATAAACATTTATTGGAAAAGTATTTACATACCTCGTTTAATTTTATTGGTTTTATGTTGCAGTCGTGGGTTTCGCTTTCCATGCCTGTTTGTTGCTCGTTTTGGTCGTCTGGAGACCGGCTGGCGACGATCCGGCACTTTTCCATGTCATATCAGCTGCCTGGGGAGTTTGCAACTCTATCTGGGAAACTTTAATATACAGTGAGTTCTTTAGTGAGATTGAAATCGATCAAAATAAGCAGCAATAACAAAATGATATTCAAGGCGTGATATTTGTTAACATCCTCTAGAGCGAAATACTTTATTTTCAGCTTTAGTACTAGGTCTCTATCCAAATTCCTGGCAAGGTCCGTTGTCAACATCACTCTTCTGGAGATGGTTAGGACTCTCGTTAGCGTTGGGTCTTCATGGTTTGGTTTGCACACGATTCCGTGTTCTTGGATTAGCATTCATGTTGTTGCTATCGGTCGTACCTCATGTGTGGCTCGAAATTAGACTAGCGAAGCGAGGTAAAAGTCTAGCACCATTGTGACCGATAGAATCGACCGCGAGCGACCGAGGATCAACAATCGAGATCGAAGGAAGGCATAGATCGGACTGAGGCAGAATCGTTCCATCCAGCTTAAGGACGGCCAGGAAATGCAGCAGACGGAGGAGCAGCCCGGTGGCCGAGAATGCGACTTTTACCCCTAAAGGAAGATCTTCGAGGAGAAGGGCCAATAGTGTAGCATTCGCCTGTCAAACAACTACATTGATAACTAATGAGGATGCGCTTCCCCTTTCAATGCAAACTGAACAAGCACGAAGGAATAGCAGCGTCGAAGTCGCGACCAACGAACCAAAATGTACCATTTTCTCACTCTCGTGAGAAATCGAGATGTTTCAAACAATCTCGAAATTTCTCCGATTTCGTCGTCCTTACTTTTCTCGAATAGATGACATTCTCGACGTTTTGGAAACGAATCCTCGTTCGATTACTCTTCTCCTTTTTTTCCTCTAGCGTTCTTACTTATATATAGCACACTCGACTCCTTTCTTCTTACTCCATTTTTTGTTCTTCTTACCTACAAAGAAGATAAAAAATATATCGGATAGTATACAGGAGAATATGATTCTTCGAGGTCTAATGATAACGAAAGAATGTAATGTCATTGTTGTTTCTTGCTAATACGAACAAAAGTGGATTGCGAACAATTAACGGTCAGATGAATAAGTAAAAATGATACAGATAAGAAAAATAACCTCTTTTATGATCCTAAGAGCAATGAATTTCAATATTGATATATCGAGACGAACGAGCATTCAAATACTCAAAATTGATCTATGAGTGCAACGAAAAGCGCGCGTCATCGAATAATATGCTGGATGGAACAAATACGTAATTAGGATTCAATTCCTAGCCGAATAACAGTTTCTGTGCTTCTCAACTTTTCAGCTAATGAATAAACATAAGATCACGATTGATCGCGGGGAAATAAACTCAAGGAAATAGTCTTATTCACGCACCTTTCCCAAGATAAATATAAGTAACTAGTGTGTACAAATTGTTCGCGAACTTTCACGAATCATGATCGATGCCGAGATGCACGCCCTGTATAACCATTGATCTATACTTGATGTCTTTCAAAACGTTCCAACTTGTAAAAAATAAACGGAAAAATCGTAACGTTCCCTCTACAGTCTACGAACTCACTCCATATAATCTACATTCAGGTTGAGTCACGCAAGTTTCGTACGGATCTCCCATTGATAATAGAAAAGAACGATAGAGCAGAAAATGTGATGATATACCTATTACGAGTTTTATATTTTTAAGTTTTTCATTGTTTCCTAAGAAGAATGGTATACCTGAAAAAAATCATACCGATATCAGAAGAGACATAACATATTCAATAGTTTCATGCAATTCATTTTCTATTTAAAAATGACTGTTTGATGATAAAACTAAAACCTAGGCAAAATGCTCCGGTCGGATTTTCATATATGTAGGTAGTTTCTAATGTTTCGTCAGTAATAAAGATATGCTAAACCGAAAAGATATTAAAGAAAAAATAAATAAACAGATTGACTAAAAAAATTTTTTAAAAAGTAAACGGAATAAACGCCCAATAAAACACATTTATGCAATACGTGCATTCGCTATCATAGATATGAATATCTATGTATATCATTAAACCCGTAAGGAAAGATTTTCAAAAGTTTTAATGTGATTCGCGCGAAATTATAGCTTTCAATGTGTTAAATAAACCATAATTTTTATTTATAGTAGAAATTCATCTGAAGGGATACTATTACTCCTGAAAATCGATCAAATTTTAAAAGCAACAGAAATTATTATCGATAAAACATTTATCAAATTGTAAATAATAAAAAAACGTTAGGGTAGGAGCCTTCCCTTTTCATCAATCGTTCCAATTGTGTATGATGAAGCATCAAAAAAAGGGAAAAAAGATAATCAAGAAAAAATTAAATATATGCGGAATTTATACCGCAATACACTTCCAGTGCAAATTTTCTTACGAATCAACACATTAACTTTAAGCTAAATTGAAAAAGTGTAGAAAAAAGAAAAAGCGGGGAAAATTAAAATGAAATCAGAAAGTAAAATGCAAAAAAAATGTGAAAGTTGTGTAGAAAGAAATTCGACACGCGTATCGTGTCATATCGTTAGTTTATAATTAATATTACGAATAATGTAACACATTTTTTATGAAAATCGTTAGCATTTTAATAAGGGCATGCGTACGGCGATGGACGTCAATTGAAAATTTATACCAAATTTATACCAATCGGACTGATCAAAAAACCTGCTGAATAGCACACTACTTGTATTATATAGATCAGCCCGTTATTTCTTATTTTTTTAAGTTTTCAAGTCGGACCAATGTACACCATATCGTATTAATTCATATCATTTTAAGTAAATTATTGAAACGTATTGGAATTTTTTCAAACGCGTCGAATTCGACGAAAATTGGTAAATTAAAATTTATTCTCTTTTTTCTCCCACCCATTGATTTTCAAACGACGACCATATACTGCTATACATCGTATATCGTATAATCTTCATTCTTCGTTTACAAGAATCGTAATATCAAAGTAATATGCGACGAAAGGAGATGATATGAAAAAAAAATACGCACGACATTCATTACCTTATAATAATCGCGAAAAATAAACTATAAAAAGCACCACGTGCCTGATTATATCCCAATGTACGTACATAAATATATACATTCTTACGGATAAACTTTTTCCTGATAAGTTTATCCACGTATATTTCTTACCGTAATAAAACTTTAAAAAATTCTAACCTATCATGAATTAAAGCGCAAGTAACATACAAAGCCGATGTAAATTCCTTACAACCATGATCATAGTTCGTTACCAAGATTAAAACAAGAATCTGTAATTATTTAACAATTAATAAGAAGATTTAAGAAAAAAAAAGGTTAATACGTGTTGCATAGTAAGTAATGTTTAGAAGAATATTAAAAGAATTATCGAAATCACAAAATGGAATGTGTCGCGTGTCTAATGTAATAGACTTTTTCATGCAACATGAAAAAGCATAGTGTTTTTATAAGAACTGTAGGAAATTCAAATTCAGACAAAGTTATAAAGAATGGACCGTAAATATAAAATAAAAAAAAATAAACAAACAGGACGAAAGATAAACATTGTCACCCTATATGACTTGTAGCATCTTTTTGCGTGCTTGTTTGTCGACATTTTTAATTAAATTTAAAATTTGTTGAAGGAACACAGAACATGGGATCTCCAAAGCGGGGGATTATGAAACGCATTGGAAAGGCATGTATAATTATTGTATTTCATGAAATAATAAATATTATTCTTATTTTATATCGAACGACGTTTTAATTTAACTTTCATTGGTTTTTGTCGCGCATTTACCAACTTCGAGAAAGGATAAATACTAAATATTTCTCTAAACCAAATTCTCCTTTTTTTGGTTGAGAAAAAGCAAACAATAAATGCGTTTATTTCTAGATCTTTTCTTTCATTTACATATATATATATATATATATATATATATATATATATATATATATATATATATATATATTCTATAAGCGACACTTCTAACTCAACTTTCGCGTTAATTAATTTCCAAACATATATACAAAGTTAACTATAGGTATGTATAACGTAAATCGTTTTTACTATGTAAAATTGCGATTATAATAATAACCCGAGCGTTGGCAGTAAGCGAGCGAAAGAAAGTGTCGCACTTGTTTCGATAGTAGAATTACAAATTGTCGCAATCGTAATTACACAAAATGTAGAAATCTTTTGTTTGCTCGTTCTCAAGGCTTCTAACTAATTCATTTCTATTATTTTCCATCATCCATGCCAATCAACCATAGTGACAAATAATACAATCTATAAGACTCATACGCTACACGTCAATAACATTATCTTTATCTAAATTATTGTCACCATCACACATATGAGACGTGAGTTAAGAGTTTTTTTTTTACGTATTGACGTACTAGGCGAATAATAAATATAACAAATAGAATTGTATATATGTATATATATATATATATATCTAGTTCACTCACATTCATCATACCGCTAAACGCCATGGAGACACTTCGCTATAATCAATATAACTATGCCTCTTTATTTATTTATTTATTTCATCGATCAAGTTTCTTTTTCCTTTCAAAAATTCTGGGTGATTAACATAATGTTCATAATAGATTCCTTTTATTGACCTCTATAAGAAAAAATCACACATACATACGTTTTAGGGAAACAAATATATCTTTCAGATAATATACTTTATCAGACTGTTATCGTCATCATCGACATCATCGTTATAGATGTGGATTACTAACATATATATCTCAATATCAAAGTCAATATACACAACAGAGATCATAAGGAAGTATACTTGCGTCGTTCCAAAAGAAGCAAATAATACTAACAATAAGAAGAAAATCAATTTATGATAATTATATTAAAAAAAAAAAAAAGAAAGAAGGATAAGAATATTAGAAAGAAAGTTTAAAGGAAGTCTATCATAAGTAACTCTCTATTTTATCACGTGTTCTTATTACAAAGAAGAAAATACTGTAAAAAATCAGAGTCGTAGTTCGATATCTTGCGATGTCGACAATCGTACAATAATGTTGAATTACTAATAATAACCTGCGTAGGATTTTCAGTATTAATATACTTTAATGTAATGTAAGATTCACAATACTGAAAAGTTAAACGCGAATCGTGAAGAAGACTTTTTCTCATCGCAAAAGACGATTTTTGAAAACAAGAGCAGATATGTCGTATGATCTCATTTCTTGCATTTTAAAATCTTTAATTGTTTACTTTTACTTCTCTCTCGAGACATAGAGGCATTTCTACACATATATGCACGTTACATGTTATTAAACCGTACTCTTGCATTTCTTCTTCTTTTTTTACATACCGATGATAACGTAGACTTTAGACTAAAATCAAACGAGGCAAAAAACGGTAGATGATTTATGCTCTATGAATGTGAAATTACAAGAAGGCAGTCTATCTTTCTCGAAACTTTCGATCTCGCTTGTTTCGGTCCAACGATATACTTTATAATATTATATCTCAACGCGTATAATTAATGTACGTAAAAGAAAAAGTGACTCTCATCGGTAAAAAGGAAAATATCTTACGCGCCTTTGTCGTGTAATATTTTTTCTTTTGTGCAAAATCTCGACTCGTACGCATCGCATTTTATTGACTGACAAAACGTAAATATCAATATACGTACGACCATCCAAACTTAGAGCCACTTTTTCTACTCTACTAATTTTCGTGTCGTTAAACTCCCACCCTCCTCTCTTTTCTATCCCATCCTTATGTACATTATAATTTTTACGCGGAATACTACCATAATATCTCAACCGCAATATCTTTCATTCGGATCTTTCAATTCGTAGAACGGAATCTCTGAATATGTAATAATAAATTCCTTATTCACATTGTCACTTTGATAATATTGCATGAAAATGAAGTTATCTTTTGGTAATTACGCGCAAGCATGGAACATGACTATTCGCGTCTGACCCGCAGGATTAACACAGCTACCATCATCCGTACTATGTACACGTAATTGCATTAATTTATTAAATCCAGATAAAACGCCGTTATAATTTATAAAAAAAAATTTAATACATATAAGCTAACTTTACGTAATACTTTAACGGAATACCGACAAAAATAAATACATATATGTATATATATATAGTATTTATATTCATTTATATTTTATATATATATATACACACCCGCGCGCGCACGTGCGCACGTGCGCGCGCGCACGCACACACACACACACACACACACAAAATAATACATGACACAGATAGTATAACACGAACTTTAAACGAGCAATACATTCTGTGCGTATATTATATATATGCATAAAACTATAAATTAAATATAAGTATTATATATATATATATATAATGTATATATATATATATATATATATATATATATATATATATATATATATATTAGATAAAATACTAGAATTCTCAAAAATATAAAAAAAATTAAAACATGATATAATTTCGGTGCAGGGTTTCTTTGCTAGAGGGCACTTCAATCGCTTTCTTTCTATGATTTCATCATTGTTCAAGACAGTGTTATAATATTTCATCTAGTATAAATTAACAACTGATATTTCAAAGAAGAAAAATATAATTTCGATATCTCGAACATAACAGCAGATAATGGAGCTGCGATACTTGAAGATGGACATTCGATGGGCGTTTGATCGCGTTAGCAATAATCATAGCAATAACCAAAGCTGATAGCTTTTTGCAATGCGGGTAAAACTATAATAATGCACATAACTTTACGCCAAATAGTGCAATATCGAGCAAGTTGCATTTATTGAGGGCACACATAAGCAATTTTACGTAAGGAAAACACTACCTGCTTTTCTGGCTACATACACACACGCACACACACTCGCGCATCGCTCTTAAATACCACAAGTTTTACCATGTTATTTCAATTATCTCGATTCGAAGTGCCATTAAAGGTCTTGGAGATTCAATAATTTACAATCACTACTTGAATTTGATAGAGTATATCTCTGTACTAATTAGGACGAAATACTCAGACCGGAGTATAATTGCCTTTAGGTTTGTAGAATATTTGTCCTTTCACCAAGCGTCTCGTTATTTCACTCAACAGCAATTGTTTCTCCTTCTTAATCTTCTTCATTATACCCCTATTTTCTTGTGCACGTCGAGAAAGATACGGTAGTACCTCCTTCACTGGTCCATAAGGAATATATTTAAATGCCGAATAACCAGATTGACCTGAAACGAGACAATCATTTAGTACATAGTTTTTTCCTTAATAATATTTACTTCGAAGTTGAATATAATTATATATTATCCTACCTAACGGAAACGTTATATAATCACACATTCCTAATAATTGACCAAAGCAGATAACTTTATCTTCTGGGGAGATTCCGATTTCCTTCATTCTAAAAACAAGAAAAAGATTTGTTATTGATGACATTAAAAAGTAAATAAGTAGTTATGTTAAATGCAAATAACAGAAAGGTCATAACGTACTTCTCTATAGCAAAACGTACGGTGTCTTCGTTATGCGAGGCAACCATAATACCTATTTTCTTAGGGTCTTCGCCCTTATCTTTATACTGCTTCATCCTCCTCAAACACTCCATCAGTGTTTTGTGATAAGATTCAGTAGTAGCTTCATATGAAGGATTCGTTGGGTCCGGATAACCCATAGCAGCGGCTCTTGCTCTTTCCTATCGTAATTATCATGATTACTCGAATAATGATATACAATATAAATTAGAAATAACTATACGAGTAAAATCTAACTATATTTTGAAATTTCATTGCAATTATATTTCGGACATCTTCTGCAATAAGATAAATATAAGTTTTAGAACAAAATACGTCTATAAACTCATCATACCTGCTCTATATAAGCACCTCGTACGATTTTCGCGCCAAAATAAAAGTTTTGACGTTCTGCCTGTTCTAGATCCGTTTTTACCTCGTTATAAGCTTCCTGCAGATATGTCTGGTACGTATTGAACACCACGGCCTATGAAGTAGACCATTTGGGATTGAGAAATGATTCACTGAAAATTTGCGGATTGATAACATATTATGCTTTTTAAATAGAGCTTTACCTTATCTGTATTGTACTTGCGCATCATTTCCAACGTTAGTCTTGAGATTGCCGGCTGGAAATACGTTTGCTCCGCGTCTATCATAATACGTACATTTAACTTGTCGGCGACCTGTTGAAAATATTTGAATTTTTTATTAAATGAATTTTTTTACCTTCTTTTTTCTTCTTAGTTTGTGCTTCTTAACGTGCCATACATACTGTAACAAGATTGTTTAGTCGTCTGATCATATTCCTAAACATCTCCTCTTCCTTCGACGTCAGTTGTGACATAAGTCTCACCATTTTTCCAGTCTTTATGTCGGGAACTTGAAATGTTTCGCTCAACTCGTAGTTCTCGTCCAGAATTCCGCTCCAAGGGAATAAGTGAATCACACTACCAAGAAATCCACATGATATCTTTGTTATGTTATATTTACATTTAACAAAGGGATGTTTATCCTAAAATAAGGGTGAACAACTTCGCCGCGAGCCACACGATCTTTATCATCAATCAATCCGTTCCTCCATTATTTAAGTTCACTAATCACCACTTCATCGATAATCCGTAAATAGACAGAAACAAAAGTCATGCAGTTCACGAAACACGGCGATGTCAAATAGTGGGTGTCGAATCTCACTTTATTAAAACAGCCAAATAGGAGTAATTACATGCGACCCGCGAGCCATCAATTGCCCACTCCTATTTTAAGATGTATAAAAAACGATTAAATTATCGATATATCAGAGTTTTTCAAACTGTTGCTTGATAGCAACATTTTTTCTCCTTTTCTTCTTCTTTTTCTTTTTCTTCTTTATATATTTTCTTTATTCTTCTTTCTTTTCGTATAATGAAACAGTATGCAGATATCTGAGTGTATTTTCTAGTTCTCGTATCTTTAAACTTTAGAACATTGTGATATATCTACCCAGCGAATACTGTCCCGCTGTGGCCTAACAATAGATATTATCATTTTAATTTATTATTAGATAAAAATTTCTTTGCACTTCTAAAGTAAAACAAATAAAAACTGACTTATTTTCAAGAAAATGTTTCTCTTTCTGAAAATCTTACTTTGGTATATATACGGTTGTTTCACGTAGGACTTTTTATCTATTGTCGTTGAAAAAGTTTCAAAATTTCGTTAATTTTAAGATTTAAAAATCTTTCGTGTCTTTTGAAACAAATATAATAATTTAACCCTTGTACTGCCAATTGGCTGATATATGTCGATCCTTAGTTCATATACGAAAACTGCCACCGGCCGATAGTTAGTTCCTGGTACTCATGCTAAAACTGCCACCAGTCTATATGTCTGCTCCGTTTGTTGATGTTCAAACTCTCTCCTCTGAGTGTCAAATGACTTTCATATTCTTTGTAATTAAATATTTTCCTACATTTAAATGCAGTGAAAAGAATCTTTATAAATTTATTTATGAAAACAAACGAAAACGGTCGGAACATTTTTCGCATATACCAAATATTTGGGATTGACTGTAAAAGGGTTAATAAAAAAACGATAATGAAAAGATTTGAGGAAGACGATACCCTTCTTTATCCGATTGAATCTTTTCAAGGAACTTTTGTACCGGTGCCGCATCCATCACATGAGCCTCTTCGAATTTTTTCTTAAAATCATCGGGTTTTGCGTGGTGAGCCAAAACAGCACCCTCACCACCCACGACGTCCGACATATACTGCCGCGCTCGCATGATTACCTCAGATAGTTGAAGCTTTAATAAAAAGGCAAAAAAATAAAAAGATTTGTCGTGTATTTAAAACATGAATGTTTAAAATAACAAAGAACATATGCATATGATCTTGAAAAAGGAAATATAATGACTGATGATAAAAAGAGCTACGAACCAAAAGCTGTGGACGACCGAGCGCTGTCAATTTAACAGCCGTGATTCCGGCACCCATAGAAGTACCTGCAAAGATATCAGCCTTAAATTACTTTTTGTTTTGAATTATTTCTTTTCTTATGCAAGACATAATAGGATCACTCAAATGCGATGCTTTTCACAATTTTTTCAAATACGTACACATTATGTTAACCAATGCATACCATCATATTATAATTGTTAACATAATTGGATACATAATTCACGTATCAGCGTGCACATAACGACATAATACAAATGTGTATATCAAAAGCGGAAAAAATTAAGTAAAGAGATTAGATTAAATTAAACTTTGACAGCTATTGTTTCTTATCCTCTTACTAGGGCTCAAGTTAAAGTACGTATTAGGAGACTCGTGAGATATCTCTGTCTCGTTCTAATCTAATGCCTTCGTAATCATTTAATGGCATTCATAATATTCCTCTCCATTCATAACTTCGAAAATGATGTATAAAAAAGAAGATTGTAACTGATTCTGATTCACTTTTCTCAAATCGAGACACATTCTTTGATTTATCTCTTTGAAAAGGAAGCAACAAAAGCGAGAGTTAGATAACGATTAAAAAAAGGGAATGAAGAAAAAGAGGAAAAATGAAAGAAAAAATAAGCAACCACTGAGGATGATTATTATTCGTTAGTCATCGGCCGAATATTTATGTCAAAGACTATTCAGGCAAATGTTATGTCACATCTTCCACTGGAAAGTAAGTAGAGTCCGGCAAGATCTACTTGCGGTATGGTATTTATAGAGTGCCTAATGGACTCACAAAATTTCAAGTTTCTATGTCATATTCTTCTCATCTGAAATTAATTATTTTTTCGACTAATATTTATAATTTTTCCTCCAAATTAAGTATAGTACATGGTATGTTATTTTTAATATACATATGTATTATACAAAATGTCTTTGTTTGTTTGTTTATAAGTACTCCATTTGTTGAGATAATTATAGTTTGTGATATATCTTTTTGTAAGACGTAATTCTTTGATTTGTTCGAATAAGTATGTTATCAGCACAATCAACAGTTATCAATAATTAAGAAAATTTTCTTACATAAATACATATATTTGAAGAATTAAGAGCTATAAGATTATTTATTTGATTATTTAAGTCCTTGAATATTTAAAAATATAAATTATGAATATTACGAATACACACAAGGGGATTGATTTCACTAAATGAGATCTATTGTGCTCTCTCTCTCTCTCTCCTCTCCTCTCCTCTCCTCTCCTCTCCTCTCCTCTCCTCTCCTCTCCTCTCCTCTCCTCTCCTCTCCTCTCCACTTCTTTACATTCCAACCTTCATCTACCTTAGTTTCCTCATGGTCTTTCTGTTTCAAATAACCGACGTTTCAAGTAATAAACTTCAAAGGCACATCACATGACGCGTAAATAACGTAGCGCATATATACATAAGTGACACGTATGTTCTCACGCATACGTTGAGCAAAAAACGGAAAGACTCATACGTAATCAGATAAACGTCCAGACAAATTTACAAAAACAGATATACGCGTGCATGTACACAAGCTACTTCCTTCCTCTGCCTATAAGCAGAAACCAAGTTTAAATGAATGACACATGTAATTACTGTCGTAGCAGGGATTACAACTGAATGACAACACTTGATTTTGCCGAGGGGATACTACCGGAATATCCGTACGAATTTTCTTGTCTTCTGTGACTTACCGGCAACAGCTTCGAGACATCTAATGAAAATATCCATATTCCGTTCGCAGGAAGCTTCGTTCAAGTAAAAGTACGTCCTAGCCGAAGATACTTTGTAACGACGATCGGCAAACGATTTTTCGACGTGATACTTCTTTAACGGGCCCTCTGTCTTCTCGTCACCTGCTTCCGACACAGAGGCCCTAAAAAAATAGAGATCGCCACTTAGCAAATATTATTCTGAATAACTAACGAATCGTATTTATCTTGTCTGATAATTTTATCATACAGCTTTGAAAAGTTATAATCTTCATATTGTATCAATTTATACAAGTATAACTTCATTAATATTTTTGATTTCGACAATTGTCTATTATGGTTATAAAAAAGGTTTCAACATTTCTTTCATAAATTTTGTACACTTGACTCACTGTATTTCTCGGCGCTCGGCTTCTTCCTGTGATATATCTTCCTCTACGGAATAATCCAGAATCGGCTTGACCCCAAATTGCCGCAACCTGTCGAGAACCGGAGTGATTTGTACTTCATCCTCACCAGCTACAAAGTGTCCATAAAACGTTGCCTTCATCATTTTCGTAAAGAGCTTTTCTCCGAGCAATTTCTCCGCCAATTTCATAAACTGAAAAGATCGAAGAAAATCGTGAAAAAAGATCGAATGAAATGAAAAAAACCAAAAAAAAATATCTTCTATCAACAATATATCTCAGAATGAGAACAGATAAGCAAACGCGTACGTAAATACATGTATTCTTTTGGAGTATCATATGAACATTCGAGGAATAACGCAAAGTAAATAATCCTAATCTAAGGCAGATATTAAATGCATTAAACTCGAGACGATTAAACTCTGACGATGCACTTACGTTTCATGGAACTCGATTCATGATTTGACATTACGATTACGTTAGTAGGAGAGAAAGATTAGTGTAAAATCAAATTATCTTGATTGATCATAATATTTAATAAATATTTATAATCATCCATTTTTGTTAAACTCTTTTAAAAATTAAATTGTTTAAAATTCGTTTGTATGATTTGATAAACCATCAAGTTTCGTGCACAAAATATTTAAGAGACAGCATAAATTACAGAATGAGTTTGTAATATAAAGAAATTTTATCGCACGATAAAACGACGTTTTGAATCTTCGTCTGGAAAACCACAGAAAAGCTACAAAGATGTCAAAAAAGTCAATTGACAAAGCAAAATAATAAAATAAAAAGAGATGTCACATCCGGTGAACATCGTAATAACATGCTTATCTAACAAACTTCCTTTGAATAAAATCTGAGTTACTGTAATTAAGTAAAAATCTTTCGAGATAAATTGACTGCAATTACTCAACATTCCTAATATTTCTTTAAAATAATCGGGAAAGCTTGTGAAATTAATCCGGAGAGTACATAAATACATATATATATACTTTCGTTCGTTCTTTCGATAAAAAAAATACTTGTAAACGAGATCAGAGAATAAGTATGTAACCACATATGTATGACATCATATACGTACATATACGTATGTAGTTCGATATTTATACACATCGTTATACATATCGTAATATCAAACATCGATAAAACCGGTGTTTAATCATTTGTAAAAACACACAGGTGTTCTTTGTAATACATTATGTATAACTTATAAAAATTGTATCAATTTGTCGCTTTCATTTCCTACTTATCGTTTGTCTACTTATTATATTTAACATGTATTTATTAAAACACATATCATTATTATTTGTGTTTTAGGCAGACGAAACGTGAACTTTTCTCAGATTCTGTTCTTTTTTAAAAGGAATTTTATAAAAGATTAATTTTTTGGACAATATTTGCAAATGTTTCCGACAATAATAATAAATTTATTCCCTTTTGTCTTTATATGTACATTTTTCATTACTTACGATGTACATATAGGAAAGGAAGAATAATCTTCCTCATGGAAAGAACCATAATTAGAAAAGACATAGAAATAGAACAAACAAAAGAAGGGATACGTACGTAATTACGATCATTTCCTAATCTATTAGATTTCGATGGGTTTCACATACGAATCTATCATAGTAGTCTTACAAGTGTTCCTCGTAGAGAAAATTACGAGCTCTTTCGCTCTTTTGAGTGCAGAAGCACACGCTATCAATATACCTATATATTCAGTATAATAGGATCAATATCTATATTATCTATCGTTCGTATAAGTTTTACCTGTATTTGTATGCTTTTAAACATATGTATACAATAAAAGGAAAACATGTAAAAGTATAATAAATCTAAATGATTTTATTGCTATAAATCAGCATACAAAAATCCCTAGAGAGATCACGTTTATCAGACAGACCACGATTGAAGGGCAAACACGTCTCACACGTATTTTTTTCATAGATTTATATTTAAAATATGACAACTTTTAGAATCAATATTAATTCACGAACACAAATTATAATACTTGCGTCGATAATCAATGTGAATAGTACGTTCATTACAAACGGATTCGTCGGACTTAATTGTTCCTATTCATTCGTCGCATTTGAGCCGATGATAGCGTCGCACTATTTCGCATTTGTTTTCTCTCTCTCTCTCTCTCTCTCTCTCTCTCTCTCTCTCTCTCTCTCTCTCTCTCACACACACACACACACACACACACACACACACACACACTATCACTTACTTTCTTATATTTCATGGTGAATTTTAACCTTTTCCCAAATGAATCAAAAAACTTAATACAAAATAAAAATACAGAGAATGACAAAACAGTGATTTTTACGATCATCGAGGATTGTAGATTATAAATAAAAGCTTAATCGACATATATTAAAACGATTAAGAATATCTAACCAATTATTTTCCACGCATTACGATTGTATATTTATAATTACAGTTCGTTGATATTGTAATTTGTCATATTTGTTTGTTTGTATGTATCATATAGTATATAATTTTTCATTTATTATTGATCCGAGCAATGTTTAAAGAACCATTTAAAGACTAACTTAATTATTGATACTTAAGTTTAATATTAAACGTTTGAATGAAATTTAAAGATAATCCTATTTAATAAATATTTCTCGCAAGCTCATTAATGATTAAAAATCGATAAAAATAATACGGTTAAGTTGCAGCGAGCTTTAAGGCCGCAATGTAAGTAGTGCACCTTATATAAGTATGTATGTAGACGTATCAAGATAGTAGGCTACGACATAGAATACGTTCAGTGAGAATTGAACCGACGATCGGGGGCCAACGACTCTTCACCAGTAATACACTGTCGTATCCACGAACGAACTCTCTTCGCTAAAATCAATATTCAGTCACCTTGCCAGACAGAGTTATAGGTATGTATACCTACGACGAACATATGTATGTATACTACGCATGTATGTTGCAAGTATCGCGAATAAGTAAAGTATGTGTGTATATAAGTCATCTGATAGATGCCTTTTGAACGCATCCTTTAGTTCGAAATACCATCCTTTTTACGATAAACAAGTGTAATTTTTTTTTCAAGACTCATTACACTTTCTCCATTACGATTTATCGACACTTAAGTTTCGTGCCCACACATGATACTTTGATGTTGGACACAATTTCAAACCATTTCTTACGATAAATAAATCTTGTTCACGATATACATTAAACGTATCACCAATAACGTCGATTTGGTTCTTGATCGAGCCCTTTCTGGCCTCCCACTTTTGTACAAGGAAAGAATTACAACGACATTAATTGCAAATACCAAGACTCACTTGTTAACGATAACGCAAGTAGGTAGGTACATATACACTCAATCATCCGACAGGTAGTCTCGTATTTACATCGAGCCGATAGCAATGTTTTTAAAAGACTTATAGATATTTACTGTAGTTTTATGCACTTGTTTATTGATAAATGCATATACATGATATATACACAACGTTTATGTACTTTTTGCAAGCTCGCTTCCTTGAAAGAACAAGAAAAAAGTAAAAAAAAAAACAAAGAATTTTAGTTTCGTTTGGGGTTACATCATTAAAATCCCTCTTTTCGAAGAATTAGCAAAAAATTTCGTAGAATGGTTTCTTTTTCTTCGGCGGAAGAAAGAAGGGAAGAATAAAAGCATCGTTTTTGTAGTGCACGGAAAGATTCTCTCACGCTAGAGGCGCCAGACAACTAACCGGACGACCTTGAGCATAGTTATCACGTGTCTTTACAGACCAATCGAAGTAGGACATCGTAATAGGACATAGAACTCATTCGTACCTTTTTTTGCGGAAATTCGACCATGTTTTTTTAGATGTAATTTATCACAAAAACAAACAAAAACGAACAAGGACTGATGATATCTCGAAAATGAACCGAAAAAGCAATCCCTGCGATATAAATTGCTGCATTGTATTTCAAAATATTAAATGATCCTAACACGGGAAAGGTTCAAATTCCACGGACCGCTATCCACGTGAATATATAATTTAGTTAAATAGTTAAATTTCTACCCTTAATTTAAATTCTATCCTTAAATTAAATTTCTATCCTTGTCAATGAAAACACGAAGCAACGAAATAAACCGCAAATAGAAATATATCAACTATGATAATGAAAAAAAAAAAAGAAGAAAGAATGTAAATATAAATCGTTTTAGTAGTGGCGTCTTGTAAATCGATCGATCGAATGGTACTCGCCATATTCCAGGCGCTACATTTGAAAGAGCGAGCACGTGGAGTAAGATGGCCGAAGGTAACCGTAGATGGCTGTGACAGGTAATGTAATTCAACCACGACGTCGTGCATGGAAGGATTGTTCTCTTCTCTCTCTTCCTCCCTTCCACTCTCCCTCCTTTTCTCTTATTCGTTCTTTCTTCTACGTACTCAACTTTGTCATATTGTCTGGCAATCGTCTGAGCGTAGTCTGGCAGGCCGTACTCACTTACGCGCACTTTGAGGCAATGGCCTATTTTCTCTTCGGTTTCTCATTCTCACTTTTTCTTTTTTCATCATCATGTATAGATTCACGTCTTCCTTTAAGAATCGCGAATATTGCTCTTTAAATAAGAAGCGCGATTTTGCTTCTCCTCTTCGTCCTATACAGCGCACATTTTCGTTTGTTCACCTTAATTTATTTATATCCGAAAGCCAAAATAGTTTACGTTCCCTTCGCATCACTGCTTTCTTCTCTTCCCTCACGCATCTAACGAAGATAGAATAATATTCGGAGACTTGGTACACCAATCATATCGAACTTCTTGCCAATTTGGCTTATGATTTACTATAACACCACTATAGTTCTAGATTGAATGTATGTGGCCATGATAAAATAATCACGATTCATTTCTTTGCTTTCTCTATCGCTTTTGAATTTTCCTAGGATTTCTATCAGCTACGTTAATATGAAATACCACTAAAACAGCTAAGCTTCCCTAGAAATTTGACTAATAGTACATCTTTTGGAGAACTGTTTCAAAAATTAAAATTGAAAAGATTGGCCATAAATTTAATTATAAAACTCTTGTCTATATGACTATAATACGATAAATGGTTCCTGACGACAATTTTTGTATTCTATGGTGGTAATCCATTGTTGGTAATCCATGGTTGGTAATCCAAAATTTCTTCTTTTTTCAAGGGTGCTGCCACCTATCGACAAAAACGCAAGCTTCTCAAGTTCGTAAATACACGAAGGACGAAGGAGCTTAAAAAGATAACCTTGAAAGATCGATATTCTTGAACACAATGCAAGGCATGCGATTTAGATAACCTGCTAATCGATCGAATGAAATGGTGACAATTCTAATTGATATAACTATTGATTACGTGAACGTTCTAATTAACCTTTTTGATTATCGATAGTAAAAGTAAATTTGTAAAATATTTCAATTTTCTACAACCAAATTGCTTTTTACAAAAAGATTTTTGCTGGATGATTTAATTTGGATGATTTAAACCAGACGTTACAATCTTATATCCAAATATCGTGTGGCCTATAGGATCGGTGGGTATGTGATCAGCGAGTCGCTTACGATAATCAAATTTAATACATACTGCAAAGTTGAAAAACATGCAAATATAAACGTAAAAATTTTTCTTCTCCCCCTCTTCCATAATCAGTCAGTAAAAGATGATTTCTCTCGAATTTTTTCAAGGTCGCATAATAATATCGATGTTTCAAGCTTAGATATTATGTGAGAATGATTTAATCTATACTGATTTATTCACATATGTCTGAGAGAACGAAATAACGATTTTTCTTTTTTGACGAGAAAGCTGTTAAAAATCTTTCAGGGAAAAAACTTTGAGTTTTTTATAATGTTTCGAACTTTATTAACATATACCCTAGATTGTCCATGGTTACGTAATCTCTAATTAAGAAAATTGAATTTGTATCGATTTAACGTACATAACCACGTATGATATTGTTTATAGGAAAGTAAAATAATTAAAAGGAAAATAAAAAAGGTGATCGATATTAAGGACAAAAAAAATAAAATACTTAAGTTTGAAGTAAGCATCTTTAGAAGCTATCGAAATTCAAACGCGGTCGTTCTAAGATCTTACGCTGCTATATATCACCAAGCGAATGCCAATCAATATAATTCCTCGTAGAAATTGTGTGAACTAATTATTATGCAAAAATGGGCGATCGTTTGAAAAGATATGTTTAATAGAAATTTATAATAGATTATTAGTTAACATCAATATATGGAATAAATAATGTACCAATAAATATTTAAGAACTGTGATCATAAAATATGAAATAAAAACCGATTTCTTCACATTACACGAAACATTTAAGTTGTCTTTATTTACAAGGTGTAGGGGTTCAGAATAAAATAACTTCTATGTTGTCGTCAACAGATTCCAAAGAAACGGCGAGCCCGTCTACACGAACAAGTGCACGTGCAAATAGCAGGTACTTACGATCGTTACACAATTGGAACGTAACGATTGTTACGTAACGAGTTTTTTCAAAGTTTACGGAAATATGAGACAGAATACGCAGCAAATACAAACTGAAGTTCATTCTCCTCATTCTATTCGTAGACCTCTCTTAAAATAACACAAAAGTTATTGTTAGCATATTAGTTAAAGAATTTTGAAACAATATATTATACGCATGCGCACGCGTGTGTGTATAGCTGGCAGATCATTCGATAAGACACGAATTCTATGATGCAAAATTTTTTATACGACGAAAAAATAGATGATTCAAAAGAATAAAAACGATACAATAAAATAATAAAAATAAAATAATACTTTAATGTGTAGATGATCAACCTGAAGATGTCACCGTCATTTTTAATTACGATAGCTTGTAGAAGATAATACATACATACATACATACATCATTCATACATACATACATACATACATACATCATACAACATACATACATACATACATACATACATACATACATACATACATACATACATACATACATACATACATACATACATACATACAACATACATACATACATACATACATACATACATACATACATACATACATACATACATACATACATACATACATACATACATACATACATACATACATACATATATATATATATATATATATATATATACATACATACATACATACATTCGATGGAGAAAGAAAATTCCTTCGGGACGAACTATTCGCTGGCACGAAGGCGTGCGCGATCGATAAGCGACATCACCAAAATCAATAACAGCTCGTGCCACGTCGTACTAACGCATAATAACAGACGAAATTCGAAGCTAATCTAGCTGCTACTAAGAAGGAAGTTACTGGCTCTACAATTCATCATAACCTATGTGTATGATCTATTTTTAAAGGTTTGTAAAGGGAGAAAAAATAATCATTTCAAATATTTTCAATGTTGTTGCAGCTTCAACATAAATTTAACTTCGATCTTGTTCAAAAACATTATGTTTCTTTTTCCTCTTCTTATTGCAAGATCAAAGACTGCAATTTTAAGATAACAAAAATAATTTTGATTTGTGCAAATACATTTTGGAACGTACTAATTAATAAAATTATGCATATATATATATATATATATATATATATATATATACACGCACACAAAATCACAATTGTTTGATCATCACGTCATTATATTCATATTTTTCTTTTAAAAAAATTATCATTAATGTACATTATTCTTTTCAATCTATCGAAACTGAAATAATTATCACCCCTAAAATAACGATTAGAAATAACAAAAGGACGAAATTCTAAGTTCTCTGATATAATTCAATGACATATATATAACTTCAGGTAATAAAAATATATACATAAATATAATCGACTACGAGACGATTGAATGTAACAAGACGTTGAAAGTTTTGATACTCGACAATGTTAAGAAAGATTTGTTTTCTAGTATAATATTTAGAGATTGTCTTTCGAGAAAAACTATATAAAAATATAAAAAGATGTTAAAAAGAAAATTTAGAAACATACTCGTTGGAAAAAACAAAGCATCTCAGTAATGTCCAATTGTCGAACAGCCATGACAGTTAATGTGACTTACGTAGTAGATAGCAGACTATAAAATCGATTATTCTCGATAAATCTAAGAGGGAAACGATATAATGTAAATATAATTAAAAGAGAGTATATATCAAAAGAAAATTATTGATCATTGCATATGGTACGCAGAATTATTGAAGACAAATAACTGTTCGTTCGTACTCCATTCGCCATGCTGAGATTTCACGACAAAGGAAGAAACGTGAATGGCTCGTCCGTCGAATGAGGAAAAAGCAAACTTCTCTTTCCCTCTCTCTTTCTCTCTCTCTCCTCTCTCCATTTCCTTTCCTCTCTCTTTCTCTTTCTCTTTCTCGCTCTCTCAAATTCGAATCGGTAACTCAATAAAGCAAACCGTTGGGCAGGATTCAAAACGCAAATATCGATAATTACATAAAAGGCGATCGTAAAACTGCGCCATTTCGTATACGTGGTTGGTGGTGGTAGGGAAGAGAGAAGAAGGAGAATGAGGAGAAAGAGAAGAAGAGCAAGAGAGAAAAAAAATTTCATAGATGCTGATCTAATTTCATCGACAAAATACGAATAAGAAAGAAATTGAAATGGATACCTTGATAAATACTCACCTTCATGTTGTTTTCGACAAGATATTCAATCGAACATATTTGATATACGATGTACGCTCTTACGAGCTCCATGGTGGTTTTACTCTTGAAAGCAGCAACTGGGTCGTTAAACTTCAAATCGAGCGGATCTATCTGTCTCGGTTGATCTGACGCCGGTTGCTGCACGCTGCCGGTCACTCTACCGGTACTGACATATCCACGTTCGATCAATCGCACCAATGCAGCGGAGACGTTTTGATCCCGTAATCCAACCACGGGGAGTGGCACGCATTTAAAAATCTTTTTACCGGCGCAACATCGCGGCACCGTTCTCAAAAACGCCATTACTCTCTTTCTCTTTTATATATATATAATATATATATATGTATATGTGTATCTTTCCTTTGTAAAGTATACCGAACAGTCCTAATAGGTAAAGAAACGACGAGAGAAACGATTACAACGATCGAAACCCTCTCGTCGAGTGAGGTCTTACGCGCGACTGTGCCTCGCCTGGGGCGTCGAGCTTCCCTCTCTCTCACTCTATTTCTTTGGTTCCCCCCACTTTCTCTCTTTCTCTCACTCTCTGTCTCTATCTCGCGCACCACTGATTTATGTACTGACCCACCGCTGTCGATGTTACTACTGGGACTTGTTCGAACGAGTAGCCAGCCAGTTCCTACCAATTCCTGTTATAAAAGAGAAACCCTTTATATCCACCTTATATCCACCTTACTATATTTCAGTCCAAGAACCCAATAATAAACGACTTGGGAAATCTTTTTTGATTTGCTAATTCAGAAGCTCAAACGATGATCAGATTCGGCTTCTTCATTCTTTTTCTTCGGATTGATTATTTCTTTCCCTCTCTCTCTTCCTCCATCTCTCTTTCCTTACGTACTCCTTCGAAATAGATCGATTTTATGGAGTTAGTTCTTTTCTCTTATATGTCTAATTTTTGTTCCTCGATGAGTGATAGAAACGAGTTCGATCATTGAAAGTATGTACACTTACATACACACACGTTCGAGTCGGTAGAGTGTTAAAGAATGTAAAATCGAGCAAGCTTTGTGATTGGTTCATTTCGAGAAGGTGTGTTCTACCACGCGAATCGCTACTGGTTGTTCTAATTTTTGCTAACGTTAATGATTGTATGTCGATATACATATATCGTCCTATTTTTAGAAATACGTCATGTTGCTTTCTTTTTAATATAATTATATTTAACTAATAATAAAATACTTTTATTTGAGGTACATCAATTAACGAGTGATACACCAATCGTGTCAATTACTTTCCTTATTTTTTACAATCGATTGTTCGGACTCATCGATTAGTCATTAATAACAATGCAGGTTTTAAGAAACAATGTTGAACTGTTACTTTGGCATGCATTCACATGCATGCATGCAAACTAAACATATATATTCTAGCACATACATGTATGTATATATGTATATATATGTGTATATATTTATAGTGCAAATATATTGACAGTGCAAAAAAAACTTAACAATATTAACAAAAACATGGTAAAAGACCGTGAAAAAAATGTGTTTATAAAATCCGCTCCTAGGCTATTTTACTGTCACGAATAAAACAACATATTTCTAATATGGTGTTCTGCAGAAGTCTAAGGAATTTTGAACTTTTTACGCGTGATTTTTTCATTATATATGATATTATCGACGGCAATTAACACTAATAACGATAGGAATTAAAATAGTAAAATGGTTATATTGTGAGGTTTGTCGTAAAAATTACATTGCCACTTAAAAATGGAATTTAAGTGCGACACATTATAATTCAATAATTATTATTCCCATATATCATCACATGAAGGTATTCTTCTTGCGCTTATGAAATTTCCAATAATAATATCAATAATGATTCAAACTACTTTATAATCTAAAAATGAATCCAATTCAACATACACGTGGAGGAAAATTTGCTATATGGAAACTTTATACTTTTGTTTATAAAACATAGAAACACTTTATACACGTTATAATATATCTAATTATTCGTTTTAATATCTATGGGAGGAGAGAGTTTCTCAACCCATTTAGATGGCGTTTGTGTGCTTTCTACGCGTCAGAAGTAGCGTTTCGTTTCCATGTTTGATGATAATATACTTCTACACCCGAGAAGGGGAGAAGAGGAAGTTTACATTTTCATCCCCACGTGTCCAAAAAGCTCGAGAGGACTCAGGCTGTAGGCTGATAAGCAGGACCTGCTTTAAACGTCATGGTTTATGTTTTCAAAACTTTTATTTATTGTCTTCGTCCGATGTTCAAGTGCTTTCGAGAAAAAGCGACGCCTAGTGACAATGTTGCTAAATAGATCGCAACATTTAATGTAGCCCTACGGTTATGCACTTAACCATGGCTTCACCGAATAGGAATGGTACTGTTTAGTTACCACTGCTTCTAAATAACATAGAACTTTAATATAATGGTATAAAAATATTTAATCTAATAACAATAATTTAATTACTTCATTACTTTCATTTAATTACTTCCACTAGTCTAACCTCATAGATGGTAAATTGGTCACTGTTACTCGAGCAACCAATCAGCGATGAGCAACGATCGTTTCTTGCAGAATATAGGGATAAGGTCGTCACATTTAGGATCATACCTATAAGTGCCGCATCACACGTATCAAATTAAAACAATTTTTAAATTTCTTCCGTAACAGTTCGTTCCTGTAATTGAGAAATTGCAAATAAGGATTTATAATTTCTTTGAATGATTTTAAAAATGAAGAATTTTAATGTGATTTATAGACGTGCATGTTGATATATTCAAATTATAAATGTCCTAACTAAATTGTTATATTTGAATTTCTGAATTCAATTTAATTATTTTAACCTATGCGCGAAGAGTTATTTAAATTTTCATCAATTTTTTTAATAATTTATAGTGACATGCAAACTGTTAAATATTGTGTTGAAGTACATTCGTGTTTTGCAATATTTATATACTCTATATATCATAAAACGTTAAATTCTTTTTTGTAATATAAGGAATGGAAAAATCATTAAAACTAATAATACACAGAAGTCAGATAATTTTTGATAATGTCAGTATTACTTGGAATTCTGCGATTAAATATCTGCATCAAAATAATGAAAAAGGAGTTAAATCAAAACCTAATATCCTCGACAATAAGTTGCATTATAAAATAATAGCAGTTCCCCTAAATCAAAGGGGATTTAATGCATATCTTGTTTCATTATATGTTAACAGTTTGATAAAGTCAAATACTTATCGTAAGACTGCAATACAGGTTTTATTGGAACATTTATCTTCAATGACACATCAACCAAACTCCAAATATATAATTTTAATAAAATTACGTACACCAAAAAAGCAATTTCTAGATTATAAATGGTAAGCTGTATAAATGTGATTTAAAGATTTTTTCAAATATATTGAATAGTTCTTGTAAAAATTATATTTTTATAGGAATGAGAGAATAACAAAAATAATATTAGAAACAAGAGAATTAGATTATGCTATGTCATGGTTATCTACACTAGGAGGAGCATTTTCTGCCTTAGGCGAAGAATTTCAACATTGTGTAAGTTGCATAGTTTAATGTATTATTGCTGTGCAAAAATAGTTTATAGACATTGATAATCGCTAAATGCCATTTTATAATGCAATTATCTTTTTACTTGTTTTTATGTAAATATTTTATATTTTGTTATTAGTTTCATTTTTTGTAGTGCATAAAATATAAAAAAAATTAGTTAATCAAAATATACATTTTATACAGGCTCAGATGGCAGGAAAAATTTCAATAAAACAATTTCAATTAGCACTTCATCTTGGAAATCCCCTTCTCGTTGCTCGTTGTAAATTATATGCAGCCTTAAGTTTGATACAACAAGGTTATTTCAAAACACCAAAACATATGATCAAAAATATATACAAACTTGCAGTGGATCAGAATGATACACGTCTGCAAAATATGTGTAAGGGAGTCTGGGCAAAACTTAAGTATAGTTACAAACAAACAAAATTGAAATATGGAAAAAATTAAGTTCTTGTAACTTTATAAGTGTATATATTACATATAGATATGCTATTAAAATTTTAAGTATATAATATTTGTAAATTCGTAAATATAAAATTAGAACATAGAAACAGAGTTGAAAATATACATATCCCAGAAAGTTTTATATATTTTTTAAAGTTTATCGTTATGAAGGCATCTTACATAATATTGCTTTGTAGATACAAAAAAATTAAAAGATATTTTTGCACCTATAAGAATACTTTTCGAAATACTTGTAAAATGTGACTTTTCTGACTTTCCGAGATAGATTAAAATAAGAAATATTTAATACAGCTGAATAATAAGCTTAAGAAAATTCAATGGTAACTGAAATTCCCTGATCTCTTTTTTATTAACTGTTGTACAATCGTTCAAGTTCTATTTTTGCTGTCCTTAGATCACTTCTTGAAAGGACTATTACCATCACTGAGCAAGAGTACCCATTGGATCCCATGCTGGTAAAGTAACAGGTTCCTGCTCGAATACAGCTAAAACATCAGTAGGTACAAATTTTCTATCTACGACAGCTTCAAAGACAAACTCTGAAAACCAATCAGCTGTTAAAATATGATAGCCTTTCTGACCATGATCTTCTCCCCAAGAATTTTCTACTCTGAACTTCTTGATTTTATTTTCATTCTAAAATTGTAAAATATACACTTATTAATTTATATTTTTACCCTATATAAATAATCATAAAAAACTTACATCAATAGATACAGCTGTAAATGCCATTGCGTGTATCATCATAGAATCCCCATAAAGTAATCTATCTGCCTTTGTAAGACCTATCTGTACGTCTGTTCCAAACATCAATTCAAAATCATAAGCTCTAATGTCATGGATACCTTGTTTACCTATTAATCGTTTGTTTACATCACATCCAAACCATACAGGTTCATTCTGTTTTATACTTTCTGCACATAATTTCATTAGTAATTCTGGTGGTTGATTGTTATAAAGCGTTGGTCTTCCACCTATGACATTTCCTAAACAATCCACTGTATAAAGTTTTCCATAAGGATTAGATGGTCTTGGATCTGTGACCAGACACACCTTATCATCGACATTATAGTATGGCTTAACATATTTTTCATAAAACTCAATAGGTGTTATTGGTCCGATGCAGTTATAATTTTTCGTTTTATCATAATATTCCCATGTTATAGTTTCAGAAGGAATACCAATGCAAATGCCAATTATTCTATATATCACAGTCATTTGTTCCATAATTTGACCTTCTAATTCTTTATCAGAAGCCCCATTAGCAACTAAACCTCTTAGAACTTTAGAATATTCTCTTAATTTACTTTTCAAGAGACTATTCATACGAATACTAGCTTCGCAACTATATGATTCTGGAAAACATGACTTTGGAACAAGACCGTGACGATTTATAAGATTAACTATCATATCCCATTGACCTCCATCACAGGTAGGATCATGCAATAAAAATGACACCAATCTTCCTTCCACTGATTCACCACGTTTTGCAGTTTTAACAATATTGTGCAAGAAGTAGTTACATCGTTCTACCTGTAATAAATTATTTAAATTGTATAGTATTATTATAAATTATATTTTATAGGGGTAAAATTTACTTTATGAATGTAAGATAATTTATATTTTTAAACCTTATCCCAGAAAAAAAGGTAAGCTTGGCTAAATTCGAATTCATCCAAATTATATTGTTTCATAAAGGCAGTTCTTATAACATTTAAAGTTGCAAATATCCAACAACGTCCAGAATTTTTTTGGTTTGTCATGGGCTTGCCTTCAGTATCAATTTTATGAGTGAAGACATGCTGAGTTTCTTCCAAAACTTTTCTCGATATACAAGCCTCAATAGGATTGGTTTTTGTACAGACATTTTGTGCTTGCACGTTTCTGTTGTCTGCATAAAATTTTGCACGCAACTGATTCAGTACCTCCGCTGTCAAAATAGCTGCTGTTCAGAAACAAAAAGAAATATTGGTTGACCTTGCAAAGATTAGATAATATAGATACAACAAATATCAAATTGAGATAATAGAGATAATTATTATGAATACATTATATTCACGATACTATTTTGTTCTTTATTATACTCCATATTCTCAATCAAAATACTCTAGTTGTTTGTTGCATGCTAATTATATGCAACATGTTAAAAAAAAATTTATCGGGTACTGTCTCAAAAATAAAATATAAAAAGATCTTAAAGAGCATATCAATGATCGTGTCTGTTAAGTGGCTCATAAAAGAAATCTTGATTATATATATACAATATGTACTCGCCCGGAGATATCTTAAAAAATTTTGTACAACATTGGAACAATATGCTAATAATAATCGTATTGTTATAGCAAAAATCATATTACTAAATAATGTCGACTGGGTAACAAAAAGATAACATTAATAACATAGATGTTCGTACAAATTACCATAAAAAAAATGAATGAACTGAAAAGCGCTCGTAATAAAAAGAAAAGAAAAAAGACAAAGAAACTTTCAAAGCAGGTACTACTGCTTTTGTTTACACGCAACACCAAATGTATTTTTTCTTTTTATTTTTATAATATAAATAATATAATAGCCTGAAATACGTCTCTCATGATCTATGTATTTAGGGTTCTACCTAAGATTTATTTTTGTTAAATGACAAAGTGATTTTTACTTTTGAAATACTCGATTTTTGCGAAGCACATATATACGTATACGTGATGTTACCAAAAATTATGCATGTATAACGTTGTCGATATATATTATAAATATTATTGATAAAAAAAAATACAAAAGTTTTATCTATAGATAAAATACTTTATCTAATGGCTATTCATATTATTAACAAAACTCGGCCTCAGATCTATATCTTACGTTTGAAAAAGAAAAAAGAAGAAAATCGAATTTCATAAAACTTTTTAATCATATAAAGCTCTCCAATATTGTGAAATAAAATTGTATAAATAATTGTAGAAATGAAAATAGCAGATATGAATTTCAGTAAATATATACGCAATATGTTTATTGTCCCATTTTGTAAAACTGTGAAAAATTTATGACACTCTGCGAACAAACATTCGGAGAATATATAAAAGTATAAAGAATAAAATGTAAACTAATGGATATCAATTCAGTATTTCAAGAAAAGATAATAGTGCATTCAATATTTGTCTCACAGTATATTGACAAACATTGGAATAAAAGTCGATGACAGGGTGCAACAACTGGGTGCACTCATACAAAAAGTGTTATTTTCGAATAGTAAAATTTTGTGTAATATTTAAAATGAATTATTTAATACGTTTACGCATTTATCACCTTACAAAATAAATCTTATGACAATTATATGATATATATATATTTTTTTTTATTTTCACTGAAAAGAAAAAGCATAATGTAAAAATAAGTAAGGATTTAACTTACAGACAACCATAATGCTGATCTAGCTTCTCTTCTCTCCCGTAATGGTGTAATGGATTTAGGCGTCGTCACAGAGTTCTACGCTAGTATACTGTACTTACAAACAGAGGGGGCATACCGCTTTTATCGCATATGGTCGATAGACAAGGTAAGTATAATAATTTCTTGTACATTGAACAGGATCTTGTACTACGCATGTCTAATCAGATCTTCGCATGCGTATTAGTATTTTTTTACTGTTGACATCCAAAGAAGTTTGATATGCTAAATTGAACAAATTTACCGCAACGTTTAAACAGACGCAAATTATTATAAAATTTCATATAAACTATTTCTTATAAAACTAAAAGATTTAGAATGATCTTGAATAAAAGTGAAATATTATCGAGTACGTTGGATATACACTCATAGTTTTAAAGGATACTGATTTTTTAACCAATGATGAAGATGGACTTTTTCCATCGACCAATAGCAATTTCGTATATTGATACAACCAATACCATTTTTATTGTAGCATAGTATCATATATTTTATAAAATATTTCACATATGCATACAAAGTATCTTTTTTATATAATTATATTAACATTTTCTGATACTACAGTAGATATTATACATTATTCTTACATATACAATAAAAAATATGATTATTAAGATGCTAAATCGTTATATTTATGATCTACTACTCAAAGATGTACAGAGTATATATAATTAATATATACAGTTTGATGAAACTAAAAAGAATAAGAGATGTATAATTAAGTAATTCTCGATTTAGACAGCTGTTATATCGCAGAGTGTACAAAGTCTTTGCTAAAAAACAGAAAGTATAAAGGATCTTGTTGAATGTTTCTAAATTGTTTCATAAAAATATCATGATTCCACATCTGGTATGGGGGTCTCTTCTGTTTTCGATTCTAAAGAAAAAGGTGGTATTCTACAATCGAATGCATATCCATCTTCTCTCTCCATCCTAAATGTTCCCCTAAAACAAAAGTGTCATTAGTCAAAAAGAATGTTGCTTAGATATATTGAGAAGTACTAACTACATACCACATATGACCACTTGGAGCTTGCAAACTAACATGACTACTATATTGAAATGCGGGCAAGGTTTTAGATAGTACAGGCTCTTGCCCTACAACTCCTCTTCCTCTGACAGTTTCTAATGTACCTGAAAGACTAAATATTCTCCAATGCCTTTCTCTTAATTGTACACTCAAATCTCCTAAATTTTCCAAACGAATGCAATATCGCCACTACATAAAAGAAATAAAGATTTGAATTAAAAGATTTGAATAAAAGATAATATAATTCATATAAATTATATATCATCTACAATCCTTAAAAATATAATGTACCCAATAAACGGATGTAGTTTGATTTTCTCTACAACCCATATAAAATGGTATCACAGTAATACGTATATTTTCTGTTGTTTCTTTATGAACATCGGACAATTCTAACCATGGATGGTTCTTTTTTTGCCATGCTTTCAATGTCTCTTGTGCAATAAAACATGGATCTCTGTTTGAATCATAAGTTAAAAACTTATCAAAAAGTTCATGTTGCAATGCAGTTTTCTCATTTGTAGTATATGGCAAAATATCTTCATGGGCAACATAATCTAGGCCTGGTATTGCATATAGACTGCGGCTACTCTCGTGATTACCCAAAAATGTGACTGCTTCTGTTTGAGCACGCTATGTATTGTTTTAATAAAACTATTTGTACATACATTTATAAGAAATACAAGAACAAATATATAAATACAATGTTATTTTACTTACTATGTACGGACAATCTCTTTGATCTATTAGAACCTGATAAAATGTGTGTGTCCTTCCTTTTACTTCTTTACCCACACTGTTAAAGTTACTATCGCTGTTTCTTAAAAATAAAATAGTTTATATGTTTTTCTTTATATATATTAATTCTACAACTATCAGCTATATATAATTATATATAACATACTCTTCTTTTTTATTTGGTATATCCCTATCGTATACTCTTGCTAGCCATGGAAATAAAATTACTCCCCGGTAACCAAAAACTCTATGTAAGATCAACTGACCCGTTTCATATTTTCCTTGCAACTTGGGAGTTTCGAGTTTTCCAACTTCGGCTAATCTGAAATATCGTCTTATGTAAAATGATTTTACTGATAATTATCATGCTGGCTTCTTTTTCATTTCTGACTTTTTTTTAAATCAAAATATATCAACTAATCATAAATATTATGGCATACAAAACAAAATATTATTTTCTATACATGACATACATATATATATACTTCATAACCTATCAAGTTCTACAATTTCATAAAATAATTATATTGTAATAATTTCCTATTACATACTAATAGAAAAGTTGCGCTCTTTTTAAACATGTTTTTATAGATTATATAATTCTACAAATTTTACAATATTTTCCAAGAAATATAAAAAAAAACGTACGTTTTACGTACTACATACTTCGTACCTAATGTATCTTGTTTGTTGCACATATGATTTTTTAGTTGAACTCAGGAGGAAGTGTTTTAAATTACAAACGATGAAATTTCGTGAGAGCTCCATCCTTTTCTTTAAAACGACTATTGCTTGATTTATATTAGGATTTATTTATCTTCTTTGAGTATTGGAAAATAACGACGCTGTTTTCCTGACATTTCTACTGAGTTTGACTGAGTACGTCAGAGTATGGCAGGTTATATATGTGATGTTTACGTGACTGTCCATGATATAAAAAAAAAGATACTATAGCCAGAGATAGTGAATAAAAATTTTAAGCTGCGGTAACGTATTGAATTTACAACAATTGGTAAATTTGTTTAAGATTAAACTTGATTTAAACATTAAAACAATAAAACTAAAAACTGATTACAAAACAGCAATGATGAATCGATTATAATTAGCCTAAAATTAACTTTTAAAATCCTTAAATAATGATGCATATATAATAGACATCAAAGAAAAATTAAAAACAACAATTACAATGATAATTATTGTAATTTTATAATTTATACATAATATACAACAGAGATTTAAAAAAATTATTTTGAATATATTAACGTATTTTTTTAGGGGAAAAAATTCTATACTGGCTCTATGTTAACTTTCGTGACAAAAAATATGTAATTAGTAAAGCATGCGATAGAACAAAGATAACTATACCTTATCAGATATGCTTTCTTATAATTTTCAACTTCCCTTTATTGACTAAATTCTTCTTGCTTTTATTAATCATATAATTGTTGTTATTTCGTTTTACGATGTAATTAAAAATATTTGAATGTAATATGTTAATTTATAAAAATTTAATATAAATATTTTATTGTATAATAGAGTTCAATATATACTAGGCTTAATAATTTATTTTGGTTTCACTTGTATAATTTATTATCTTTTTAGTAAAATCATATTTTGGGATGAGTTAAATTTGACACAAAATATAAATATTTCGGTTAAGATGTTCTGTATTTCATTTTTTTTTACATTTATGGATATAAATCAGTGAAAAACAATTTTATGATTGAATTTATTACAGACGTTAGTAACCATCAGTGATTGATCAGAAGAAGAAACGATAACCTAAATATTTTACTTTTTTGAAATATTAAGATGCCAAAAAAAAAGACGGGTCAGAGAAGAAAAGCTGAAAAGCAAAAATTAAGACAAAAAGAAATTAGGACTGCTAAAGAACAAATAGACATAGCAAAGTTACCATGTAATACAGTAATGGTAAATATTACATTAAATTGAGACAATGGATTTTTATTTAAGATGTTTGCAATTATTTATTTTATTACATTTTGTTTTTTTTTAAATATCTATCTTAGTTAAATGATAATATGTTGTTATATATAGGAATGTGATAAGTGCAATAAAAAACAAAAAAGTCGTGCTTTTTGTTATTTTTGTCAACATGTGCAACGCTTACCAATGTGTGCACATTGTGGCAAAGTAAAATGTATGTTAAAAACGGGAGATTGTGTTATAAGACATCCTGGTATATTCACTACAGGTCTGGGAATGGTAGTAAGTATAGAATAAAAATATATATCTTGTTATTATAGAAATAACAAGATTATAATTAAATATGTTTTTCATATTAGGGAGCTATATGTGATCATTGTGAAGCTTGGGTTTGTCATGGGAGACGTTGTTTAACTACTCATGCATGTACTTGTCCATTAATGGATGCTATTTGTCAAGAATGTGAAAGAGGAGTATGGGATCATGGTGGAAGAATATTCCGCTGTTCTTTCTGTAATTGTTTCCTTTGCGAAGATGATCAATTCGAACATCAAGCATCATGTCAAGTATTAGAAGCTGAAAGTTTCAAATGTAAGAATTTTATAATCTTTCTGATACTATTTCAATTTCACAAATTATATAAAGATATTTTACAATATTTTTAGGCCAGTCTTGTAATCGTTTAGGACAATATTCATGTCTCAGATGTAAAACATGTTATTGCGAAGATCATGTGCGTAGAAAAGGATTTAAATATGAAAAGAATAAACCTATACCTTGTCCCAAATGTGGATATGAAACATCGCAAACTAAGGACCTTAGTATGTCTAGTAAGTATTTTAATCGTGAACATATTTCTAAACTAATATATAAAATAATTGAACATAACACAGAACAATCAAATTCTTACTTTTTTTTTATTTTCTGAATAATCCATTACATACAGCTCAAATTTCTAAATATTCATATTTTTTATATATAGCAAGAAGTCATAAATTTGGTAGACAAACTCAGGCTGGACCATATGATTCCGACGAAGAAAATAGTTATAATGATTATGGTAACATGCATATTATATTTTATGTAATTTTAAGTCATTTATTATTTCAGTTGAATTTTATGATATATATTTTTAAATAGGTACTAATGATGCTGAATGTTATGGTGGTTCAGAATATTATATTGCTAATGATGATGAAGAAGATGAAGATGAAAATGAAAACGATGATGATGAAGAAGAGGAACAAGAAGATGAATCTTCAAGTGAGGATGAAGTAAAGGATAGTGATAAATTGAGGAAAGAAATATAAAAATCCTTTAGTAATAATGTGAACTTAACATATGGAAAATATACAAAAAAGTATGAAAATTAAAAATTACTATATGAACTACATTTGAATCATGCGTCTACTTAATATGCCGTATTCAAAAATCAGCAATGTTCAATTGATGATCGGCTCGTATCACTGGGCGCAGTCGGTCGTAAGTGCAATACATGACAACAGAATTATACTTTTTAAAACAGTTGATACATCGTAAATAATGAATTCTATACTTTTTTATTAAAATAGAAAAAATTAAAATTATTTTATAGATAAAATAAATTTATTTTTCGTGGAATTCCTTAAAGTGATCAATACATAATGGTACATCGCAAATATGGCATTTATAAATCGTTTCTCTTCGCAAAGACTTAAATAAGCATACAACGCATCGCTTTGATGTTCTTTTTCCTTTTGCTAGAGTTACAGGTATCCGTATAGGAAAATGCCTGCCAGTATATCGCGTTATCGAATCATTGATAGATGATGCTCGCTTACTTTTATATATAGTAAATATTTTTCGATAATTTCTTCGGCTAATTTTTGTTTATAAACATGAAAAGCTCGATCTTTCTTATTGTTTTTAAAAAGTACGTAACTATTTAATAATATATCTATGAAATAAAAAAATATTTTCTTATAGGTCGTTCTACATCTTCGCATAGTATGAAATTTACTTAACATTTCATCACCAACATCAACTCCACCCATATACTGATTGTAATCTATTACTACTGTTGGTTTTAAAGTTTTTTGTCTGCTATATCGGTTTATTTTCCCAGTTTCGGCAAAATCTAAGCCATGCATAGTTGTTAATAAAACATCTTTTTTATCCTTCCATTTTATCGCCGCCATATCCCTTGTAGAAAATACAACAGCTTCTCCCTTTTGTAATTGGTGTAATTTTAGTTCTCGAGGCATTTCTTTCCTATTCATTCTCGCTGTTCCACATACATTTGTTTCCATATTATATAATTTTCGATATAAGGTCGGTGAACTGTACCAATTGTCAATAAACAAACAATATCCTTTATGCAATAACCTACTCTCTTTCAACAAATTTATCACAACATTTCTGCTAGCAGTATTAGTTTTATCTGTTCCTACATACATATTAAAATTGTGTATATATTTCGATTTCGAATCACACAGTTTGTAAAACAATACCAAATCTCGCTCGTTTTGTTCTAATAAATTGTATATGATCTAAACGGCTTTTATATTGCATTAATGATTCATCAATCGAAATGTTTTTATTCAGTACATACATGCGAATAAAAGTCTTTTTTACTATTTCAGAAACTTCTCAAATTTTTATGAGTGCGTCATTAGAATTATTATTACTAGAAAAATATAAATTTTTAACAATAGAGAAAAATCGGTTACGGCACATAATAGTCTTAAAATATGGTGTTTCTATGCTTTTATCTATGGTCCAGTAACTCTGAATAGTGGGTTTAGAAACTAAATTCATTAAAATGTTTAAAGCAACAAATACTTTTAATTCATCGTCTGTAAGAGGTATAAAATCTGCGTCGGTTGCGCCATATTTATTAGTCTCTGTAATTATTTTTGTAACTAATTCTTTGTTAAAAAATAATTCAAAAACTTCCCTTCTCGACAGATTTTGCGTATTTACAGTTGCACCATCCACACTTGAAAAATCATGTATAATTGGCCTATAATTTTCGGCTTTCTACATATAATCTTCATTTATAAAACTGCCGCACTGATCAACTTCATTTTCATCACTTGATGAAATAATCATGACACATTTTCGAGTATGTCTCATTTCTATACTTGAATCTGAGTCGTCAAGATGGTCAAAATACATTGAGGCAACTAAATTTTAGTTTGACTTATGAAGAAAGATTATTTTAAAAATTTGGATTTGTTAAATTTAAATATAGATCGAAAACACTTACTCATAATGATAGTTTAAAAGATTTACAGAACAAAAATAAAACTTGTTTAGAATATAATAAACTGAAGAGATCAGACGTGATCTATAGTATCTGAAGAATATTCGGTAACTAGTAATGAAAATCAATCGCGGGCTCGCAGATATATCCGCGCTTGGATGCAAATGGGTTAATATTATAAAGTAAAATTATATAAATAAAAAACTTAAAAAAATCTGATATAAAATATTATTTTATAGTAGTAAAATTGACAGAAATTAATACTTTAAATTTTTTGATATGAACTGAAATGAACATTCCACAGAATTCAATATAACATTAATATGCAACAAAATACATGAAGTATGATGCCCATTCTTAAGTAATAATAATAATTTGAATAATATAATACTAACTTAGAAAAATGAATATTAATCTAATACCCTGGGCTAGATTAGAAGAAATATTTGTGTTACTTATAGTAAATACATGTAATTAAATGCATGCTTTTTTAATTAACAAAAAAATAAAGAAATATAAGACAGCTCTGTATATAAGTAATTTACAACCTATATTTATTATATACTTTTTTACATTTTACATGAGACAATTAAAAATTGTTATAAAATTATTAATATATTTCCAATAATGTTGGATAATCATATATTATACACGTAAAGTTGTGTATTCTGTTGGAAATGCAAAAGTGTGTAAACCAATGGCATTAACACTTGGTAATAATCCTGCATTTGGTATAATGTTCCAAGATAACATTAATGTTACGTTTTTATTACCTCTAAAAGCAAACAATTTAAAAGTAACATATAATAAATTAAAAAAATTTAATGTCAGAGAAAAAATAATTACTTACCTTAAACCATTACCATCGTCCCAGAAATAATATTTTGTATTCATATTTTTAAAGTCTAGAACAGCATTGTCTCCACGTAGAACTATTTTGTCCCATAAAACTACCTATGTTAAAAAAAATAAATATTATACCTTCTCATAATATGATTATACAGAATTTTTGAAAGTTTTTACAAAGAAGTCATATAACAACCAGAATAGACTCATACCTGATTAAAGTCATTATTGCTCGTTTGATATTCTGCTGTAAGATATAAGAATAACTGTTTAACGTTCCAGTTAAATAATGGAGTGAGATGTATATATTTTATAAGGAAATAATAACTACATAAAAAAACTAATAATATATGAAATATAAAAACCATTGATATATATATGTATATATACATGAAATATTTAATAATATACACAGAATAAAAAGGATATCAGTTTGAAGATCAAATGTCAAGTAACCAAGATCATTTTTCACCTTTGATGCACTATAATCTGGCATATTTTTCCTATAAAATAAATATATTTTTTCATTATATATAGTACATTAATAAAATAAAAATTTATGATATTATTTGAAATTATATTATGTAACGTAAAAATTAATATTAATATAGTGCTATAACTATACAAATATAAATTACACAATTAAAAATAAAATTATATACTTACACGACTACTTTTACTGTATTTAAAGTTGCATTTGCTCTATAATCTATAAAAACTGTTGAAAGGAAACAACAAAATGTAAGGCAAGCTGATACACTTAATGTATATGCTAAAATAGCATTTCCACGTGTCAAAACTGTATGCATTATTAAGTTTTAAAATCGTCAATATATGAAAATGTTAAAGTTAATTTAATTATATATCTCAAAACTGTTAAGTGTTATGCATTTACAAATTCTAACCAAAATCATTGTCCTATGAAAACTCGATGTTAGCATCGAGATCAACCGGTATGCGTAAAATATAGGCTAGTTAAACCCAAATTATGTTATATACGACCACCAGGGCGGCGTTATATTTTAAACAACTATTTGATACAAGCTTTCTGTTAGTGATGCTATATTAAATCAGTTCTAATCAATTTTATATAAATCATTAAAACATTTCCAGGCTTTGAAATTTTTATATCTTTACTTTCCTGCTACGTGACTATACCAATTTTCAATAATATTTTAATTTAAATATCAAGATAAAATATCTGTTACAATTTTTTAGTTGTTATATACTCATCCTTCGGTTTATTTATATATCGTTTGATAGATTATTTATTGAATTTACTATATATCAATAAACAGTAGATTTTTTAATTGTACTAATTATATAATTCTAATTTTTTTTGATTGACTTGTAGTGAACGTATTTTATTTCAAATTAATAATAAATTTACAATTCACATCACTTGACAATATACTTTTAGTTATACTTTGCAAATACATGTATGAAATAAATATTTTTATAACTAACTTTTCTTTTAAGTATTATTTTTTTGTATTAGCGGGCTTTATTTATGCAATTTTCATCCAAGTAAAAAAAGGAAAAAGTATATATTTAATGATGTGTATGATTACGATTGGATAATTTTATACATCGTGAACCAATCATTGCTTATCTTACATATAACGAATATCTTTAAGGCTCAATGTAGAGAATCTTATAATTTTGGATATATATGCATTACAAGTTATATTTTGTGCTTTATGACATTATAGTATGTTAAATTAAATTATACATAATAATAGTAGTATATTTCATAGGTGAAGTAAAGATGTACAACACGACACATGGTCGCATAATAGAAAATTTTACAGCTTAAATGTGTATTCGTTATAGTCTGAACGGATTGTGCATGAAAAATAATGGATTCTCAATACAAGTTTGTATATTCATATTTAAACTAAGTTGACATTTCAAAGTATATTATTTTTAAAATAAAAATCATGAATACATATACATTGGTAGACGAAAGTATTCGAACGCTCGCTATTAAAACTTTATATAATAAAAATATGCATGTTAGATTTAAGTTTTGGAAGTAATATTGCAACTACTATAAGACAGAATTATTGAGATTATACAAAATTTTAAGCGAATTGAATAATATTTGTAGAAGTCATGAAACATTTATTGTAATGAAGTATTGAAACAGGGCCACAAAAGTATTTGAACGCTTAGAGATCAAGCAATTCAATGTTATTTTAGAAAAATTGTAAACATTTGTAGATATAATTGATGTAGTGACATTGTGTTGTGGGTTTCGTGTTCATTGTGACTGACGTTAACTTATATAGTTACAATGAATTTAAAGAAGTCGGAAACGCAGACATGCGAGAGAGAATTAATATTAAAATTGCATAAAAAAGGGAAAACGTATGGCAGATTGCCTAATTAGTGAAGAGATGTGTATTTACAATATATTACATTATATTAAAAAATCAAAAACCGAAGAAACAATAATAAACAATCACAGGTCGATCAAAGAAACTAATTAGTAGAGAAAAGAAAATTCTTATACGCGAAATAAAAAAAAATCCAAATACGACATATCTGGCTAACATGCATATTTTTATTATATAAAGTTTTAATAACGAGCGTTCGGATACTTTCGTAAGCCACTTTAGATCTTTCTAAAATATAGAACAGAGTTTATGAATTTATTTAAATTGATAGTAATTAGTTACATATTCAGTTTGGATTTTTGATTTATTTACAGAATAATTCATCCAGTGAAGTATCTACATGATCATCTAGTAAATATATAAATATATATATTATTATTGTTATAATTAATTTATATAATATATTTAACTTAATTTGAACAATTTTCATTCGTTATGTATAGGCACAAGATATAAGACCAGATGGAAGACAATTTCTGTCTTTTCGTCCTATAAGTGTTAATGTATCTTCAATAACTCAAGCAGATAGTTCAGCTGTATTTAAAATTGGAAATACTACAGTAATTTGTGGCATCAAAGCTGTAAATATATACCTTTATAAAACATTGAGATAACATAATTATATATAATTCATCTTTAAAATTAAAAAATATTATTTATTATAGGAATTGGCAACACCAAAAGTAGAAACACCCGACTGTGGTTTTATTGTGCCTAATGTTGAGCTTTCTGCATTATGCTCTCCAAAATTCCACCCAGGTCCACCAAGTGAAGAAGCACAAGTTATTTCTAAGCTAATAGAACATATTTTAACAAATTCTGCCGCAGTAGATTTAAAAAAATTGTGTATTTGTGAAGCTAAATTAGTGTGGGTATTATACTGTGATCTTTTATGCATCAATTATGATGGTGCAGTAGTAGATGCCTGCACGGGTGCATTGGCAACTGCTCTTAAATCCTGTAAGTTATATTTGTTTATAGATCTTAAAAATTAACCACAATACATTTTTATTTATTTTTTAGTAACTTTACCACGAATAACTCATGATCCAAACAGTGGAAGTACTTTTGTACAACATGAAGATAGGATTCCATTTCCAGTTAAAGCATTACCTGTTAGTACAACTTTCGCTATATTTGATAGGTAGGTTTTTTATTATCTATGTATTCCTATTACATATGTTCGAAAAAAAAAAAGAAAAAAGAAAAATTTGTTTATATCTTAGGCAACTTTTAATCGCTGATCCAACAGATGATGAGGAAAGCTTATCATTAGGAAAATTAACAATAGTTTCAGATGAAGAAGCAATATGTTATGTACATAAACCTGGTATGTGAATTATTAAAATATTTAATAAGTATATAAAATCACAATTAAAGTATTTAAAATATGTTAATCAATAACATAATAATTTTTATTTAGGTGGCATTCCAATATCACAAGATTTATTTATAAAAAGTTTAGCAAAATCTAAAGGAAGAGCAGATTTAGTGCGAACATTAATAAATACTGCTATATCAACAATAGAAAAAAAATTTGATTCATTAGATAAGAATACTATGCTAATAAATAAATAAAAATTTATTGAAATATACTATTTTTTGTTTATAAGTCATGACCTATTCAGTAAAAATATAAAACATTATACAATTTAAAAGTTAATTAATAACAAACAGCAATATATAAATTTTATTTATTTCATAATTTTTAAAGAGTTAGGAAGAATTTTAATGATATTTTATACATTAATTATTTAATTATTTTTATAAATTATACAATTTTACAATTTAAAATTCTGTAATTTTTTGCAAATCAAGTAATGTAATTAAACGGTTTTAAAACTAATTTAATTCGAAATGAAAACAACGAACAAATCATTACATTTATTTATATAAGCAGGTTTTTCGCATAATTCGCATAAATTCTTCTTGAGAAATTTCTCCATCACCGTCTTTATCAGCCTCATCAATCATTTCTTGTAATTCTTCATCCGTAAGATTTTCACCTAACTCTCTAGCTACACGTTTTAAATTTTTAAAAGATATTTTCCCAGTTTCATCATCATCAAAAAGACGAAAGGCTCTCAAAATTTCTTCTTTCGGATCTTTCTCTAACATTTTTACAGACATTATATTTAAAAATTCCTCAAATGACAGTTTCCCAAGACAATCTGGATCAAAATCAGCTACAAGCTTTTTTAACTCTTCCTTTTTTGGTTCAAAACCAAGAGCTCTCATTGCTATTTTAAGTTCTTTAGTTGCTATTTTGCCTGTTCCGTCTGGATCAAATAGATCAAAAGCTTCCTTTATATCAGCTTTTTGATCTTCTGTTAATTCAATTTTAGAGACAGCTTTTCGCCGAGAACTACTGTTTTTTTTAGAAGTTGAAGCCTGAAAGAAAATGTACAAAATATATATATTTTGTAATGATTAAATAATATACGTACAATAAAACAAACAGAACAATACAAACCATAATTATTATTGATATATTCACGATATTTTTGGTCAACGTTTAAGAAACGATCTACAATTGGCTTTTGTTTTGACAAACAAAGCTTATAGAAAAGACTTCATGTATAATCAATGTAAAATTTCTATATATTACGTATATATGTATCTATGTATGTATGTATGACTTGAATTCATCAGTATTTAATTCTATCATATTGTAATATGATAGAATTAATACAAAGATAATATCTTAATTAAACATTATGTTTCCGTTCTCATAATGTCGTCTTATGAAATTTGATAAACATATAATATATAATTAAAATTGCCAGTATATATAAATCATGTTGTGAGGTTTCTATAGTATAACCATGATGATATTGTTACGAACTATATTATAATCGGCTCCAACCAGTGACATTCAATAATTAATAAAAATTCATATCAAATGTCTAATATTTTATATATATATTATATTCTATTCTATTGCGAAAAATATCGATATATATTAATAATGGATGTAATGAAGATGTGACAACTCAATAATATTTATCTAGAATCAAACCAATGATGTCAGTTTTTTCTTTACTATGTTTATTTGTAAATAATGAATATTGGAAGTAATCTGTTTAATAATGAATGAACTCAGATGGATATTAATTATATGGAATTATCATAAAATAATAAAGTGACTGAGAATTTTCATTATTTAAAATATTAATTATAATGACGAAAAAATTATCATTGACTTGTTGTTTGCTTTTGAATAAATGTCATTGATTTCTCATGTAATAGCATTTCACTATAGCATGGAGAAATATGTATAACTGATGAAAAAGGAAACTCGATGACATTAATGAAAAGTCTTCATTAATGTCATTAATAATCGCAAATATGCATACATATATTGTTACCAATTATGTCACTTATTATAATCAAACTTCCATTTTTATATATTCAATTAAAGAACATTATAAACTTTGTTGTCATATGACAAGAAAAAATCGGTTAGTGAAGGAGGAAAATAGTAGTAATAATAGTAGTAGTAGTTTCTTTTTCTCTCCCGGCAGTCGTGATTATGAAGACATCACCAATAAAATAACCTTAAGCCAGTGATTTCACCGAATAAGAAAATTTTATGGAACGCATTAAGGCGTTCTTAAAGAAAATCGTTTTCATCAATTCTTGGCCTTTGTTCATTTTTTGGTGAACTTAAACTAGTCGCACATTTTCCATAAGATGTAACAGTAAGGTTTCTATGAATCACATTTCTTGATTGGGCTATTCGTAAAAGTCTTCAAGGCCATGCATAAAAATTGACGTAAGATATAATTGTAAGCGCCATTATATACGATTACCGCAAGTTAAAGCTTCGACTAATTATAGTTATCATTGAAAAAATAGCATTGAAATTATAATTCTTAGGACTGTTTATCTTTCCTTCGAAGCGTATAAATTTCAATAACATGTATGGATTAAATATAAACTACAAATGGACAGGGGAATACCCAACATGTATCGTGTAGGTATCCCCTTCGTATCGTGTAGGTATACCCTTCTTATCGAGTTAGGTTGGGTTAAAGTATTAGTTTAACACTTTACAGTTTCTTATATTTATATCTTATTGACATCTGCTTGCAGTAATTTTTGTTAAATAATACGCACGTATACATATATAATAATATAAAGTGGACTAGTCCACTACAGAAGAGAAACTATAAAAAATAATAGCGCTGGAAGTTCTATCTCATAGGTAGTGTGGAAATGGAAATTATTATTTTTAACTATTATTTTTGGGATTATTTTTCGAGAATAGTTTAAATAAAAATTTTTTTTCAAAATTTGAATAAGTCAACATCTTGCTTAAATCTTCATCTTTAAAATGACATCTTATCTATTAAAATCGATTAAGAATTATACTTGAATTTATTATCGATATTATAAAACCAAAGGTAATAAATAACCGTAAGTATTAAGTGCTACTTATTATATCTTCGTTTTTGTACTCTTATGTGTGATAACAATATAACACAAAACGCAATGCTCTTGGTAATTTTAATCGCAAAAATATGTATATAACTTTAAAATCTATGTAATGTTACCACGTGGCATTCATAAAATTTCAAATATCGAGTTTAAATACGACCAATGATTGGTTGAACGTAAGATGTAAACTGTAAGAATTTTATCTTTACGAAATTTTTTACCGCAATAGTTTACATCGCGACAAAAAATGTAGAGGGGATTTTCTAAAGATTTATGTATTACATTTTACGTCGTTGCTTGTGTGAAGGACCTTATTGTTGGAAAGTACGTGCAGTCAGCCTTAAGGTCGTCTTTAAAATAATATTCGACTATGAATATGGGCCTTTGATTTTAGAGATTTTTTTATCTTTAAATCCGAATTGATTAAAATCAACAAATAGTGATTCTCGATTTTTAACCAATCATAATGAAGGTAGAAGCAGCATGATAGTATAACATACCGGAATCACCTCTATATACAATCTTATCTTTTTATACCATTGCGTGATAGTTAATTTACAGAGTGATATTTTCTGCAAGTAATAGTAATTGTTAATTTATTGTTGTATACATTGTTTTGCTTAACTCATTTATACTAAAAAATGGTATGTATGTATATTTCTTATATTGTAAATTCATATAAATTATATTATCAAATATTTCAGTTATTAATGAAAATATTATTTGACGTATAATGTATCTAGATTTTTAGTCGTATGTATGATGTAAAATATCTTTTGAATGTAAATTTATTATTAATGCTTGTATTCTTAAATATTAATAATATTTCTATTGTTCTTTTATTTTTTTCTTCATTTAGATTAATATTTCTTTTAGATTATGTATTATTTTCAATATCGTTTCTCATTAATAATTTATGAAATGAATTAAACCGTAATAAAATAAAATATATATAAATAAAGAAATTTCCAAGTATTATTATACTTTATATTGTTCTTTATAAAAATATTGTTTCATTAACTACAAAATAAATGTTATTTTATTTAGAATTTTAAAAGTAATAATGAAAACTATGGAAATTTTTTCCAAAATTACAAATTTTCGAGAATTACAAAACAACTAATAGTACATTATTTTGCAGTTCCGCAATCAGTATGATAGCGATGTCACTGTATGGAGCCCGCAAGGCCGCTTACATCAAGTAGAATATGCAATGGAAGCTGTAAAATTAGGATCAGCAACTGTTGGTCTTAAAAATAAAACACATGCTATTCTTATTGCACTTAAAAGGGCATCTTCTGAACTTTCTGCTCATCAGAAAAAGATTATTCCCATAGATAAACATATGGGAATTACAATTTCTGGTCTTACTGCTGATGCTAGAATATTAAGGTGATTCCTTTAAACATTTTTTTATTAATGATAAAAAAATTAAAAAATTGGTAATGTGCAGTATTATATTTTCTTTTATTTGTATTATATTTTAGTCGATATATGAGAATTGAATGTTTAAATTATAAGTATTCTCACGATGATGTACTTCCTATTAGTCGCTTAATAGCAACATTAGGAAACAAGATGCAGACTTGTACACAGAGATATGATAGGCGTCCATATGGAGTAGGATTATTAGTAGCTGGTTATGATGTAAGTATTACATACCTAATAATATACCTAATACTTAGTATAATAAATTTGGTAATATTACTAGTATAAATTAAGATTTTATATATTTTTTATATAAAATGACTAATGTAATAATTAATAAATTTCATTTTACTTATCAATATTAAAGGATCAGGGTCCTCACATATACCAGACTTGCCCATCCGCAAATTACTTTGATTGTAAAGCAATGGCTATTGGGGCTCGTTCTCAGAGTGCACGAACGTACTTAGAAAAACATCTTAATGAATTTTTGACATGTGATCTTGATGAACTTGTGAAGCATGGTCTTAGAGCATTACGTGATACACTACCGAATGAAGTAGATTTATCTGTTAAGGTATGAATGTAATGAAGTAAATATAAAATATTATTAACAGATATTTTAATAAACATTGGATCACATCATATATATATATACATATATATATATATACATATATATATATATATACATATATATATATATATATATTTTGTATAAATATTTTGTTGTTGCAGAATGTTTCTATAGCAATTGTGGGTAAAGGCGTTGATTTTATAATCTTAGATGAGTCAGCAACGTCTGATTATTTAAGCCAAATTGAAGGAGATGATAAAAGAGGAAGACCTATTAAACCGAATGTTGATGATGACGGTAGACCACCTCAGGATCCACCCGCTGATAAGGGTCCACGCGATTCACAAGCTGCCATTGCAATGGAAACAGATTAAATTAAAATGTAATAAAAATGTCATAACACTTGTATAAAAAATATGGTCATTTTATTTTCAAGTTTCGTTCTTTAAATATTGAACATAAGAGTAAAATACTTATCATTTATCACCTGCATATATAAAATCTCTAGATGATTGGTTATATAACAAACATCTTTAATTACAAATTTGTATAATTTTTATATATAACAGTATACATTTATTTCTACTACATATTATATTGGTGTATTATTTAATATTTATAGTTTAGAGGGTGTTTTGGCTTCTTGATGATGACGATCTTTTAGAATATTTGTTAAAAAGAATTCGCCAGCTTTGTAGGAAGATCGTACTAATGGACCACTTGCAGTGTAAAGAAACCCTAATTGTTTTCCCATATTTTCCCATAATTTAAATTTACTAGGTGTAACGTATTCTATTACTTTTAAATGTTTTTTTGTAGGCTGCATGTATTGCCCTAATGTTAAAGCATCTACTCCAGCATTTCTTAAATCTTTCATTGCTTGTTCTACTTCATTGTCAGTTTCGCCCAACCCAAGCATGATTGATGATTTTGTAATTAAATTTTCATTACATTCTTTAGCTATTCTTAAGACGTCCAAGGATTGACTGTTTAAAACAAAAGTATGAAATATAACATGTAAATTATAAATATGAATATGTTTAATATATATGAGTATTTTTTTTTAAATTATAAAAATATGTACTTATAATTAGCTCGTCTATCTCTCACAAATGGTGTTAATCTCTCCACAGTTTCAATATTATGAGCAAATACATCAAGATTGGAAGCAACAATAGTTGCGATACTACTTCTATTTCCTTTAAAATCTGGTACTAAACATTCAACAAAAATATCACTTCTATAACAAATAAAAGTAAATAAATAAATTAACGTTTTATGATAAAGAAGTATTTATAAATTCCAAATAGAATACCTGCATTTAATTTCTTTTACTGTCATTGCTATATGTTTTGCTCCGCCATCGCTTAAGTCTAATAACAATTCAATACAAGATTATATTTTTTTATATTATTACAAAATCAAAATGTATTAAAGCTCTGTAACTAACCATCTCTATCAACAGATGTAAGAACAACATAATCTAAATCCCAATCTATTATTGCAGTTGCTGTATTAACTGGTTCTTCAGGATTTAATGGTGCTGGCGTACGAGACGTTTTGACGGAACAAAATCGACAGCCACGAGTACAAGTATCTCCCATTAACTAAATAATATTTTATTTTTGCAGCATATTCAATTATATAGAACTATGTTACTTAATAAAGTTAGTTACCATAATAGTAGCAGTTGCAGTACCATGGGTTCCTCCACCCCAACATTCTCCAATATTGGGACAACGAGCTTCTTCACAGACTGTACTTAAACGTAATTGTCTTAATTGAGATTTTATTTTATTGTAATTTTTACCCATAGGTATTTCAGTTTTAAGCCACGGAGGTAATTTCAATCTGCTTTCTCCTTTTTCCAATTTTAATTTTCCTTTATATTCCGTATAATTGTTGCTGATGAAATCCTCAAACTGTGGGCCATCTTCAAGTCTTTCAGAGAATGTTTTATGAATTTTCTCGGTACATCGTACACACTGTTGCAATTAATTAATATTAATAAGATTTTGTACACGTACATAATATGTAATAATATTCTAATATATATTATGTTATAAATATAAATAGATATAAAATAATGATAGAACTTACTATTGTATGAAAATGAAAGAGACCGAATGATTTTAAATTTGTTGCATAAGTTATTCGCAACATGCTCTAAATTTAATTAAGTCAATTAGTTGTTTATTGGAAAATACGCAAAAATAAATTAGTTTACTTTTACCATTTTCTTAAAATTATATATTTGTTGGTACTCGATGGACGTATAAATAATAAATACGCAATTTGATTGGCCACACTCGTACTATATCGTACCTAAATATGACTACGACCTTTCTCTGTCGATTTTGAAATCGATATAGATTCATATAACTTCATGCCTTCCAATAGTTTATTTTTTGAAGGAACAGCAACTTCAAGCCAATAAAAATGGTATACAGTGATGTTTATAGTTGTTATACAAGGATGTGTTGTTTGTGTTAGAGTGTACTGTCTTGATCGTGGAAAATTTAGTATTTGGATATGTTGTATTCGGTGAGTGTTTCAACATGGTTCAATTTCATTTATTTCATCGGTTTGACGTAATAGAAAATAATGGGCTTTGATCATTCATCAAATCTTTAGGTATAATTCATCTCTAGTTAAATCCATTATTTAAAAATTTATTGTTATTTAATTGTAATTAGTAACGTTAAGAAAATAATAAATTATTGTAAATAATTTATTTATATGATAATATAAATGATTTCTAAAGTTACAAAATAATATAAAGATAGAGATTATAATAGATTTTTGAACAATACATAAAAATCATGTTTAATGATTTTTAGGATAAAAAAGGATGGGGTGTATCAATAGTCGTGCAGATATCAATGATCTACATCCAAATATTTTTCAAGTGATAAATGTTGATGATTTAGGTAATTTAGTTACTCCAGGACGTTTAGAAATTACAGATACAGATATAATTTTATATCAACGTGGCAAACAGCCTATAAAATGGCCATTACGATGTTTAAGACGATACGGTCATGATGCAGAAATCTTTAGCTTTGAGTCTGGTAGAAGATGTTCTACCGGGCCTGGTATTTATGCCTTTAAATGCCATCGAGCAGCGTATTTATTTAATCTTGTTCAAACAAATATCCAAGTATGTATTTTTTGTTTACTTTTAATGTATATCAAATTATATATTTTTATCACATTTATATTTTTGATAATAGGTATGTAATAATAGTATAGACGACACAATATCAAGAGAGCTTCCAGTCGCTGCTCAAACAGTTCCATCTGTAACAAGAGTGACGATACCATTTGAACCTAATTATTTAGATCCAATGCCTACTAGATTTAACAACCGCATGGGTACTAGATTTGTTCATAATGAACAAAATGGAATAGGAAGACTAAGTAGCGTTGGAAGTAGTAATGGTCCTATGTCACCTCAAGGAACTATAAGCACTCCATCCCCTCCTCCTATTTTACCACCACCACAACCACCACCACCACCACCACCATCTACAATTTCTCACTCACATTCATCCTCACTTTATATCAACGAAGAAATATTATTATCTATTCCATTAGAAATGGAACACAATAATAATAAAAGTCTTAGGAGAATGGCACAAAGGTATATCTTTTTATATACTGCACAAAAATCTTATACTTTCCCCATGACTTTATATGTTTTATATTACACTATAGATCTTGTATATTAAATAATATCATTTCTAGCAGTGGCACAAGTGGATGGGAAATGACATCCATAACTAAAAATCAAGAAATGTCATGTAACAATAGGCCATTGTTATCTTCAACAGTATCCTACATGAATGTGGGTATTAATAATGAAGTTAGTCCACTTTCACCAAATCATAATACTTTGGATGCAACTACATGTATAGAAGAAATTAATGAAACAAATGTTTCTGAACATGCATACATGAATATAAGTCCTGGTAATGATCAAGCTGATTCCGTTGCTGTTAGGATACATCCACTACCATTGCCAGTTTTACAATCTAATTCAGAAGACGGATCAAGGCACTGTTATGCTAATTTAGAATCAGCTGAAATTGAAAGTTTAAAAAAAAGATTTTCAGGAATTTCTATATCTGATAAATCACCTTTACCTCCATCGACACCTACAGGTATTGCAATTAGGGAAGTTAATTATGCTGTTTTGGATTTGGATAAGAAAGATGAATCAATGAATCCATCATTGGATGGTGCAGTACATTTGACACCATCTCCCCCAGAGTCACCCAATAAGATACAGAAAGGATATGCTACAATAGATTTTAATAAAACAGCTGCTCTCTGTCATTCTGTTAATCCTAATCTTGTAAATGATAATGAAGGTTCGCGAAAGACACGTCATAATTCCACAATAAATGACTTGTCTGCTTCTTGCAGACTTAGTTCATCTATTAGTGAGTAATACATTTATTATTTTATTATACTCACATCAGATTATTCATACACTTATATTGTTATTATGCATATGTATAAAATCTTTAATCTTTCATAAAATAATAATTTGTTAGTTTTTTTCTTACTTTTTACAATGTTTTAAAATATTGATTAAGAGGCACTTTTATATATATTATTTAGTAAAATTTTTCTAAATTCAGGATTTTTATAATATAATATTATTTCATTCATATTTTTTTATATATATAAATATACAAGTTATTTGGATAGTTTCGAATGTGTACATGTGCAGCATACATGTATCAGTTTAGTTTCCAATATCTGATTCATAGATATACAATAATTCATTTTATTAATTACAGCATTTAAAAGATGTAGTTTTCTCTCTAATGTATTTTTAGAGAAAGGAAATCTCAAGGAAAGAATTTTATACAATAATTAAATAAGTTTATAGAATATTACACATAAAACGATTTTTTACATTAGATACTTTAATATGATTAATGTAGAGCTATTGGAAGATAAAGCATCTTGATTTTTTGTATATATTTCCAAAACTAATGAGGCTGATATTAAAGTATGAACTAAATGATAATATAGAACTAATTCAGTGATTATTTAACAGACTTATTGATTTACATCAAGTTTGTACATTGTTAACTCTGAATTTTTGGTAATTTGGTACACACTAGCAGAATTCCTTTTAATGTTACTTTTTAAATATTTGAAACTTAATATATATAACTGCTAGTCTGTTTTCTTTATAACATTCTTATCATAAAAGATAATCTTTGCTTCCTCTAAATTTATCTATATTTCAAAAATCTATAAAAAATCAGAAAGAAATATAATAATGTTACTTTTACTAAGACAATCATTTGACATTTAAAACTATATGTATACAAATATATTTCAGTAGAAAATGATTATACTTCATGCAATATTTAAAGTTCATTTTAACATTTATCAGAAATTATTTATAAAAGTGATATTCAAATGTGATAAAAGTATATAGAATATAAACTATATAGCACATGTGTGTGTGTGTGTGTGATAAATTTTGAGGCAGTTAAGATAGCAATGTAAGTGAGGATTTTACATAATTTATATCCAAACAAGAATTTGTTGTGGCACAAAATAATAATGACTATTTTATAACACTATTATATATATATGTTGTAGATAGAGTACAGCAAAACATTTCTAGCTTATCAAGACAGGCTTCTCTTTTCTTGATTTTTAAAATATTTATGTACGTATGCTAAAATAGTATGCCATTGCAAAGAAATATTTATTTATATATGATATTGTTAATTAATATTTATGTTATAATTTTTAGTTATTTTATATGTACTTTTTCCAGAATATATTCTTAATCTTCATCTAAATATCATGCATATGTAAAAAAATATAAGAATAAGATGCAAATTTAAGTGACTTTTTCTTCCAATAGCTCCAAATGTGTAGTAACAAAAAGTCAATATGTTTAAAATAACAGAAGTTGAATATTTTTAAAATTAATTATATTACTATGAGAGAGCACTACTTTCTGGGCTATAGGTTCCCTGCGCAACAGTCGATCACTAGCTTCGACTTATTTTTATGTAACTAGATCTTTTACAACGAGATAAATATATTGAAAAAGCTATAGGTAACTTTATTATTAAATATTATCCTGTATCACACAGAATTCACTTTAATTAAACTATCAAACATTACCTGTGCCTGGAAGAGGGAAGCATATATAAAGTGCACAAGGTTAATAATAAGATATAATTTTTTTTTAGTAATTAAAATGATCTAATTAAAATGGCCTAAGGCATGCCTACAAGTAATAAATATCAATAAGAAGTGGACTAGGAGTTTTCAAATTATATAGTTTGATAATTAGATGCAACGAATTTATTCTTAGAAGTTCAGATTTCTTAAATTAAATAATTTTTCCTTAAGAATTCCTTTTAATTAAGTGATAACAGTTAGGAGAATTGTACTTTTTGTATTATTTCAAATTTGCAATTATTTCTCTAATTAAAATGACAAGAAAGGTTACATTATAATATTATTTTTCTTTCTCTTTTTATACTTATTATTTTTTCTTAATCATATAGATTAATTTTATTAAATCATATAAATTGATATTAGGAACATAAATTATGTTTATGCACTACATTTCATTTTACATTGTATAAACAGGAATATCTGTTTATAATTTTAATTCATTATAATTTTTTATAATATATTTTGATTCTTAACTATAATCTTTTCTATGCTGTATGTAAAAAGATTTACGAATATGTACCTTTTAAAAGTATGTATATATAAACTATATACCTATATGCAAACAGTTTTTTTAGTTATTATAAGTAAGATCAGTAGATTCATATATATATATAACAAATAAGTTAATATTTAAATTAAACATTCATTGAATTAGTTAATATTAATTTGTTTTATACTTTTATTACAAGTGCTGCTTGTTATAAATATTATGTTGAATATATTAGCAGCTATTTTATAATATTAAGAATATTATGTGTAATACATTAATACTTGATATTAACACATTCACTGCCATAATATATTATATATTATATTAATTTCTATTCAAATCACAATTTATTCGTTTAGATGTTGTTACCTTCAATATTTTACAGATAAAAATTTCTTTTAAAATCATTATCAATGTTATTGTCAGTTTATAAACTATATTAATTGTTTGTAATGTTTAGATATCAAATAGTGGTAGTGAATCTGTTAATATAATATATTATATTTTATATTATCGTATAATCATTACATGAACACACGTACGCACATGTGTACATGTATTTAAATCATAACAGGAAGATATACTTACAATTAACAGTATATTTTTGAATAGTAAAAAGTACTATTTAAATCTGTCGAAACAACAAAGCATAGTTGACGATCGTTTAATATTTAGGCATAAGCAATAAAGTATCAAACGATCATCAACTGCTGCGTCTTATAATTTTAAGCAGCTTTTCTAATTAAACACTATGCATTTCTGCTTTGTTTTATAAGCAGGTATGCTGGAAATTTTATATTTAAATCTAAATACTATACATAATAACAAGATCATTAGATCTACGTAGAATGTTAAAAATTTTCATAAAGCAAATTGCCTTGTATAATGCATGTGTATTTATATACAAAAAGGGAGAGAAATAATGAAACGGAGAAAGAAATATATCAATTTAGAAATTGAAATATTTATTGATTTTTCATAAATATAAAGTAATTATCATAACTAATTATTTGTTTTATGCAAATATCAATACATTACAGAAATTAGAAATATAATATGTTGTAAAAATTTCGCTGCTTTCAAGTATGCAAAAAAAATATAACTGTATGATTGAAGTTATGTATACACACATGCACATATGCATGCAAATGAATATTGGGCTTTCTACTCTGTCCATTTAAAAATTATATTCATAATATTAACTGTGGATAATATAATTATCCACATATTATAAACCAAAGAATTTAGATATTACTAGCTGTTTGTACTTTTATCTAATGACAAAAATTTTATGTATTTTTATCATTAGATCAAATTACTTTTGTCAATGGCATACAAATCTAATTATCATAATTGTGTAAAATTGTATAAAAACAAATATTAATGACTTTAAATACGTTTTTCACATTCTGAAAATTTTTCAATTAAAATATATCTCATTTTATATAAATGATTTTAACATTTCATTAGTATTTTTATCCAAATGCATGATTCAAATGATATAATTTGTTATTATTCAATAATAGTATTTCATGTATTAACATCAGTTGAATGTTAATGTAAAAACTATAATTAAAAAGATTTATATATTTCATTGCACTATTTATTATGCCATTTACAACCAACATTGATGATGTTAATGATTTGTATTTTAGTACATGTAGTATTTTTTTAATGTAAGAAAATAATTATTTATCTGTAACAATGAAAATGTTGTGATTAAAGAATTAATTTTACGCGGCGTTGTTATAATGATGATATTTATTGTAAATGTACAAATAGTCGTAAATATTTTTATTGTGCCAAAATAGATTTCATTGCATCATGAATTCTAAATTAGTATAGATTTTTAAACAGTCCTAAATATTAATTATGAAAGTCTTTTATTTTTTCTTGTGAAAAAATAAATTCAAAGATGATGCTCAATTTATAGAAATTACAACAATGTACATACATACATAGATGCATACATAATCGCGCGATATATGTATATTGAATTTACTTTAATATATACAAATAGTTTGTAGAGCACACATAAAACTACACATATAATTATAAATATGTAACAGTATTACATCATATTTCATAATCAGCTTTAATTTCCTTTATTTCCGGAATTGCTAACATATTTGTATTTTTGCAATATTTGATTAAATATTTCAATATTTATGTGTTACGTTTATGTAAAATCTTGAAGATATTTAAAAAATTAAATTTTATAATAATTTCAGGAGAAATGTCGAAAACATTTATGAGCTATAGTTAAGTAGTGGCTTACTATTTTTTCTTAGATACGTGCTTTTTTAAATGCAAATCTAACCGCGGTTTATTTTTAAATAAATATCAATATTAAAAAATATTACGTTTTTTGCACAATTACTTGACATGCTAGCGTAATAGGATATATGGATAAAAAAGAATTGGTAATTAATGGCGATCGACTATAAATCATTACGCAATTGACCAGTCGATTGAAATCAATCTTATAATCACCACTGCTACAATTCTTATATATTGCTTTACAACATGTGAAAAATGTGAATATGGTTAAAAAATGATAATTTATGAGATTGTAAATAAGTATGATGCAAGATTAAATTGAGCAAGAATGTAACATATGCAGCGATCAAATTTAAAGGCTGTGAGAATTTTGATAAAGATTGATTTTACTTATTAACAGAAATTTACATTTTCCTTTGTTGTTTAAGATAAAAAAGAATACAATGTAATCATATTGCAAAATATCAAAGCTAAATTTATTTTATATATAATGTATGATCTTCTTTGTATTCAACTGATTGATTAAATCTTTTTATTATCGAGTATTTTAATGTCATTATGAAATTCTTATGCACGCATATTACCGAGAAATATTTCATGTTATTTTAAGAACATACGTTGTATTATTGGTGGTTTACATATCAGTTTAAAACATTACGGTATTGACATTAAGATTTGAAATAACATTCTACATGTCGATGTAACTGACTTTATTTTCAATTAATGTGTGCTATGAGTGTGCTTGCGCGCGCGGGCGTACGATGTGTGTGTACATATATATAACATACGTAACAAATCGAATGATATAATTCTAATTCAATATTACACAATCTTCGAATATCTATTGTTCTTTTTATCATTATTTAATCGCACGTCTTCTTAACATCACAATATCAAGTAAATAGAGCATCAACAGATTCCTAATAGAACATTCAATAACAAATGATGACACCGATTATTAAACAATCATGCGCATTCGAGAAAGAAAGTCAAATAGAAAAATCTTGATGATTTATCATCAATCATATGGATAATCAAGCAGCAAGTTGACGACGTCTCGTCAATTCATGATCTATCAAAATCGAGATATCTGGATGACGATGTAGAGTCGTTGTACAATAATGTATCGTTTGACTTGGATCAGCTCCAGCCTTCAAAAGAAGTCTTACAGCGTTAACAAAGCCACTTTCGGCAGCAACTTGCAGGGCTGTTAAACCATCCAAATTTGTCTTTTCCAATTGAGCAAGAGGCGATGTAACTAAAAGAGAAACCGTTCGATGGAAGCCTCTTGCAGAAGCAAGATGTAGGGGTGTATTGCCACCGACATCTTGCACGCTAGGATCCTCGCCATGTTCTAGTAGTTTTGCTACCATATCGACGTAGTTCTTTCTTGAGGCAATATGCAACGGTGTTTCACCGTAACGCGACATTATACCAGGTGATGTGTGAGGTATCAATAAAAGTGCAGTGTTCAAGGCACCACACTCAAGGCATTCGTGCAATGGACTCTCTCCGCGATCGTTTTTTAAACCAGGATTCGCTCCTGCCGCCAGTAGAGTCTCTATTAATGATTCTATTTCCGTTCTATGGTTATTATCTGTGAAAAGAAAAATCTTATACTTATTTATTAATATGATTTATAAATATAAATAATCGTAAGAATTTTATAGAAAATATGAACGATACGGCGCAAATGTTGAATACAAGCATTACTAATAGTTTTCCCTACCGAATACTGTGGAGGACGCCAAAATATGTAACGCACTCCGACCTTGATGATCTTTGGCATTGACAGGTCCTGCCTTTGCCAGCAAATCCAATGTTTTCAGCGCCGCTTCATAATCATGATTAAGGCTCTTTGAATTTTGCGCATGGGCCAACTGTCGTGTTAAAACATGCAACGCTGTCAATCCACCTCCGGCTTCTTTAACTCCGGCAGGGCAACCATATTTTAGAAGTTCTCCCACGAAATTCAGAACATTTCCTGGCCCTCCGTTGAGTATAACTCTGTGTAATGCAGTTTCCCCACGAGGAGAACGCACGCCTGGATCACATCCGTTGGCTAATAATACGCTGATTATAAAAAAGAATTGAAAACATCAAATTAGTTTAAATTTTTGTCATCCTTGCAAAAAGTAGTAATGGTAATGGTAAATGGTAATGTCAACTAAAGTCGAATTTATAGCGGTTGTATTTCCTTGTTACTTTCAATATTTTTTTTTTTTTTTTTAACTAATTGATATAAACATTAGATTTTTCTATGGATTTTGCATACGTTTAGCTTAGACTGGCCTTTATCGCGGAATTTTTACAGTTAATATACAAAATAGAAGGTAGCTTATTGTGAAACAGTATAATAAAAAAAAACTCACTTAAGCACAGATATACAATGATTCGTGGCGGCAACCAGCAAGGGCGGATCACCAGAGACGTTCCAATCCGGTTCGTCGAGATTCTGGACGCGACCAGTTGTAAGAAGTGTCGTGACGCACTTCGCATCGCCAGTACGTACAGCCTCGTGAAAATCAAGTTCAATCTCTGGATCATACGACTCGTTTTTTGAATTTATTTTTTCTTCTTTCTTCTTTCCCTCTCTCTTTCTCTCTTCCTCTCCCTTTCTCTCTTCCTCTCCGATTATAGCATTATGGATAATTTCTAATGTACCGTGCGTGAAAAGTACTCTTTTTGAGTTGAAACTTTTTACATCTTCAACAATCGTCAGTTCTTTCTTGATTGATTGTCGTACATTTTCGAGCGATCCTTCATCGATTCTGATCGATTTCTCGTGGAAACTCGTGTTCGAAGAATCTTTGCTTTGCGAAAGATCCCTTTCGATTGAGAATTTTCCTTCGGATTCATCTGTTATTTCAGTTATAGAAACCTGTTCAATGTTCTCTTCAGAATACCGTAAAGATTCTTTGTTCTCTTCATTTTTTTCATCTTTTCTTTTCGTTTCGTTCTCGAAAATCACTGATGATCTATTGGATTGAGTTTGATAAGAAAGATAAGAAGTTTCGATTGCTACTGTTAAATTCTCTTGTTCGATCTCATTTTTCATTGTCCTGAGTAATTCCTCCGATTGGGCACCCTCTCCCGCCCCCTCGTGGCTCACCCTTGCGGCAGCAATCGAACCTTTCTCTCCGCGCGCTTCTTCGAACATCCACGCAGTTTTGCGTTCCTCGGAACCGATCGTACTCGTCGACTCATTCGCGTACGTTGCGGTCATCGTGCGGCATGCGCACACACGCAACCCAGGACACGCGCGCGCACACGGATGCTTTTTAATTACAGCCGATGAGAATCGTTACCAATTGGCGCCAGCGCTTTTTAATGTATTACACTCGACTTATATGATCTTTCTTCTTTTTCTTCTTGTTTTTTTCTCCTCTCAAACCTTTGGTAAAATGGGTATATGCACCGTTTTGCCTTTCTCGCTCCTTTCGTACGTCCGAAGGACACACAAATATGAACACGATGCACTCGATTACTTTCTTATTCCTTTCTTTAAAGAGGGAAGGTTGGGGGAATGACGAAAGAAATACAAGGGGGTCAACGACGTAAGCAAAAAATGAGACGAAAGGCGAGAGTCGCAATTGCAAGAACGTGACTGAAAACCGAATGAGGATCATCGTTGAGCGACGCTACGAACGTAGGTTCGTTCTTCTCTCCCTTTCTCCTCTCTTTTCATCACAAGTCGGCCATTTCTTCTCCTCTTTTTCTTTTTCCCTCTCCCTCTGTAGGTCGCCCTCAAGCATCCTTCTTTCTTACCTCTCCTACCATCGCAGCAGTTCTTCGTTTAACTTTGAGTACAGTGGCGGACGATAATAATGAATAGTGGATATAGTCTTGATATTCAAATCATTATTATTATTCTGCAATTATCAAACTTTATATAAAAATATATTATTTATGTAAATTAAAATCTATAGATAATTTTAAAGGTGTAAATGTAAATTACACGAAGAAGAATGATTATTCCTATTATGCGTCTTTGTTGTTCTTTACTGTACCTCCCTGCTATTATTTTCCAGAGAATCCTACGTGATATAGGTAGCCAGATTCGAGGAATGTAAAACACGTTCTCGTATACGCGCGCGCGAGCGCCAGAGAAAGAGAGAAATGGTAAATGAACCGCCAGTTGATATTCCTTTTTTCACTTTGAGGGAAGTTCGTCTTGCAAACATGAAATAAACCGGTTTCTTCATAGGGACATAAACATGAAAAAGACTTAAAGGGATACTTTGTCGTCGTTTTCTTCGTTTTCTATTTTTCACGTTCATTTGTATATATATCGCCAGCAATGAACGAAGCCATGAAAAAAACTTGGAAAGCATCGGGACCATATGTTCACCTTCTCTCTCTCTCTCTCTCTCTCGATCGCTTTCTCTTTTTCTCTTTCTTCATTTTTTTCTTTTTTTCTCGACAATGTAAGTATCAAGAGTATAGGAATCAAGTGCAAGAACAGAAAACAGAGCATCTTCCACTTTTATCATTAACAAAAAAATAGTTTTTTTTAAAATATATAATATCTAATAAATAAAAAAAGAAGAAATAAACATAATTTTCATTCATTTGAATTGAAAGTGAAATTTTCATATTTTCATTACCTATAATTTTTTATTATTTTGTAAATGATTAAATATAAAATCTAAATTTTGACAAAGAAAATTTTTGCTAAAGCAAAACCTCCTGCGCTGACATATATATATTATGCGTACATGAAACTAACTCTACTACTTCGAAAGAAAACTGAAATGTGAGTGAGTCTCGATAGATGACACGCATATGTCATTTTTTCGAGATATTCTTCTAATGAACGGATAGGATACGTTTACTTTTCATAAAATTACACGCGAAGAACATATATATATATATGTATATATGTATATATATTAGATAAATCATAAATTGTTTTTCCATGAGATGAAAGAGAGTATTTTATCGAATATTTAAAATAATAACTTTTGTATATTTGTATGAAAATTTATTCTTTTTACGAGTGTTATTAATAAGTACTATTACTGAATAGTATACATGCCTTGAAAGTAACTTTATTTCATTTTGGTTTTGTAGAAAATTATGTTTCGTTTACGATTTTATAATTATTTTGAGAACAAGAAAGAACAGACTTAATATATATGTAGAATAATAAAGTATGTGCTTTAATTGCTTTTTACATAATCTAAGTTATACATATCGCGTTAACCTCTGGGAAGCAGATCTTCGACTTCTTTAACCCATGTCTACTGTAATGATAATATTGAATTATGAAAGAATAAGTAATATATGTATTTATGTAACAGAAAATCAGAAATATTTCGATTATTCGGTTATTGAACCATTAACATTTTTAAATAATTAAAATACTACAATGAACAAAGTGTGCAAAAAACTCATTTCATTTGCATTCCGAATACATTCGGATCCATCGACACTTTTCACTGAGCTTAGATGCATTAGAAGCAAGGTCTCCCATTCTTGTAAATAGCTTTCCCTCTGAAAAATCTATTGTTTTTCGTACTTTTTTAGACAGTTGCTTGAAAGATTTATTTTCACAACCTTAATGTGGGTCTCCTTCGAAAAAAGAGATCATTAGGTAGACAGATGAAATAGATGCAATAGATGGAAAACCGATAGATTCGAATGCATTTAAAAAAATTATTAAAGAAAAACGTGAAATGCACTTACCATATCTATCTACTACGTGATCTAGATGCGGTTCTAGATTTTGATCGTCGTGGACTACGATCTTTAGAATCCAACCTCCTCTTATTACGAAATTTGTCCTTACCGTGGCCACTCTTGGTTCTAGACTGACTACGGGAAGACGAACGTGTCCTTGAACGTTTGCTTCGAGATCTTGAACGTGAACGTGACCGTGATCGCGATCGAGATTGCGAACGTGACCGTGATCGAGATCTTGAGTAAGACCTATAAATAATATCGAATTAAAATAATGATTATATCAGTCTTTTGCCTGGATTTTAAGATATCCTTCATTATTATGTAGTTGTATTTTCTAATATCTCCTGAATCAAAGTTGCACCTAAATATTAATATCAAAAAATTTTCTCGTCCTTTAAAGATACGAGATTTGTTACTTTTATCACGTTTCTGCACGTGTAAACGATCTTTAATGTTTATCACTAAGTTATAATTATATAACCTTAGCTGACCTCCTTTTAACTTTCATTAATTTCGTTATTACCTGTGATTACCTCCTTTCATATGGTTTATGTACGAATCATTTATAAATATAAGACAATGTCGAGACAATTGTAATTTTATTTGGATGAAGTAAAGCAAATCCTATCCAAGTAGATCACATCCTATAATGTTTTATTGTTATTTATTAAAATCGAGCTAATTTCTTATTTATACCACAATTCAGCTATCAATTTTTATTGATGTCCTTTTATAAATTGGCGAAATGAATTGTATTAACGATCGATCAAAATATGTTTACTATTCTATTATGTACCATCTTTCCTGGCTGCATATAGCAGACACAGTCGTAGAGCACGCGATGGCAATGCCGGGAAGGGAGAGCGGATGAGCACGTATGCAGATGAAATCACGCGAGGGTCGGATGAACGGACGAAGAGTGGCTAGATGAGATGGCTCAAACGTTGTCTCTCAGTGACCACTAGGTACTATGACGACGACTAGGCACAAACAGTAAGTCGAACGAAGAAGGCCGGGCTACCAGAAGTGCCGATGTGCATAAACTCTCTGTCTAGGGTGATGTCAGTGGTCAGTGGAAGTATCGTAGTGCGCAGAACTAGCCACTCCGTCGGCCGTGTTTGCCTCTCTCGCTCGCAGAGTGCAGAAGGAAACCCAAAGTAGGTGAGTGCTCTACGCTGTAACTACGCAGTGTGTCACAAAGTGAACCCAAGGCGAATCTCGCGAGAATCACAGTAGCAACACATTTCTCATGTGTATGCCTGTTCAGCCGCATCTCCTATAAATAATGGGCATTGTTACATCGGCAAAGTTCTTCGCTATCTTAACCATTGTTTAAGTGTTCATCATTTTGATATGAAGTAATGGTCTTATCTTTGTCGACTTCTCTTATTAATTCTACATTGTAACTATATGTAAATGTATTATGAGTATTTCTGATTTTCTGCTGCAGATCTATTTTCTTTTTTGTAAATTTAACGCATAGAGATATTAAGAATTACTATGTTAATTACTAAATTTTTTCCCTGAGGAGATTAAATTTCGTGAATTTATGAAATAATTGGATATTTTAAAAAATAATTTTTTATCAAATCTGTAGATATGATAATATGAATAATGAATATGTTGTACATCTTATAAATATATTCTAATTAAATCAATATGTTCTGTATAATTTCAATGATAATATAGGTATACAGAGAAATGTACAACTATATAATATTACAACAATATTTGTAACATTAAAATACTTTGAATTAAATAAAAATTCATGATATATAATGAATAAACTTTTAGGAATTAATGAGTATTCATAATGTATACAAAACAAACTACAAAAAACCAATAACATTGAAACTATACAAATTTTAAGAATATATTCATAATTTCTAACATAATTTCTGAGAAATAGAAAATATAAAACTTCATTTAAATAGAAAAATTGCAATCTGTATACCTATATTTATTAATATTTATAACATATAGAATTGTAATTGTAATCAAATTAAACTACTAATTTTACCGTTTTCTACGAGAACTTCTATGTCGAGGACAATCTCTTGCATAATGACCCCTTTCACCACACTCATAACATTTGTCTTCTGGATGGAATGGTCTTGCCACACCACGTCGTGATGAGCCTCTATCTCTCAATCTTTTTCCATTTGATGGTTCCACACGAACACGTCTTCCACATATGGTACGACCATCTAAGCCCCTTATAGCATCTTCTGCATCTCTAGCATCTTCAAATTCGACAAAAGCAAATCCTGGAGGATTTCTGGCAACCCATACATTTCTCAAAGGTCCATAGTATGAGAAAGCATCCTCTAACTCTTGTTTTGTTGCATTGCTTCCTAAATCTCCCACATAGACTTTACAGTCTGAAGGATATCTTGACATCTAAAATAATTTTTCATATTTGGTATCAAGTAAAATATATATGATTAAAAACAAATGTAATTATAATTTACTTTAAGAAAACTTTTATGTTATATTATATAGATCAATAATTTAAGTTAATCATTTAAATTTGATTGTAAACTGTGTAAAACTTTTTCAACAAGTTTTAAAACGATATATCAAAGAATATCTATATCAAATGATTTCAGTCGATCAACTATAAAATTGTAATATAATTAATGAAGTCATTGTTATATCTCTAATTTCTTTCGAATTACAAAATACATTAGTATGATAATAGTAAACCCATACCTTATTCATACTGATTTATTTCGTTATCACATTCATTTGAACCTTTAAAAAAAAGTAACTAGTTATTGTTTTACAGAAGAAAATCAAACATTTAACGGCATCGGTTTAAAGAACATCGATTCCAAGCGGATTGAAAAAAAAGCTCTTTTATAAAGTCACATTTCTAACAGAGCACGAGACGCTTGTGATTGTATAAATGAAAATACCTATTATACTGTTATTGAATGTTATTGGTTAATATATTTTTAAATAATTTGTATTCATTTCTATTAATATGTTATAATATTTTAGAAATTTTATTTAATTGTAATAATAAAAAAAGACGATTTTGATCATTAAATATTAAAATGTCTAAAATAAAATTGTCAACAAGTCAAATAAAAATCATGAAAATAACCATTTGTCTCACCACAACCAATCTCAACTTTTAGAAAACGATCGTAAATAGCCATTAGTCATAATTCTGTTCCAGTAAGAAAATATTTTTTATGATTGGTTAATTTATGATGTTGTATCAAATGAAGCAAAGTTAAATATTTAACAGATATGAATATGGTAACAATGACGTATATGCAAATTTATGATACCATAGTGATCAGTCATATATATTATGTATGTACATAATATATTTTAAAAAAGTGTTAAAAGGATAATTATATTATTATTATTACTGTCTATAATTTTATTTATTTGGATATAAAATTTTGATCGTGATAGGAGTAGGAAAAGAAAATAAAATAAATTTGTTATAAGTGAATAAAGATTAGAACGAAAAATAGTCAAACGAAACAATCAAATGAGAATCCAAATATGTAATATTAGATATTTATACTTTATGTTCCATGTATGGTAATTAAATGTGCTTATCGATAGTATAAGTATAGAATTAGAACAAAATAATGAATAGCATACAATTGGATAGTTCCTCCGAGGATGAGAATGACATATATGTCAATTCTGTAGCACGTTTAAAAGGTATATTTTGATTTTTCCGTTTATTATATTAATGTTCGTACAATTTACAAATTATTTTCACAATAATATGAAATAAGTGTTATCAGTAATATAAAAAACGTTAAATAATTTTAGCTTTACAGAACAAAGTTTGTATGAATCATAATACTGAATTACAAAAAAACAAGAAGCAAAATAAAAAGAAAGAGAGAAGAAAGCAGAGGAATGTAGAAGATTGTGTAAGATAATAAACATATGTATATACCTTAAGTTTATTGCTACTATTTTTATTATTTTTATTACTATTATAATAATTATTATTATTATTGTACATAAATGTACTAAATGTACATAAATGTACTAAAAATTTGTTATGTTTATTATTTCTAGTATTTTACTCATGATATAACTGAAGATTCAGAAATTGTTTCTGTACAAGAAGATTTAGAAATTATATCTGTGCAAGAAGAAAATGATATATATACAAGAGTTTGTACAAATATAAGAACAGTAACAGATGATTCAATAATTTTGGATTGTAATAGCGATGAAGATATAGAAAAGGATGAAAATTTTGATGTAAATGTAAAGATCTTATGGCAATCTAAAACTATTCACCGTTTAAATATACATAACGTAAGATCAGTTTCATATGTTACAATAAAAGAAAAATATATACTAATTATAGAATTTTGTTACAGCATGATAATTTTAGGAAAGTTTTCCAATATTTTGCAAATATGGAAAACGTTTCTATAGAGCAAATTTTAATAATGAAAAAAGAAAAACGTATAAACTTAACAGATACTCCTTCCTCTATAGGTCTTTCAATCATAGATATTCTTGGTATGTATAAACTAAATTGATTATATAAAATTATGTGATTATCTCTTCTTTTTTTCTAGAAGGAGGGATAGTAGATGCAAATGTGATTCCTCAAAATGAATATCAAAATCAACAGAATAGCATAGAAGAAGACATATGTCAGATCAAAGTACAAACTGCAAACAAGGAGTCATTAATTATTCCACTTAAGAAAAATCAACAATTTAAACTACTAATTGGTATTTGTGCCCGTCAATGGGGCGTTAATAAATCTAATATTAAATTGTACTTTGATGGAGAACCCATTAATGTCAATGACACACCAGAAAGTTTAGATTTTGAGCAAGAAGCATGTATTGATCTTTGCATTTCCACAAAATAATATATGATTATGTTATTATTATTGAAAAAAAAGAACAGAAGAAACAAAGAAAAATGGCAAAATACAAGCTTAGAAATAAAATTGAAGAAATATAATAGAATAATATTAGAAGAAAAGGGATAAAATCATATAGAATATACAAGTGGGAAACAGAAACTTATGTTTTTATGTATATATAAATTCATTTCTAATTTTGGTTAATTATAAATACTATACTTTTCAAAAGCTCATTAAAAAGTAGACTAATATAAAATTAGATTCAACGAAGAAATTTCAGTAAAAAAATGGATATAGTTACAATGTAATAAATAAATAAAACTAACTTTTAATAAGAAAAAGCCTCATACATTACGTAATAACAATGAGGAACTTGAAAATTGTATACCCTTTATTTGATTCATATTGCATGTATACTTTCATGTATACCGCCTTATCTTCTCGTTTCGCTTGCTGCCTCTATCATTTTCCTTATCGTGGCGCTACTGTGGTGCGTTTTAGAACAAATTACAGTCATATGACTGTCGTTACGCGAGAACAGCATTACGGTTTTTTAGATAGGCGTTGACTCTGTCCTCTGTCCTCTTGAATTCAATTTACCTAAGTTTTAACTTCTGTAGATTATTAAAGTTTATCCTTAAATACATTTACAAAGCTCACATCATGGCGCTCAGCGATGCTGATGTACAAAAACAGGTTTGTATAATAATTTAATGTTTCAATAAAATTATATTAACATGCATGTATAGTATAAGCCTGATTACATCTGTCTCGTATAAGTTATTTTTGAATTTTCCCGTATCTAAATATATGTTACAACCGTTTGTAAATTTGTATCTACTTTATACGTTATATATATATTAATGTAATTTAAAATTAAGAGACTGCATTAATAATGTATTTAGGTATTCAATGGAAAAGAAAATTAAACATTTAAGTATTTTTATTTCATATCTATTCAATTTTGATGTAACTTTACTTGTATAAAATGTGTCATAATGTAATTAATTTAATTCATGTTGAATATTTCAATGTTTTTAGGTTAAATATAAATAAAATTAATTTATTATTTGGATTGCAGATTAACCATATGATGGCTTTTATAGAACAGGAAGCTAATGAAAAGGCAGAAGAAATAGATGCCAAAGCTGAGGAAGAGTTTAATATCGAAAAAGGACGTCTTGTTCAACAACAACGGCTTAAGATTATGGAATATTATGAAAAAAAAGAAAAACAAGTTGAACTACAGAAGAAAATGTGTGTAAAAATCTTTTTTATTATCTTCCATACAATTACATGTAAAATTTTATTTTGCTCAATGTTATAAATATTAGAATATGCGATATATTTAATCTCTCTTAACAGATATTTTGAACGCACTGTAAAATGTTCTTAAATTGTAAAATAAAATAATTCTTACAGTCAATCTTCAAATATGCTTAATCAAGCTCGATTAAAAGTTTTAAAAGTTCGTGAAGATCATGTACGTAATGTTCTTGATGAAGCTAGAAAAAGATTAGGAGAAATAACTCAGAATCCAAACAAATATAGCCAAATTTTGAGATTATTGATCACTCAAGGTCTCTATCAGGTATTATCAATCAACTCTTTTTTGTATGATTGCATATATTACTTAGTCTGAATTTTTTGTTATATCATAATATTTTTTGTTATATAATAAATATATTAAAAATATTAATATATTTATAATTTTACAGCTTACAGAAAGTCATGTTTTTATCCGTATTCGTCAAGTTGATTTTCCTATTGTAGAATCTCTTCTAGATTCTATACAGCAAGAATATAAACAAGCGACAAAGAAGGATGCTCTTCTTAAAATAGATCAAGAGACTTTCTTGCCTGCTGAAAGTTGTGGTGGTGTTGAATTACTAACATCTAAAGGTAATAATATTATTAATTAATTCCATTTATTTACAGGTTTTAACTTATCAAATTGTTCTCTACAAATAACTTTTCTTTCAAATAATATAAAAGATATACTTGTTATCTAACCAACCCAAGAAGATTATATTAGTATTATCTCATGAAAATATCATAAATATTATATTAAATAAATCTTTTTAAAATGTAGGTCGCATTAAGATTAACAACACTTTGGAGTCACGATTAGAGCTTATAGCTCAACAGCTGGTACCTGAAATTCGTTCGGCTTTGTTTGGTAGTAATCCTAATCGCAAATTTACCGATTAAGGAAATTACTTGCATCAGAGATTCGCTGATACATTCCCTTTTAAGCAGCAACCAGTAAACACGTGAAATATATTGTGTAGGTTAGAAAATAGTCTATGGCAATTTTGTTGCATAACTGTATGTATAATACATTAGGTCATATAATAATGACCTTTATCTTTAATTGGCTCTATGACAAAACTGTCATTTGTAAAAAAAATATAAAATTGAACTATTGTTTCAACAAAGATTTGTGTATTGTTAATAGAAAGAAATGGTATAAAATACCATATATAAAATATTATTCATGAGTCAAATACAATTTCATTTAATATAGCTACATTTTTCCAACATGTGACAATGTCTTATTATAATACCACAATTGTGGAAATATTAGCTATATATACATAATGGATATAACACATTGTTACAGAATTCTACTATACATGCACAGTGTTTATATGGACAATGAAATCAATAGATTAATAATGAACAGAATATTCTGATTTTCAAAAAGTTCAATATTATTGTGCTAGTGATAGTATCGAATGTTAACAGCATTAATATTTGTTAAAACAAAAAAAAGAAAAAATTGAATATGTCAAGTTCTATTTATATTCTAAGATACCAATATAAAGGAATTATAGTTTGATGAGTTAATGCTTTACTTACTAGCTATATGCTTTTTCTGTATAAATAACGAATATATTCAATGATAGTTATTATATTTAACATTTTGATGTTGATAATAGGGAAATTGGTAAATGGATAAATTATCTATGTTTCTTTTATTTTAAGATATTACTATCTTACTGTGTGTTATATTATGTGGTGTGTAACAGTATTTCACTTGCTATCATCTTATTAAAGTATTTGACCGATTATGATACAAATATAAAGCTTATATAATATAAAATAATAGATTGTATAAAGATTATTGCATACTGATGACCTTGTAATTCTATTTGTAATTATGTAATATAAACTATGTTCTAATCATTCAGAATATATGTAGAAAGCAGTTATTATTGTTTCTTGTCTGTTGTCATCAGGCAGTAATTGCCAATAAATAATTATTATAATAATTTTATATTTTCATTCAACAATTACAATGCATACATAAAAGTTTCCTTTTCAACAATACAATATATAACATCTTATAAAATTGGATTAAAATGTTGAAAAAGTGATAAAATAAAAATTTTTCTTTGTAGTCCAATTTGGTGTAACTTGTAGAGAATTTTTGTTAATAACAATATATAACGATAAATACTATACATGATATGGAGAACAATGTTTATGTGTAAAATTTTCGGTAACGATGATATCGACAGTATCGATAAAGAGTAATACTCGAAATATCAATGGACTTTTTTCCTGATGGTTGTCGTCACTGGACCCAATTGCTTTCTAAGTTTGGCATCTCTGCGAAAAAGGCATGCTTGCTGTCTTGAAACGGCAATAAAATGAAATAAAACGGAATTTGCAAGGAGATTTTAACTGTGCAGCGTTTAGGTAGTAATTTATGTCCAAAATTAATCAAATAACACGCTATCTGTTGTCGTCGTCACTATGATTAATATTATTTCTACAGACCGAACTTGAACGGCAGCCTTATTTTTAATGTTGAATTTTGGATGAGAAATACTTTTCTTTTACGATTGCTCTAGTGGTTCGTCAGACAAGGTAGGGAGGGTCACTTCAATTCTTTGTACATTTCTATATATATTTTACATAAATTTGTCTGATAATGCTATACCGTATTTTTTTGAAGATTTAACATTTATTTGACTTGACAATTTCAAATATATGTGATTTATAAATCTCGATTATAGTACTCATTATTCGCACATATTAAATACTTGATTTTGAAGGAGAAATCTTTAAATACATTGTATTATCATATCTTAGGTATTTGCCTGCTACGTCACATGTTGTGCAAATTGCTTGAAAGTAGTACAGCAGGATTCAAAAACTACGTGGTGTTAAAATTATTTGGTGCACCTAACCTCACTTTCTCTCTTATACCAGAAAAAGAATATGTCACTTTAATCATTATAAAGCAGTTACGTTAGCAGTTAACCCAGTCGGTTTAATTTGCTCAATAACATCTATATCTGCTGCGTGGTAAGAAATTTTATTATTTATAATGACAAGATTAATATTAATAAAATAATATCATGAGTAACTTAATTTTATGAGTATTGTCATTATTATAAATTTTGTCTTTAATATGAGAGTACAAACAATTTATTTAAATACTGATTTAATACTTTATACTTTATTTTTAGATTAATAAAAAGAATTAGATTGATTGAGAAATATTTAAGTGATTTGTTGTGATATTAAATACTAATAATATTTTGTATTTTATAATGCAACAATCACTAATATTTTCTTCTAATATTTATATTAATGTTTTAAATGTATTTTTTCTAAAGTTAATATTATTAAATAGAATAGAATAATTTCAAAGTATTACAAATTATTATTGAGACTCGTAGCATAGGTATATGCATCAAAAAATTTCTGTTAGATAATTTGTTGATCTTATTCATGTTTTTTTTTATTGTTTTTAATGTTGTATGTTTATTAAATTATTTAATAAAGTTGTTCTAAGTACTTATGTTATAAAAAAATTAATAAACTTTTATAGTGATATTTTTTAAATTTAATACGTATGTATGCATACTTCAATAAAAAAAATTAAGCATAGTATTGATTTGTTTCTTTCTATATGAATGATAATATGTGATTTACAAATTTTATTATTGAATATTTATTTTGAAATGCATTATATGTGATGACATTGAAAATAAATTTTAATTTTAGCGAAGAGAGGGATGCCACGCAGCAAGCGTAGAGCGCCCTCTAGCACAAATCACCATCACACATCAATTGATATGTCACCTAGTGCCCATGAAGAGGGTTTACCAAGACATCCATCAAAACGATTGCGCCATACGTCTGGGTATAAGATGATTACATTACGTATTAATAAATGCTTTAAATAGAATGTTCTATGATGGAATAATTTTTCATTTTTTTTATTATTTTAGAGCAAGGCGGTACACAAAAACAGAAGATGTCTCCAGCGCATCATCATTTTCTCAGAAACGATGTATAACTTGGTTTAGAGAATATACAACACCAGATGATTCAGATACTCTTGGCCCTGAAGGAATGGAGAAGTTCTGTGAAGACATTGGAGTTGAACCAGAAAATGTAGTGATGCTAGTTCTCGCCTATAAAATGAATGCTCGTCAAATGGGGTTTTTCACTTTGAGCGAATGGTTAAAAGGTCTTTCGGAATTACAATGTGATTCCATATATAAAATACAACAAAAGCTTGAGTACCTCAGGAACCAATTAAATGATCCTCACGTTTTTAAAGGAATTTATAGATATGCCTATGATTTTGCTAGGGTATGTATGACTGTGAAATTTGTAAAATGAAAAAAGAAAATGTTATGATATCCTGTTTTGATTCATATACTTTAGGATAAAGATCAACGTAGTATGGATATGGAAACTGCTAGAGTAATGCTACAGTTACTTTTGGGAAAGCATTGGCCTTTGTTTACACAGTTCGCTCAGTTCCTAGATCAATCTAAGTACAAAGTAATCAACAAAGATCAATGGTGTAACATTTTAGAATTTTCTCGTACAATCAATCATGACTTATCTAATTATGATTTAGATGGAGCGTGTAAGTGATGTTATTGTATTCTTTTGCCTAAAGAAGAGTAAATAAAGAAAAACAAGAGTGTGTGTTTGTGTGTGACCACATATTTATTTATAGATATTTTTGTTATATTTAGAATCTTTTTCTTAAAAAAATTTATATGTTGAATTTACATGGACATTTTGTTTTAGGGCCTGTAATGCTTGATGAATTTGTTGAATGGTTAAAAATGCAGAGAGGTGAGGATGCATCATCGACAGAAGCAAGGGGTAGCTGAAACATTCTATTAAAATAGTCCACTAAAGTAAACAACTCATCTCCGTCACGATATTTGTTAATAATGAAATTTTCGTTAAGTTATAACTCACGGCATTTTAATTACCATCATTCGTGGTGTACTATTTTTTTATTAAACAATATTAGTGCATTGTAAGTAGCTCATTCTATAATTTTCTTTTGCAAGAGATCTTATGAAGACTGTTTAACAAATCTTCATAGATTTATTTCGATTGCTTACCGTCATTCGCAGTTTATCGAGAGTTCATAGCAGAAATTTTTGCGCTTCAAAATAAAATTATTTTAATATAAAAATTATTTGTGCAATTCATAAGGAATAATCGAACATATTAATAATCTAAAAAGCAACACTAATTGGCTGTTTCAGCATTGACTTAATATCATTGTAAATATTTTATTTCCTGAATATAATATGTGCAACTGCATGAATTCATATAAACAAATAAGTAGAAGTAATTTGTCTATACATTTTTAATATTTCTGTCTATAAATATAGAATCCATACCAATATTTTATTTTATAAATTATGCAGCTAAACCTATACATTATCCGCAACAGTTTTTGAATTTAAATATGTATAATACAGTTAGGCACATTTAATAAATGTATTAACATTATTAAGTAGGTTCAGAAATCAATTAAGAAATTTTGCCCGATACTAGTGCGATTACAGCAATTAGTATTCAAAAGGCAGTACCACAAAGTGTCAATACAATGTGCTATTAACTAAGTAGTTCCTGCGGATGCTACCTATATAAATGTAAATTAGTATAATGAGCTCTTATTAAAATATCATATTTATTAAAGGCAATTGAATTCCGATTCTTTGGATCATTTTTTGAATATGAATGTTAACACCTGCACTTAATTTGATTATTTTATTATGGACAGTGGTATTTAGAAAGAGAGAGAGAGGGGGGGGGGAGGGGGAGGGAGAGAGAGAATAAATGACTGTGAAATTTGTAAAATGAAAAAAGAAAATGTTATGATATCCTGTTTTGATTCATATACTTTAGGATAAAGATCAACGTAGTATGGATATGGAAACTGCTAGAGTAATGCTACAGTTACTTTTGGGAAAGCATTGGCCTTTGTTTACACAGTTCGCTCAGTTCCTAGATCAATCTAAGTACAAAGTAATCAACAAAGATCAATGGTGTAACATTTTAGAATTTTCTCGTACAATCAATCATGACTTATCTAATTATGATTTAGATGGAGCGTGTAAGTGATGTTATTGTATTCTTTTGCCTAAAGAAGAGTAAATAAAGAAAAACAAGAGTGTGTGTTTGTGTGTGACCACATATTTATTTATAGATATTTTTGTTATATTTAGAATCTTTTTCTTAAAAAAATTTATATGTTGAATTTACATGGACATTTTGTTTTAGGGCCTGTAATGCTTGATGAATTTGTTGAATGGTTAAAAATGCAGAGAGGTGAGGATGCATCATCGACAGAAGCAAGGGGTAGCTGAAACATTCTATTAAAATAGTCCACTAAAGTAAACAACTCATCTCCGTCACGATATTTGTTAATAATGAAATTTTCGTTAAGTTATAACTCACGGCATTTTAATTACCATCATTCGTGGTGTACTATTTTTTTATTAAACAATATTAGTGCATTGTAAGTAGCTCATTCTATAATTTTCTTTTGCAAGAGATCTTATGAAGACTGTTTAACAAATCTTCATAGATTTATTTCGATTGCTTACCGTCATTCGCAGTTTATCGAGAGTTCATAGCAGAAATTTTTGCGCTTCAAAATAAAATTATTTTAATATAAAAATTATTTGTGCAATTCATAAGGAATAATCGAACATATTAATAATCTAAAAAGCAACACTAATTGGCTGTTTCAGCTTTGACTTAATATCATTGTAAATATTTTATTTCCTGAATATAATATGTGCAACTGCATGAATTCATATAAACAAATAAGTAGAAGTAATTTGTCTATACATTTTTAATATTTCTGTCTATAAATATAGAATCCATACCAATATTTTATTTTATAAATTATGCAGCTAAACCTATACATTATCCGCAACAGTTTTTGAATTTAAATATGTATAATACAGTTAGGCACATTTAATAAATGTATTAACATTATTAAGTAGGTTCAGAAATCAATTAAGAAATTTTGCCCGATACTAGTGCGATTACAGCAATTAGTATTCAAAAGGCAGTACCACAAAGTGTCAATACAATGTGCTATTAACTAAGTAGTTCCTGCGGATGCTACCTATATAAATGTAAATTAGTATAATGAGCTCTTATTAAAATATCATATTTATTAAAGGCAATTGAATTCCGATTCTTTGGATTATTTTTTGAATATGAATGTTAACACCTGCACTTAATTTGATTATTCTATTATGGATTTGATTATTTTAATGTTTAATTTAGTATTATTGGATATTACTTATGATATATAATACTGTAATCATCAATCTTAAAATTCGGTAATATAAATTTTGTGATTTTCATCGATGATTATATGAGATTATTATTTAATCAACTGTGTCAAAATATTTGATTAATAAACAAATAATTGCTTTGGTTCGATTAATGAAATTTTTGGATGCAATCCACATTCAAACTAATATTTAATAAATCAAATTTATAATAGATAGCAATATCATATAATTAACACTATTATGAAATTTGTTGAATAATTAAATTGAATTTCTTACATATTTTTATATTTCTTTCGATATATGTGTACTTCTATTATGCATCCACATAGACATATATACACAAAAATGATTTATATAACAAAAATAATATTACATAATATTATAACACAGCTAAAATCTTGCTTATATTTTTAAAATTAAGAATAACTAAATTAATGATAGAAATTTAATAATTATGTGTAGACATATACATTGAAAAAAATATTTATAGATAACAAAAGTCATTATAAGCTGCTAAAATATTACTGCCATTTAAAAAATGAAATGTAATTACGATGCTGAATGAATAAATTACTTTTTACAACAATTTACGAACTACAGTATACCATTCCAATAAAATAATCTCTTATCTTAGTATTGACAAAAAATAAAAGAGATATAAAAAGAAAAATTACGAACATTAAATCGTTTTCAAAAAAACATCATAATAACATGATATTAAAATTAATAGAGGTATTAAGTATATAAATAATTAAATGTGAAATATTAATTTGTAGCAATATTGACAATGACAAATAACTATTTATATTGTTTTTATTTCTTATTGATTTTAATGTTACATTTAAAACGTATATGAATAAATAAGTATCAAATTAATAAGAAATATAATGAAGATTAATTTATTTAAAAAATGATATTATAAGATTTGACATTGACCTAATGTAAGTATAGTAATACTAGCAACAGTTAAAAGCAGGCACAAATACCTACCTGTCACTGGTATTCTAAACAATCTAGCACACATTTTTAATGAGGAGGTATATAAAAGTATAGTGTCCAAATCTTCTCCTGGTGTACTTTCATAAACAAATGGTCGGATACGTACTTCATGACCAATACTTTGTATCATAGAACAAGCAGTAGTTAATCTAGCTGCCTATTGAAGTTAAAGAATAATATAAATATTAAAATATTAATAAGCGAAAATTTATATTATTCACACAAAAGTGAAAATTATTTTGCAAAATCTTTTAATTTTTGTATTACCTGGATAAATGGAACTATCGATATCAATATCCATAATACTACATTTATTATACTAATGCATGTGACTGAATTATTTTCTGTTTCATCATCATTGTATTGCAACAGCCAAATAGTTCCAGCAGTTGCCCATGATAGATTTATAACCGTATAAATGGAAACAGCAGGTCCCATATCATTGTTAAAATATTTCAACAATTTTTTAAATTCACTTATTTCCTACATTTCACAAATATTTTTTATATTAAACAAAACAATTTTTTTTACTATAAAATTTACATACCTTCATCCAATCTATCGGAGGTAGTATATGTTGAAGTAACTTTCCTCTAAGAAAATAAAGATGTGCAATTAAAAGCTGGCCTTGCAGACAATAACTTGTTATGATTGTTCCTTGCACCATGTCATGCCATAGTGTGCATATAATTAAAAGTATTTTTAAAAGAATCTTAACTTGATATGGACTATAGAAAAATATTTTATATAATAAATTTATTTTCCCATATAAATTATGCATTAGATATGTATTAATAAAAGTACCTATGTTCCAGCCATTGAAAAAAAATAACTCCTTGTGCCATCATTATGTTTACTGTAATTAATGCTATTATCATCCATACTACACTTAAAGCTATAAAAAACCACAATATTCGTACGAGTCTTTTTTGATTTCCTCTATGAATTGGATTAGAAGATAAGAGAAACGCCCGTTCCATTAGATTTTGTAATTGCTCGTGTTCTTTAATACGAAATAGATATACAGTGTATAAGTATGCAATTAAATGAAGTAAACTAGGAATTATATGACTGAATATAACATTTCCAAAGCAAACTGATTCATGCATAGGTTCTTTACTAACATTTGGTACAATTTGTAATTCCAGTGGTAATAGTTTATAACAAAATCCTCTATCTCTCCTATAAACGATTAAGAATGCAGATCAGTTATTAATTTAAGAATAAAAAAATATTAGCGTATCATTTACCTGAAGCATGCCATATATTGTAAAATATAACCGATGCACATAAATACAGCGACTTGAAAAGTATGAAAATTAGCTAAAATACAATAACGTGAAAAGTGATCAATTTCATCACTGCTTGTTGGTCTTAATCCCATAACACCTAATAATCTTAGATAAGGCCTTAATATCTTATGTTTACAATAATGTAAAACCGCTGATGTACTCAAATGTTCATAATTTGGCATTTCTGCAATTTCTCCTACCTATTATTTACATATAATCTTTATAAAATGTGATATTTTATTAAGAACAAATAAAATATTAAGTTACTTATTAGACAAATCAAAAAATATATCTCACTTCAGTACTATGTATCTGCAATTCTGATAAAATAGAAGGTGTAGATGTATGTATTGTTTCTTCATGATTTTGATGAGGCAAGTCTTTTCCATTTTTTGATTCATTATTGGAATCTGTCTAAAATATAAAAGTACAAAATAATTTCAATTTCTTATTAACTATAATAAATTAGTAATAAAAGAGATACATAAATTATTAAAAAATTGTAATTTATTGGAAGTACAAGTAATATGTAATAATGAAAAATAATTAATGCATAGAATTATAAAAAATTATTGATGTTACCTTATCGACAATATATATTTTTTTCATAGCCATTAATTTTATAAGTTAATACATACAAAATTACGTATACTTTTAATAAATAAGAGAGAGTATTTCTTTAATTCAGGATATATAAATCAAAACAAATAGTGTGAAGAGGATCAATTTTGTGTTTACATTACATCAAAACAAGTATTTTTTGTGTATACGAGATGTCATATAATAGTAGGTAATATATTACAATACCTTTATAACATTTTTATACATGTTTAATGAATTTTTAGTAAGTTCATTTTTGTTTAAATTAATATTGCAATAAAAATACTCTTTACTTACATTTATGAGCTCTTTAATGTATTAAATATAAATTACAAAAAATTATTTATAATATAAATTATTATAGAACTTACCATTACCATTTTTCTTGATCAAGAAGTACAAAGCTTTTGAACTTGGAAAGAAAACATTTGTATAAATAGGTTCACCCTAACATGAATTTAATTATATCACTATTTTGAGATGACTTTTCACCTTTCATGAGAGATATCTATATAAATCACGTTTAAACAAATTATTTTACTTGTGGTATCATGAATTCTTTCTAGTGTAGAAAATGATCACTGTACCAAGGGAAACAATGAATAAAAAACTATTTTATTTTTATTTAAGCTAATTATACATAAATCAATGTTAATGTTTTATTTTGTGAATATTTCCAGCTGGTCGTAGAAGATCCTTATATTCTTTTCTGTATTTTTTTACTGTTTGTTTTGAATTCGCATCTCGTTTTCTCTACAAAATATAATAAACGTAAATTCAATTGTTATTTTATATTTATATTTTATAGTAAAGTAATAATAATAGTAATTAAACACACTTTTCCAATAATAAATGTCATTTTTCTACTACCACGTGATCCAGACACATTTAAATTATGCATTTGTTCGTTTTGTAATCGTTTTCCTAAAGTGAATCTGAAAAACATATTTACATATAACAAAATACGTTCAATGATTTAAATATATATTACTTACTTATTTCGTTTACTCGCAACAGGTTTTGCTTCTTTAAATTCTACATCTTCCTTAATTTCATAAAGATTTGGTTGATTATTTAGTATTTTCATATTATTATTTGACTTTTCATTGTTTTCTTCTTCTTTTTGTCGATTTCTCTTTATTAATCGATATTGTTTCCGTATATCTTTCACCCATGTCTTTTCATCATCTGAACTATCTTCGTGTATGAAGCTCTCATCTGAACTAGAATTTCTATCTATAGGTAGAATGAAATACATTATGTTAATTATAAGATTATAAGCAATGTCATCATTAAGATTATAAACAATTTTTACTAACAATTATTACTGTATAATATAATTATTAATATATTTTACCTTCATTTTCAATGTTATACAAATAATCTTCGCTTTTCAATTGCTCTTGCTGTTCTATTATAGCTTTCATTTTTTTTGCCTTGCTTTTCTCAAGTTGTGAGATAACAGGATTTAATAATGCATATTCTTCAGAATTTTTATCAATTTGAAAATCTGGATTATTAAATAATGGTTTGAAACGTTCATCTTTTAAAATATTAGATGTAATTCTCTTCTTCTTTTTAAAATTTTTATTCATTTCATTCTCCATTAATTTTAAAGCCAGCTCTTTGTTAACACTAGGCAATTCTTGAACCTACAAAAATTTAAGTAAAATAAATTGTATTTCATAAAACATAATAATAATTTTTAGATAAGATAAATATACGTACTTGTATTCTACTACCACATGTCTCTAGTATTTTTTGACGTATCTTCTTTTTCTTATATTCTTCAAATTCGAATGGTTTAATTACATTTCTAGTTTTTCTGTACAAACGGATATCTATAAAGTAACCATGCATATAGGCTCGAAGTAAATTAGTGCCTTTTAGATGAGAAAGGCCTAATTCATCTAATTCTTTTTCAGTAATAAACTTATAATCATCATAAATAATATCATAATTTAATTCTTCTAATTCTTCTGTAAGATTGTCTAGAAAACTACACCAATAAGGTGCTGGTCCAAGACTAGGAATATAGTATGTTTGAATTTTAGTATTTTCATTTGCTATTAAAACCATTCCACTATTTGGTATGACACATAAATCATTAAAATAGTTTTCCGCTTCTATGGATGTATATAATTTTCCCTAAAAAAATATTATTTTATGAAATAAAGCAAATAAGAACATTACATTGAACATATTATTGTTAAAACATTACATACATTTTCTTTTTCCCATATCTTTATAATAGAACTATCCATAGAATAAATAACATCTATCTTTTCATGGAATTCAATACTTTTAATAGGTAAACCATATCCATGATCTTTGGATAAAAATGGTTTAGATGACCTAACATCATATAATAAGACTTTTCCATTAGATGTACCTACACCTAAGGTTAAGCCACCTTGAAATTTCAGAGCAGTAATGGAAGGAACTGCATTCAATCTATAAAGTAATACAACTTTAATTTAATCTATATTTTTAATAATGTAACGTTTTAGTAATGTTTTCTTATTATTTTAATTATAAATTATAACAATTATATTTTACCTATCATTCTGAAGTACATAATGCAATGCACAATCCAATACACCCACTCTATTTTTTGTTCGTGGATCCCATGCTTCTATTTTTCCATCCTGTGTACCAACTACAAGTAAGTGATGCAATGGATTTATTTCACACTTATTTAATGCAGATGCCTCCGATTCAAACGATTGTAAAAATTGTCCTCTTTCTAAATTTATTCTGTAGATTTCATTACTAAAACACAAGTAAATAATTTTTCAATTTCTTATTTTGTTTTTAAAATAGTTTTTTAGAAAAAAAAGAAAAGAAAAAAAAAATTAAACATAATATATATTTAAAACTAACCTAACACCTACAACAAAAAGATCACAAGATGGATAATGATACTTTAAATCCCTACCAAATCGAGGTATTCTGAGTCTATGATATTTGCCATGAGCAGCATGAAATTCAATGTTCCTATCACATTGTAAAAATACAATCTAAAAAATAAGAAATTGTGTATAAATAATCCATTTGAAAAAGCTTCTTATTTATTCCTTGTCATCTTATGTTATTTATATACTTACCTTGCTATAATCATTTGATAGTACTTCAAACGTGATTACTTCAGAGTCAAAACATCTTTCAAACTTTAATGATAAATTGTTAACATCAAAGCACTTGACACGTGGCTTATAAATTCCAGTTGCTAAAATATACTGTCCATCCTTTGAAACCTTAATGGATGTACTAACTTCAGGCATATCAAAGTCTTGTATAAGTTCTATACGACGTCTTATATCTATAAAAATATTAGTAAGAATAATGTATAATACATATATGCATAGATAAAAGTATAATATTTACATATTCTATAATATTTGAATATATATTATAAAGCCCAACAGAAAGTTTATCACTTACCAACATTTTTCTTTATTAGATTTCGTTTTTTTCTTTCGGACAACCACTGTAATTAATAGAAAGATATAAAATATATACTCGTAGTACAAACGTTTAAATATAATTTCAAGAATGTTTTTGAAGAATAGGAGATTAACCTTACCTCGGGTAGAGACTTGCCCACACTCAAGTTATAAATTTTCACATTATTCGGACAAGAAGCTTGCATCTTGCCTATAATTTATTAATGAATTACAATAATTTATTTATATTTTAAAATATATATTTTATTTATACAAACAATACATTTGTTTCGTATGTATGGAGCACATGTATAAAAATGTATATACCATTTTAGTATTATCTAGTTGCCAGGGTTGCCACAATGCTGCAAATCCTTTTCTTGAGATACATATATATAGATGTATATGTTCGAAACTATATATTTTTAAATTATTTGATTTATTTTGTTTCAACCAATCACGTGGAAGAACCTAAAAGTTGATCATTTTCGATGAGTTTAATCAATCTTATCAATTGGTGCCATTTTATTTTTTACAAATTAAAAATTTTTTCTATTAAAGCTTTTTAAGTGAAATTTGAATTTTTTTATTTGGCATTATCTAACAAAATATTAATAATATTCTTCAACATATCTGCATAGTTGTATATACATATGCAAGAGTTTTATATTTAGATTATTTACCACACAGATTTTACTGAAAATCATATAATCTATATATAATTTTGTTTAACTAGGGTATTGAACCAAAAAATGACGATACATTCGCATTTATAAGATAATTATGCGATTTCGTCCTAAACAATTCTCCTATCGGATGAACGCCATAGGGGTGTTTCGAAATGAATTGAAAGTTGGTCAACCTGATCGTCGATTCGTCGTCATCGGTCAACGGTACTGGTAAAGTGAAGGAGGAGGGGGTGGTGTATGTTCCGGAGAGAAGGGTAAGTGAGAGGGAAGACGGGGGTAAGTGCGAGCGGCGTTGAGCAGATATCGGTAGTCGTGAGACGAGTCGGTCGGTTGACGGATCGTGTCTCTTGTGTCGATAGTGCGAACGGTTTGCTCGTCCCTTTTTCCTTCTGTGTTCAAAAATGAGCTGGCAGGATTACGTTGATAAGCAGCTGCTCGCATCGAGGTGCGTTACCAAAGCTGCTATTGCTGGACATGATGGCAACCTGTGGGCAAAGTCCGAAGGCTTCGAAGTGAGTAACAGAGACATAAAGAAACGGGTGGGGGGGGGGGAGAGGTACGTAGGTAGGTAGGTAGAAAAGAGAGATCTGCGAAATGCTGAATCTACGTGTTTCTTCATATGAACAGCTTAACAATAAAGAAAAGAGAGACTAAAATTATGCATCTTGAGTGAAAACAAGAAGAGAGAACACATTCATGCGAAATATAATCGATCGAAAGGGAGAATAAAGTTTCCTTTTTTTCAAGATAAAATTCTTTTCGTCAAAAAAAAGTATAAAACGCAAGAATTTTTACCTCATACTTTTAGCTTGGCGTGTACGTGAAAAGTATAATTTGTCGATTTTTTTTTTTCTTTTTCGTTTCTCAGAAATTGTTATTATCTTCGAGGCAACATATTTTTTCGGATAAGATTGATTCGAGTCCGTATCGCAGCGCATTGTTCCTAGATAGCTCATTTGTACATGGGTGTGCGCGCGCGCGCACCCTCCTTGCTCGCCGGCCGGGCTCTCGTGGCAGCCGTGCGACCGGCGGACATGTTTTTCGAGACGACGCACGGTCGAAATACTCGACGAAAGAGAAGGATGACGAGAACAAGGCGAAGAACGCCAAGAGGCGTTACGGCGTGAACAGATGTTCGATCGTTTTGATGTTGAGATCGTTTCGCCTTGAATCGTACACCGGATGGATTTTTCAAAAATGATATCTCTTTCGAAAAATTGCAAACCATGATCAATCGCTGGTGTTGGTAGGCCATACAGAAATATTTCTTCTTTCATCCGATTCGTCAGTGAAAGAGGGTGTGGCGGACCGCCACTAGGAACAGAAAACTTTTGAACGTTAGAACCATCGCAACGGTTTTGCCGATACTTAAAATATGGCCACTTCTCTTATACGCACATCGTCGTTCCTTTTTCTACTTATTGTCATAGTTTTTTCAAGCTATTATTTTTCAAAAAAATTTGATGCGCACTTGATTATAAAAATGTTCAAATTATAGCATTTTATGGATATTATTTCAATTTTAATACTAAGACTATTTATGCCAAAATATCCATTAAATAAGAATACGAGGATAAATGTATGGAAGATTTATCGACGATAATTCTGATAGTTTGACCCAGAACAGAATAGTCTAAATTTTATTTATTAGTTTTAAGGACTTTTAGAATTAGTTTAAGTATTCTTAGGATCATTAATTCAGTCCGAAAGAGCTTTTACCAGAAATAACCCTTTATAAACTTTTGTTTGTTTATGAATTTTCTTTGACATTAATCGTAGAATTATATTAAATAGGACACATACATGCATATAATTAATGAGTGATTTTGACTCTCATTCGTGAAAAGAAGGTATTCGTTCTCTCGATTATTCGATGACGGTCCACTCGAGCAAAATCTCTGAATGATTGGAGCGCCCTCCACGCTCTCTTCCAAAAGCTTTCGCATATCCTGTCGGTAAATGAATATCGAGGTGAAGGCAAAAAAGTCCAGGAACGTATGAATATTGCGAGAGGAATATATATACTGGGCGTTCTCATGATTGATATCACATAAAAATTCATTTATTTCTTGCTAAAATCTTTTTATGCAAGTTTTTATTAGTATCTCCATACAATCAGTTTCATTTTAGTATATTATTCTTTTTAATTTTGTTTCTTTGTTATTATAACTGTTAGACATATGGACTTTCGTTTAATTTTAATTATAATAAATTCAATGTAAAAATTATTATACGATAATTTTCATATACATATTATATATATAATTTGTCCATAAAAATTTATTGGGTCGTTTTCTTGTTATTTTATAATCTTTCATCATGTAGTTTGGAAGACACTTAGTTTTTTATTTTATTTTGTCTCATTAAATATTTGTCGTATATTATATCATTTTTTTTCTCTTTTTTATTGTAACTATTTGCCGAATATTATTTTTCAGTTTTTGTTGCAGCGGTGGATTTTGAGGCATTCGTAATGGTTAGACAATATTGATAGCGTGCATGTTCTTGTTCATAGTACGATAGGTTTGTGATATGACAACGATGAGCGACCGTTTAATACTTGAGCAGTTGAGACAACAGGTTTGTGAATAGTAAGCTATCGAGCTATCACAGACACACTATTCACAGATATTGTGGCGAGTATCAGAGGAACCGGTTCTATTCTCTCTATTCGTAACCGATCCACTATTACTACTACCATTACTATACATCTCAACGCGGCATAAAAGCTTCGCTAAATGCTTTATTAACGTTTGTCATTATTCCAGTCAAAAGCATTAATTGCCGATATTACATAATTTTCGAATTTAATCTCAGATAGTTAACTTTATAAATTATTTTATAAACATTAAAGTATAACTAAATATACAACTGTTCTTGCATAGTTTTTTTGAGGGGAGGTCTTGAAAACGAACAAATTTTTTAGATATAGATGTTAGATGATTCACTTTACATATGTACACATTTTATTTTTAGGTTAAGTTTATCGACGTTTGTTATAAGTGTGAGTTAGATTTGGGTTTAATTCGTTATGATTTTGTTTGTTAATACAAGGTTCATGTAAAATATAAAAAATACTGCTAAATTAAGATTATTTTATATGTAATGAGTACAAACGTAATTTAGACGATGGATAGAAACATTAAATTAATTCTTTCTCAGCAGTAAATAAGAGAAAGTTTGATGAAGAAGATATATTTGGCCAAAAGAAAAATAAACATTTTTTCAATCGTATAATTAGCTTATGTAAAGCATTTCAAAGAAGAATGTTCTAAATTCATGCATACTTGGAAGATAATAATTGTTTAAAATTTTTACTAAGACGTTTAAAATTTTAATGTGATCAGAATAAAGCATTTATACGAGATAGATATGCATGTAATTTTTGTGTATTCTAAAGTCAAGCTTTATAATATAACAAGAAAATTTATTTCACTAAAAACAGAAAAGTTATAGTTTTGTTTTTTGAATGTGTATAACACTTTCAAGTCGGTATTTCATAGTACGATGGAAGGTTCAGTTGGTGAAACTTTGAAATAAAGGTCGCCAACAGTTGCTTTACGATCACACTTTCAGGTTACAAATGTCAAAATGGCGATACTGGTCGAGCAGCAACCTCTCAGTGCTGTATTTAAAATTGCTATTTTGTGGGTACCTCTGTGAGATCATCGATTATTTTGTATTTATTATAACAAAATTTAAATAATAATTAAAATGGTAGCTATAGAGTTTATACGCTACATATATTGAGTTGATACATAATTATCTGTTCAAAAATTTGAATGAATCATTTTTTCTTCATAAAGACACCGAACATAAAATTATGATCATATTTCAAAATTAATAGTTTTAATGATATTTAATGATAAATAGGTAATTAAATAGTTCAGATAAAATAAAGAAATACTGATATAAAATTTAAGAATTAATTTATGTGTCAATAATTATGTATTAATCCAAAATACATGGGCGTGTAGGATAGCACATTTTAAATCCTAAAAGATTATTTGTTGTGATAACAATAAGAAAGTGTCATTTTATATTCTGATCTCATTTTTAACATCTTTTCATAAATATTATACAGTATTAGGTCGCTTAGTACGACTGCGATTTATAAAAAAAACATATCTTTTTTACTGATCTTATATATTTGTGAAAATTTTGTTTTTCCGCAATATTTTGTGAATCGGTGGCGCGTAGAGTATGAAGCAAAAAGAATTGATGGCAAAATGCTGTATGAATCATAGTCTTCAGGACCGTAATTAGAATCATGGGACCTACGTTGCTTCTATATAATGATATTTATTGGCATTTTTATATCTTTCATATATATATTTTTATGTAGATATCGAAATAAATATCTAAATATTGAAAATTCAAATATTTATAATTTTCTTATAATTTCGTATAAAATTTATGTAAATGGTCGTATTTCGATGGGTTTTATCGATATAAATATTGGGTTGGCAACTAAGTGATTGCGGATTTTGTCGTTTCCTTCTTATTTGAAATCCGGCAATCACTTAGTTGCCAACCCAATATATTAGATATGTGTGCGTGATCTTCAGTGGGTAACAATTGAATCTGATCATAGCATAAACGTAAGAGGTATAGTGTGATAATTTTGTACTTGTTAATTTCTTTAAAATTTTTTTCTCGTTCAGTAATTATATATGTATGTAAGATTATTGCAAAAAGGTTTTTTTTAGTTAAACAGTCGTCTCTAAATTGATTCTTTTCCTAGCATGTTCATGGAAAATTTGATTTAATGTCTTTCAGGTGAGCAAAGAGGAGCTTGCGAAGTTGGTACAGGGCTTCGCGGAACAAGATATTCTAACGTCGTCGGGGGTTACCTTAGCCGGCAACAGGTACATATACTTGTCGGGTACGGATCGTGTGATAAGGGCAAAACTCGGAAAAGTTGGCGTCCATTGCATGAAGACGACGCAAGCCGTAGTCGTTTCCCTTTACGAGGACCCAATACAACCACAGCAAGCCGCGTCTGTCGTTGAAAAACTCGGCGACTACCTCGTGTCCTGCGGCTATTAGGTCAGTAAAGAAGTCTTTATGCTTTTGCGAATCAAGCGAGTTCGTGTCTCGTTGCGTGGTGGAAACGAATTGGAAACGAAAGGTTGTTGCGCACTGTCAACCAGTCGTCGGTGATTGCTGGATTTAGGAAAAAGTATGAAGACATATATACTTGGTTGCAGTGACCACGAAAGCACGGACGACTTGTTTGGTCGTTGAGTTTGGTTATCTGGTTTCTGGTCTTTCGTCGATTAAGTTGCCGACGACTGATCGACAGTACGTAATGGGCCCAACCGATATGAAAAGCCGACTTTTATTTTCATTGCGATTAAATTTTCTATTATCATTAACTACATTTTAACCGTACTGTATTATTAATTCAGCGTCTCATATACACGTTCCTATACGTGCATAATGATATTTATAATAGAAAAAAGTGTTAAAATTGAATAAATGCACGCAGAACGTCCTGCCTTAGCGAAGTTTAACGGAGTTGTGTTGGAATGAAATTGTGACATAAAATAAGAAAAGAGATTATCATAAAGCATAGGTGATAAACTGACGGCCCGCGCCCCTGCTTGCATGCTCCGGTGAAATGGGAGAAAACGATCCCCACTATTTGATCGCTGTGCCTCGTGAACTGCTTGACTTTTGTTTTTAAGCATGGAGTGATGGTAGTTAAGTGGATAGTTAAATAGTGCGAAAACGGATTGATTAATGGTGAAGTCATGTGGCCCGCGGCGGAGAAGTTGCCCACCTATGCGGTTGGGCATTATTAGACGCTTATTAACATATACATGGAAGGGAGTTCGATGGCCTATTGCAAGGTCATTCAAGTTCATGAGAGGGATCGCGTTAAATATGTATCGTATAAAACTATATGATCTTATGATTCGCATCGAATAATTTCATCGATTTATAAGTGAATTTAACGTTTAAAAAGACAAAAATAATAGGCGATTATCTCGATTCTAATGGTTATATGAAAAATAATAAAACGTAATTTGATAATATCATAATACGTTCGTAAACGATTCCCACGGATTGAGAATTAAATGGCGTTTTTCTTCGTTTTTGCTTTCCGTAATTTTTCCCCCTTCATTTCCCACTTACTGTACCTCTTCGCGTCAGTTACGCTCTTATCGTTATCGTCTTGTCACTTGACGAACACCGCGGCCAATGCCTCTCCCTTCTTTTTTCCCTCTACCTCTCTCTCTTTCTCATTCCCTTGCTCGCTCTCTTGTTCGTATCGAAACGCGCAGTTGCTGGCTCCGCCATTGTTTCTCTCTATCGAGACTGTTTTTCATTGCGAATACTGCTGTCGTATCGTTACTGTTTGTGACCGTGCGAAGGATACAGAGAAGAATAAAAATATAATGGATATAGGAATGATGGTCAGCAGTCAATTCATATAAAAATTTCATAGCTATACCTTTTTTTATTATTATATTACTATAATGTATGCAATTATATTATTATAATGTATACGTTATGATTTATGTAAATGCTTATCTCTGTTTATATAGATACCACTTTTTATCATATTTTTATAAAGTATATTTTAATGTAATATAAATTTCATCGATTCATTTTTTATCCTGAGTATCGTCATTTCCTCTCGATCCATTATGAGATACCGTCATTCCGCGATATTGTTTGATCCATGTTTTATTTTCTTTAAAAGCATTTTTTTGCTGATTCAATTATTGTTTTCAAGATATAAATGATTTTTTCAAATTGGGAGTCGATTTTCGTTTTTAATGACCACGGTGCATAAGCGTAAGCTGTAGCAAGAGTGAGTCACGGTCTTAACTTTCCTTGACTGCTTTTAGCTCGATATTAGCTCGCCGCGATGACTAATCACGAATATACTTGTGCATTCGCTTTTATGGAGATACGATACATATGTGTGTGCACAACCTTCGCACTCTTCGGAGAAATGATAAATATTTTATTCTTCGAAGCGAGATTCCCACATCGCCTTTTGTCTCCTTTTTCCACTTTATCGCAGTTCTCTTTTAATGTGCATGATTTATTTTGTGGAAGAAATAACAGAGTGCTGTGAAAAAATCGACAACTCGAAATATATGTATGCATGTTCGTACATATGTATATTTTAATTACTTAAATCTCACTCAAGTCGTGTTCTATTCCTAGGTATGAGATTATAGTAAAGCGACGAGGAAAAAGGAAAATTGTGAGGTTAGTAGAACAGTGCTGTGCATGTTTATACTCAAATGGAGAATAATGAGCAACAGAATACTATAGCGAGCTATTTTTTTCAATGTTTCTTAAGATGTTGGAACTTCACAAACTCATGCTTGCAGAAAATATTGTAATTAAATATTATGTCCTTGCTTCAGATCATTTAAGAAACAGAGTCAGAAAATAGTCTATCTTATGAATAAAAAGACAACCACTTATATTTAAAATTAAGACAATATCCTGACAAATTTCAGCAATATTTTAAAATATTTAATTATCTAGCTGCAATATCTAATCGATTGGATTTTGGAAATGGTATGTTTAAAAATTATACTTCAATAGACCAATTTTGTTCAGAACCCTGTTAGTATTGAAGAACACTTAATTATTACCAATAAGTAAATTTAAATTAAAAAATTAATTACTCACTATTTTATAAAAAAAGCCTATAGTTTAACAGTTAATTTTACTTTATATATTAAGATTTTAATATTGAATATGTTAATACATAACTTGGATGAGGTACTGACTGATGGTAAGCATAAAAAGTAATGGTCATTATATTTGAGTCTTGTATTCGTATTGTACAGGATATTGAAAAGTATCCATTAGATGATTGCTGAGGCCAGCTGAATGCCTTCGATCTCGTTTATTTCTACTAACAGAATCAAATATTTTTGATTCTAGCTGTACTTCTACTATAGTTGCCTTTCTCGCAACTTTCTTCGTCGCTTCATTAATAAACACTCTCATTAGAAAACATTGGTTTAATTTTACCGCGCTGCTCTCCTCGCCACTATCTTTGCTTCTCACCGCTTTACTATATTCATAGCCTGAGAGACTCTTAATAAGAAACGCAAGGATGACACTTTTTATATAAATAGAAGAATTCAATACCATAACCAAGTGTAACGAGTCGAGAGATTCGATGATAAATAGTAGACAGAAGTTCTAGTTCTAGCTTTTTTCATAATATAGCGAACTTCGCGATTCGGTATTTATGTCATTAACTTCCTTTATCGATTGTAACATAGAAATAATTACTATTATATCTCATTTTTTATTTGGAATAAAAAATGAATTTTAATAAAGCACCTACTGTTGTCTTTATAATAAAAATTATCAACGTTCAGTATTATCCCACCGTCGCAACGAGCATTTAACTACCTTTCATTATCTTCATACGAGTCGTATATGTACATATTTTTTCCAGCTCTTGATCGGTGTAAACCTTTTGCCGATCATCATCGTAGTTGTAATCGTTGATGGTGAACGTATTTGTTGATTTTTTGTTTCAGTAACCTCTGGGACCCAACACAAAATATCTAATATTAATAACAAACAATACAATTGATTATTTTAAATGAACAGCGAATGGAATGCGCCATGCCGCACGAGCCGTGCCGCAACTGCCGCAAGCCTGCCGCGCGATGCACGACGAAGAAGTAACAGCAGCAACAACTACTACCATACTGCAGTCATCGTTCTCTCCACTTCGACTTAACTTGACACCGAGAAAGGAAGGCGCGCGCGCGTCCACATAACCGATCTACGCCTCTACTATACGACTTACTTCCCCTCGAGACGCCTATGTATGCATCATTGAGATTGCATGCATCATTGAGATACAGTTGCATATAAGACAGTCGCGGACCTGCGTACAGATGGACGGACGAATGGACAAACAAACGAACGAACGAACTGACGAACAGATAGATAGATAGATAGTTAGATAGACACAGACTCGTAACGCGTACACACACGTATGATACTTCATTGCAGATGCTGCATACATATATGTACACAAATTGGTCTACGAATGCTCATCGAAAAATAGAAGAAAAAAAAAACACGTGCCAATACTCGATAGAGCGTGTTATTTACGGAGAGTAAAAACAATTTTGTAGATACATTGACATGCACGTACGATTATAATACGATAGTCATATTTCACACACATATACATTACATTCGTACGAAAAAAGATACACTTTGAATGTACAGACAGACACGCGCATATATACGTTAAGAAAATAAAGATTATATAAAATGATGATATAGATTGACATGTGTATAAATTGCGTATGCGCGCGCGCTATTTGAAAATGATTTACAGATGCGGGCTTCGGGAAAAGTGCGTATAACTTTCGTTTATACGAAACAGGGACATCGATTATAATCGTGCTATAGCCCTGTCTTCTGAAATGTTGTTACATATCGTCAGGCTCGTGATCAAAAAGAACGCTATAATGATGATGATAATGATAATGACAACGATGGTGATGGTGGTCGTGATTGTGATGGTGATGGTGTGATAAATTAAATTGTGTATGTGCGTGCGTGTATGCGTGTATGCATGTAAGGCACGAGACGCATCTCGGTCACTTTCAAGATTTCATTCTTATTTGTGTCTAAAGGAATAAAAAATTTTTTAGGAACATTTTGGAGGCTTTTTAATCTGTTGTTCGTATGGAGAATCTCGTGCTTTTTTGGAATAGAAAAAGAACCGACACGTTTTTGTAAAACGAGGAGAATTGAATTTGCGTTCGTCACGAGCCACGTGCGTACTTGTTTTTATTATCTATATTAAATATGATAGGTCATTTACCACGATCTTTTTTTCTTCCTCTGTCTAATTTTCTCTCTATAGCGTTCAAAGTTTCTCTTTTTTGTGTTAATAAATAGTAACGCATTTTTGCATTTTTACTCGCTTTCTTCGATACAATTTTCTAATTAATAAACAACAAATTCAAAGAAATAATGTTAACTTATCGTTCCTGATCGAAGAAATCGAGCGAGGATGTTTTTATGATTAGCGTGAAAATGAAAAACTCGGAGTACTTAGATCGAGAAATGGCAGCAGTAGAGAGAAAAAGATGGCAAAAAAGAGGATGGCGATTAGTTGGAGATTCTAAATTGGGTTTCGATACGGTATAAGTTCTTTTGTATACGCTCGGAAGACGAAACGATCGAGTGGACTAACCAACTTATCGACGAACAGACAATAGACAAACAGACATACGGTAAACTGAGACGAATGATGGCAAACATAAACAAGAATGGAAGGAAAACAAATCTTATCCTTTCTAATCACTTTTGTGCGCGCCGCTTCGCTGATAGAGGGACGAACACGCGCATGAATTTAAATATAAGAAATAATGATAATAAATAATAATAAACTATTGTGTTAGGTTTACAGTCCTTTTCTTTCGTAGGATCCGAAAGGTTGGGAGAATGAGAAAGAAAGATGTGCGAGTGTGTGAACGAATGAGAGAGAGGAGGGGAGAACGAATATAGTACAACGGGAAAATTTTGAGAATAAAGTTAGAGAGAGAGGGCGGGAAGGAGAAAGGGGAGAGAAAAAGGGAGAGTGTAAGAGCGACTGAATCAGAATGAAATGAAAAATTTGAGAAGCGAAATGAATAAATATGTGTGTATTTTTTGTGGGGAAGGAAATTGTAAAGAAGACCTAATGAATGACAATGATGACGATATATAAAAACCGAGGATCGAGAGCGTATGGTAGTTCGAGGTGGACGATGATATTTGTTTTTTTTTTGCTGGTCATAATGATTGTGATAATGAGAATAATGATGGTGATAATAACACGATGATAATGCGGGCGAGCATGCATGCGGCAGCGAGTGAAACGGCACGAATTGATTGCAATCTTGGTCGCGTCCCCCAAGAATCGATATGATCCTTTTAGCTATTTACTGTCTTTATTATTGCTACGTGTAAAAGAAATAAAACGACGAAGGATGTGTCATAATATAAAGGGGATTTTTAACAATGTTCGTGTGAAAAAAGAAAAATACAAAGAGAAAGAAGGTGATATTATATACGGGGTGAGAGTCGTAAGCTGATATAGGCACTGACACACATCAACACTGACACAACCGACACACATATACATACACAATGCGTGACGCACGTATTGACTACGGGCGTATAAACATCACGCGTGTATTGATAAATGCAAAAGAAGGGGGTAAACGGTTGGAAAAAGTATTTACGTTTGTGATAGAAGTCTCATTTTCATTCCCTTTTCAACATGGCAGAAGATGCTATGTTCTCCATAAAAATTTATTTTAGGAGTGAGAAGTAATACGATTTATGAAAAAAATGATGAAGATGGAAGAAAGAATGATCAAACGTTGTAATATAAACAAAAAACATATTTGCGTAGATACTAATTGAAATTTTTGCATTGTTCGTTTTACGGGAAGTTTCATACTCTCTTAATGACGAAGAATTTATTCTTGGCGATCCATTTTATCAAACCAGGATAAGTATATTATTGAACTTTTGAAGGCAATCGAGACGTTCTATTGAGCACGACAATGTTGTTCCATTCGTTTCTCGTTTTCTTCGTCTGTAAGGAAGATCCGGTGATAGAGGTATTCGAGGCCAACGCATTACGAATGTAAGAGAGATGTAAAGAGAGATGGAGACGAAAAGAGACGTTGATACATTCCCGACGTTTACCTTTTTTCTTCATCCAAAACTTTTGATATGTGTTCTCGAAGTGCAAACACGCGAATGAAGATGGGATACGTACACGTAGATATTCGTATACGCACATTCACGCAAACAAACGCATCCGTACACGAGATACTGCTACTGAATTATTACTACTACTATTACTACTACTACCGCTACTATTATTACTATAATTGGTTGCTTGTCTGATTCGTCTGACGCCAAGCAGCGGCCCAAACTACTATGTAACGATTTTTATTGATAACAAAAGAAGAAATAAAACATTGAAATAATAATTGTAATAAAAGGCAACAAAAACGTATCCCAATGCGTATGTACGTGATTAAGGCGAAGGAAAGAAGAAAAAAAAGAGATTGTATCTATCGGTCTCCAATCTTTTTAAGATTATTCTCGAATATTTTCCTTAGTTTCTTTTTTTATTCAATTTTCTTTAACGACAATTTATTCTTTCCAAACTTATTCAAATCAAGATCGCAAGTGATTTATGGTTGAGAAATGGTGCCATTGGAGAAAAGAAGAAACATGGAAAGAGATTCTGCTTTTTGTTTCATATTTTAACATTAAATAATATTCATACATATAGCGTGTAATACCTAATTCTCTTGCCTTTGGACGGTTATGGAATGCTGAAAAAATGGAGGAAAAGTGGGAATGAACAACGATAAGACAACGATGATGACGAACGGCAACGACCAATGTTCACGTTCACATCTTATAATTAGCTGTAACTTACACGCACGTACACAAAATAACGAGCGGATTATATCATTCACAAAATTTTAAGGCAAGGAAATTTTGTTTTTATCTGAGCGCGAATATCAACAACTATTTTTTATATAAGAAGTTTTATTATTGCGTCAAGGAAAGAGTTGCTTTCTCTTGCATTTATGAACAATTATTCTATATACATTTTTTGCTTTTTGCTATAATATAAATAATTATTTGTTAGTTTTCATAATATGCGACTAACATACTCGATTAAAATGAGATTTAAAGAAATACATTTGATGAGTAGATTAGTTAAAGTAGATTTACAGAAAGCAAGTTACCTTACGGCTGGTTACGAGACCGAAGGAAATGGTGATCGTTGAGGATATCTTTTAAATACAGATTTCCATCGACGAAAGTTTAGTTTTCTGTTCAATGTCTTTAAATAGTCTGATATACAAAGGCATTTATTTTATTTTTCAATCGATTGATTTGTGACGAAGAATAGACTCTATACACGTATAGTTCATACATGTGGATGCATCAAAAATTATTTTTATCTATCTCCAAACAAATCATAAGTCCAATATTAAATTTAATTTCGTTTTATTCAGTACGGTATATGTGAAAACCCTCGTATTTGTTTGTAAGTGATTATCAGGAGAGGTTTTGTTTTATTGTTAGTATGGTATACACATATACAAACAAATTGTAGCAAATTACCTTTTTCCCAACGATGATATCTCTTAAGTTATCGAGTTCTCTCCTCGTGATTTTCCTTCGTCTAAAAGTCGTCAGTGCAGTTTGGAGCTTTGACAGAATTGTCCAAGAAGATTTTGCATTTTATTGTGTTTTATTAACAATAGAAAATCAAAAGCATAAATTAAGAGACAACGGCGGCGAATTATCGATCATTGTTTTTCTTTCTACGGACAAAAAGTTTTCCTCGTGGGTACATTTTTTTTTATCGATTACGTAAACACTGCTAAAAATCTATGATGGTTAAATCGCAGAAGGGAAGTTATTCTCGTTCCTAGCTTTCAGCGCTAGCGCCCTTTTAATTGCTTTAACGGAATCCATGAAGCAGAGTTCGTCGCACGCCTCGTATCTGGATCGCACCTTCTTCTTTTCTTGTCATTGTACATTATCCGAAGATTCTTTTAAACCGAAAAAATCGAACCAATTTACGTATTCTTTTGAACGAGACGATTGCAATTGAACATATTTTTCAAAATCTTCGATAACAAAGGATGGATCGATAATACGCAAATAATTTGAATTCTCCTCGAAACTTTCGTAGGCCGTTTTTACTTTTTTTCTATTCTTGAAAATCGATCAAGATTTTTTGAAAATACGAAAATGCAACATATCCATTTTAAAAATCTGACATGCATTCGACGTTATACTTTCCTTCTTTTGTCATGCGAAATGTAAGAACCGTTTGATAAGAGGTGGGAGTATCGAGTACTCGAATACAAGACGTATGCAATATATCCAGTTCTATATATATCTGTCGCACGTGCGTGTGTACACACACACACACACACATACAACTTCAGGTATCCCCTATAAGTCGGCAAGTTTTCCCTTGACAACGAACGATCTTTGGCATTCGATCGATTTCGCCGCCCATCTTTATTTCTTTCTTTCATTACTCTTCGCAACCTCATTCAACGTGCGAAATGAATGCATTAATAATGTCAAATTAGAAATAATATTAAATAGATATATGATCTGATTTTATGGTTACCTATCGCCGTCATCTTTTCCTTCTTTTTATTGGTTCTAATCTTGTATGTAATTACATATACATATATACATTTACCTTTATGTATATAAGCATATGTAATGCGGCGTACGTACGCGCGTGCATAAGCAGCACATACACACATATGTATATGCATTTATTCGTAATTTTTCATATATTTATCTGTAATAATGTTATGCCGATAATATTAACGTTATCATTACCATGACGTTTGTGTGAATGTGTGCGCCTATCTGGCTGTGTAATGGATTTTCGAGCATTTATAATCATATATTGTGCTATTAATAATAATAATAGTAAGAATGACATTGGTGGTGATGGTGATGGTGATCGATGATCATAGCAATAATAGTAACAATAATAATATTAATAATAATAATAATGATGATGATGATAATAAAAAAAAATAATGCTAGTATAATAATCTATAATAATTATAGATCTCTATACTGATACGGATGAAAATGAATAGTGATGATGATGATGATGATGATGATGATGATGATGATGATGATGATGATGATGATGATGATGATGATGACCGATGGTAATATAAATGTTACAATACGCGTTAACGTCTTAATGGACTTACAGCTGTATCAATAATAATGTACCGTATGATATTCTCTCTTTAATAATATTCATACTCATTCGCGATATATCTAACATTCGCTCCATGCAACATATTATACCTCCTTTCTTCATCTATCACATATCGGTTAATATAAGTTAAGTATATTAAATATCCAAATACACTCTCTCTACATTAAATAGTTTATTATTTCTTACGATGCGCTCGAGTCTCGAACCATATAAAAGAAAAAATACAAGAAAAATTGAAAAACTTGTCAGCGCACGCTCTTCAGCTTATAATTTAATATGTTCGTTCAATCGAACATTTGTACGGAAAAGAAAGTTTAAAGGACCTTTTTTCCGAAGGTAAAAACGATTAGAAATGAGATAAAGCGTTATGGGATTAATCTAATGCAAGAATCGATTAAATTTTATACTTCTAAGCACGCATCTATGATTTGGCATAACTCGTCGACTTTCAATGACGCGAACTGATTGGTATCTACGACAAAGTATGTCAAATCCTTTGAGTGAATTATAGAATCATTTCTACAGTCAATCTTATTTTTTTATTTATTTGAAGAACTAAACTTTTTTTCCTCCCTCTCACGTGACTGGCTTAGTCATTTTTCCGTCACTATTGGTCCGCATCGTGGAAGCGACGTACGAAAGAAAGAAAAAAGGCACGATTCGCGTGATTCTTCGACTCATCACTGCTGATTTTCCTCATCAATAATAATAATAATAATAATAATAATAATAATAATAATAATAATAATAATAATAATAATAATAATAATAATAATAATAATAATAAGTAATAAGTAATAAGTAATAAGTAATAAGTAATAAGTAATAACAGTCCGGGGCGATTCGTTCCAGCTCTCCTCCGTATTTTCACCGTTCTTTTACATCCCGCAATGATTTACCCGCGAAAGGGCGCATATGTTAGATCATATCATGATCCAAATAAAGAACATTTACAGCCATCCGCGGATCGGGAATATTAAAAATAGTGAAAAACACGAGATCACTTGTTTAGATTCTCTCTCTCTCTTTGTATTTTTTTTTTTGATCGATAGTCATGATCGTAGCAAACGCAAACCAGACGCGGACATACGTATGTATAGATGGAGAGAGTATTGTGTAAACGACGTACGGAGGAAAGAGTTGCAGTTATTGAACGATGCAACAGCAGGGGTTGCTAGCTAGAGTCCTCGTGGCAACGCGTTGCTGGTAATACTGCTGCTGATGCTGGTGTTGATCTTGTCTCTGTCGTTGCCGGACACTGATTATCCTGCCACACCTGGGCTATTGGTTCTCCAATGAATAATGTCGTGATCTTTTCCAGAAACCTTTGAAAAAGCCCTTCTTCTTTGGCGCCTCGCCACTCTCCGCGGCTATAACAGAGAAATTATACTCTCGTATCGACGGAAGTTATTTTAATCATTATTATTTAGCGGATTGTATTTTAAGAGAGCTTTATTTCAAATTATTTCAAATTTGCTTTTAATGATATTTTTCTGTTAAATTTTTTTCCATTTATTTATACCATATATGTTATCATTCAAAATCATTCATTAATTGTATTAAATCGAGGATCGAAATGATAGCCAATAACAATATACGACATGCTAGATATACGTTGACCAACTCTGCAACGGTCCTGTTTTTATGTAGTTATTTCAACCACGTTTTCGCGCGTGCTATATGTTAAGCAGCAAAGTCTTGACGATCGGTCGTCCCTTGCATGATAATTGTCGGTCTTTCCGGTTGCTTTCGAATTAAGAGCCACAACGTAGTCCTTCCGACATGAATACGTTAAATATCGTTTTTTTTACGTAGTATGATGATACCGTTACCATGAGTACTAAACGAGGATATTTCTAGCGATATATTTATTTACCAAATATGAAAAATTTTAGTCTAAATTAAATAAAATAATCGGCCCTCTTTTCTTTCTGTGACTTATGTAAATAAAAAAAGAGATTCCATTTATGTCCGGGCATTCCCAATGGGATCCTTTCGGAGTATTGTTCTCGACGTCGTGTGCATCAAAAACGAAAGACATATTCGATGTATCGCCTCTGTTCGGCGTAAAAAAAACACGTCAGGAGACATAACTGCGGCGGACTAGAGAGACAGAGAGAGGCCAATGAACGGTGGACGGGGAAAAGAGGAAGGCCAGTGCGTACGGATCAATACCGATAGTGGAACCTATAGCATACATACTGGAGGAGCGCAGACTCTTGGGTGTGTCCGATCTTTCGCGCAGCATCCCGTTTTGCTACTCTCTCTCTTTCTTTCTCTTTCTCTTTCTCTCTTTCTCTCTCTCTCTCTCTCTCTCTCTCTCTCTCTCTCTCTTCTCTCTCTCTCTCTCTCTCTCTCTCTCTCTCTCTCTCTCTCTCTCTCTCTCTCTCTCTCTATATATATATATATATATATATATATATATATATATTTCATACATTCGCTTGTTTTTCTAGGTCTTATTCCTTTTTCCAAAATCATTTCGTTATATAGGAAGTTCAAAAAGATAGCATACAAGAGATTTAATACATACTTCAGAGATTTAGTACGTACATAAGATAATGTAATGTTAAACTGTAAGCTCGAGTCTTGAGTAGACGATATCATTTAAGAAAACATGTAACATGATTCAGTGTTACCGAAAACTGAGTTTTTTCGTATGCCTGTTGGCATAGAATCAAAACATGCTGACTATTATTAGTCTCGTACGCGTAATAATTTTGAAAGTATTCGATAGATATATATCTCGTCTTATTAAGAATGTGGTAATTGCGAGTAGCTACTATTCTACGAACTAACTAGTATGAATCTTCATGCAAAAAATCTTTGTCGCATTCAAATTTCGAAAAAATTATTTTCGATATCGAAATAATTCCCGTGTCTAATCGATTTTTTTTGAATACGTATATCTATATATATTTTTTTTTCTAATTTTCAAGTTGGAAAAGGATTTCATTTTTGCATATGAAAGGAAAAGTAGGAGTAATGCGCGAGGGTAAAGATATTTTTGTGATTGTACGAATTATCGCGTTCGCGTATCGAGTTGCGTCGATAAGAGACGCAACTCGAGATAAGATAGTGCCAATACATATTTTTTTTCTTATCTACCTGAAACATAGACAAATACTGTTGTGAAATGAATAATTTAGAAAAAATAAGAAAAATAAACAAAAAGTATATTTTTTGGTCACTCATCAAATCGTGGTTATTTAACGATGAAAGAGAAAGAAATCACAGGTACGTGGTGGAATTATTCACAACGTTAGACAGTCAAGAAAGTCGCGGACCGATCGGTAAGCGAGCATTTTCCGAAAATAAACAAGTCGTATTAATAGCGATGGATCTCATAGCGAGGACGAACTTGGAGGATGATATTTTGGAACGAACCATGTTGCTACGATTATATTTCGTATTCGCGCGCGTACTGTTATTATGATTATGCGTTCGTTCTGTTACTATGATTATTTTCAAAATTCATAGAACAAGAATCCATCGTTCAATAAAATATCTACTTTTTCTCATATATTTTCAAGGTCGCTTGGTGATTTATGAAAAATTTTAATTCGAATCCGTAAGTGCTTCCTGAATTATCCTCATTTTGGCGCCTTAAATTAAATTAAAGAAGGTTGTATTGTTTATGCTATTCTAACGATCCATTGGAATTTAGAATTTTCTAATTTCTTAGAAAGGGACACGACCTATACGAATACATAGTGTATAAGGATGTTTCTCTATCTCTCTCTCTCTCTCTCTCTCTCTCTCTCTCTCTCTCTCTCTCTCTCTCTCTCTCTCTCTCTCTTTCTCTCTTTCTCTCTTTCTCTTTCTCTCTCTCTCTCTCTCTCTCTCTCCCTCTCTCCCTCTCACTGTACTCTCGCAGCGAAGAACGAGTTCTTCGTTCGTGACGATCCAATCTATTTCTGTCCGAGGATGGTCGTGATTAATATTTCGGGTAGTTCTTATTGCCAAGTCGAAGTAAAGTCTGGCCGTGTAGTTTAAAAATAGCTGTGGAGACGCGTGTCGTGTCCCCGTCGGGGAAATTGAGTTTCTTTTCTTTCTCATTTTCTCGCTGTATTTGTCTCCTACACCGTTCCTTTCTCGCTTCCCATCATCGTGAATGATCTTTGATGATATGATAGTAACGAAGTTTAGACGGGGAGATATGTGACTATTTCTCTTTTTTTTTAAATTCTGAATAGTTATCGTTAAATGATGAAAATAGAAGAACAACGCGATTCGAATAATATTACCATTCCAATAAAGACTTACCGGCATAAGGACCCGAAGGTAAAGCGTTATCTTTACCACTTTTTCCATCTTTACTGCTACTCCCTGAAACAATGAAAAGAAAATTGCATATTATATACAAATAGATGCTTGATATAATATCATACGGACGTATAGAATAGCATACTACTACGTTATGGAATAGAAAGTACTAATATACATATACTTTTCATAAATATATAGTTTTACCTTCGAAAATCAAACTACGTACCTAATATGAACCGAGTTGAATCGGTGTCTAATAGTAAGAGATTAGCAAAGTGGACGCGTCGTTCGATATTCTGCTAATAGACAAAGTAGCTTGTTACTTGATATTTAAAGGAGATTTTTGTTCGAAAGGTGAAGATTCCGACTGGAGAAAATTCCTCGAAAAGCACGTAAATTGATATACATTATATAGCTATATGCTCTATATACTTAATGAGTTACGAGTTAAAAGTTACTTTTTATTTTCCATGAGCAATAAAGAGTAATTTCTTTCCATAAGGAACAAAGAATTTTTGTTCGAAAAAATGTTTTCATTTTCTTGGAAACAGATGTGTACGAGGATATATATCAATAGTAGGATATGTAGATATATATCGGTAACGTCCACGCTTGAAAAAACTATAAGAGTAGAAACTGGAAGGTAGAAATAGAGAGTGCTTCAAAGAAATAGGGACATGGAGGCAAACTAGTCGTAAAGAGAACAACCGTTTGCAGAAAAGCTAAGTAAGTTGCACCAAGTTCAGCTTCGTGGGCTATATTTCATAGTCATCTAAGTCTTTGAACTGATCTTTGTTATCTATCTTAAATGGGTATATGTACTATAGTACGAATACATAGCTGCACTGTCTTGATTTTTTTCCGATGAATTCGCACATTCAAGTGGCCAGATCGTAATTAAGATCCGTTCATTTTTACGAAAATATGCGAGTGGAAAGCATTTACTTAGATTCTGGAACTCGTTTAAAATCATCCGTTGGATCTGTGGAGATTTTTATACAAAGAGTTTTTGTATTTTCTTTTCGATGAATATCCTTCGAAAAAGTAATTGCGAGATTTAAGAGCACGAAGTGGATGTTAATGCAGAGTTTTTGTAAGAATGACACAGGTGTCAAAGCCAATGAATTAACAATAAATGAAAACAGTTTAATTTAAGGATATTGATGTCATCGATAATCATAAATCTACATATCTGAGATTTTAAGTTTAACGATAGTTTAAATCGCTATGGTATCCATAACATAGCCATTTAAATGTTAGAAACATTATTCTAAAAAATTCGAATATTATGGTCTCATGATGAGACGGCTAAGTGCAATATTTTGTTGTCGTCACTAAAGAATGTAAGTATGTGGCCGATGACTCGATGTCATGGCGCCTTATGCCGCTTGAAAGGGAGTTAATATTTGAAACAAAGCATCTGGTCACAGAGTGAAGGTACCAACCTTCTGATAAGAGGATTGAGTTTGATTGCTCAGTATTTACTCGGCGATTATTTTCTAACACGTATTAGCTATATATAATTTTTTTCAGAATAAAGATAAATAAGAATAAGAATAAAGATAAATGTTTGAAGAAACGTTTTGCATTTCGTAATTGAACATTCTTTTCTGTGTCTGTACCGAAATTCAATTGAATAAGATTCCACAAATAGGAAATTCATATTCGAAGAATGAAAAAGCCGAAGATTCGTGCAAGCGCGGGCTTTTTTCATAAGCGATCCTGAATGAAAGCTCACCGATGATATTCTTGAATGTTCTAACAGTTCCTCGGAGCAAAGTCGCTTGATACAGCACTGCCATTGGCGGATGTATGGTGAACCGTTAAAAAGTTAGAGGTTTTGCCGTTTCAAAGCGACAGTGTATTCGGGAAATAGCATCGGGAAAGATCGGAAAGGATCGGAAAGGATCGGAAAGGATCGGAAAGGATCGGTAAGGATAGTTCGAGGACGTCCGAGATCTTATTTTCGCGACATGCTGCAACCAGCTGGTACTTTTTGATGAGTAGATAGCTAGAAAATCGTCCCCTGCAGCGACAGAAGTTCCTCGTAGCTGACTCGATAAAAACTAGTTGATATAAGTACGGAAACTAAACTACATGTTTATCTGTGACGATATTATTACAACTAAATTTCTCTTTTTCGCATTTATTGGATGCTAAATAAACTTGCCTACGTTGTCTTATCGTCTTTCTCTATCTATCTACTCAGTACGAAGAATTCTTATCATCGAAGCCGGTACAAATGTACTGACGCTTTGGTAATAAAACATCGTCGAGATTGCCATCCAGTACCATTTTAAAATGTACCTATGTAAATTTGATTTATTATTACGAATCGTAACTTTTTATTTTAGACCGGTATTTTTTTCTTTTCTCTATTGGAAGAGGAGTACTTTCACGTCTACTGTAATTTATTTAGTCGTGGTCAAAAGAAAAAAAGAAGAAAAGAAGACATGTTTCGCTCTCAAATACATTTTCTCTCGTGAACCTTTCTTTCCGTGACTTTTCAACGCGTAAAATCGAATAAAATTCTAATGAATATTTATTATAAATATTTTGAATTCATTCTCAATGTTTATATGACTCCTTAAATCGTATCCTTTACTTGTGAGGATAGTGAAGATCGGGGTAGTTAGCACGACTCATACACATGTGCCCGGTGCAGCCGATACAGCGATTGCCGTATTTTACACAAGTTGTTTGAGAAAATTAACGAAATATACTTCATCTACATTAAGTACTTCAGTAGACTTTCGATTATGTTTTCGATGAATTAATAAGGAAAACAAAATTAAATTGTTTTTCCAAGTTTCCAAGCAATACAATTTTCAAGCAATGAAAAATCGGACTTGAAAAACAATGTGCAATTTCTGCTGTCGAATTGTACTCTAACTTTGTAAGAAAGATACATGAACGAATATGAACGATTTCTATTTTGGTCGAGAAACTACAGTCGGCTTGTAGCGACACTTTTTTAGTTCCACACATGTTTTCTATAATCGCAAGGATTTTGTTCTCGTGATTAACAACGAAACTGCTCGTCGACATTGTTTCTCGGTGATGGACGCAACTCACCCATTGTAGGATGCCGCACGCTGCGTATTTTATTTTAGTACTCTCGGCATCTCAAGCGTCGAATCTGAGAATTCCAATGTGAGCTGACTAACTAGTTGCTCGATATGTATGACTGTATAACAAGAGTTTACTTTTCAACTGTTTATCTATCTATCTAAAAACATCCACACATTCTAATTTTCATGAAATTATTATGACATTGTCGATAGTTGGCACTAGAATAGAGCAACGACGTCGAAGCAGACGTCGATAACATGGACACTCGTTGGATCGAGCACATGTTTGAAATCCATGAGCATATCGCGGCAATGTCTGCTACGTAGAATGTAATGACGTAGTAATAATTAAAAACATGAGGACATTGTCAACCGAGATCCATTTGGACGCGTAAACAATCTTCGAATGTTTTAATCTCCGGATTTCTATCTAAGGTAAGTATAAATTTATAAGTTAATTTTTCAGCTAAATATGATAATACGATTTGATCAAGGCGATCGAATATTATTGACAAAATAACAATGACATCTATAAAAAAAAAGTTTTTTAACCGATGATCGCGATTAGGATGTAGTTCCATGAGGATTGAAGTGTATCTCTCGTGATTGCATCTAAAAATGTTTGTTGGAGTGTCGAGAAAGGTTCGCATTTCCGTGTCATAGTGCGCGCCGAAAGAGCTGGTCGATATTTTTTGTCATCGCGCGCAAAGCAGCTCGGTCGGGAGGAGGATGAGCTTGAGAAAGCTTCGACGAGTGTCTCAAGAAACAAAGAGATGTTGCATCGTTTTCATAGATCTTCTATCGCCTTGTTTTTTCCTCCTTTTCCTTGTTCATAGGTCGATGTAGAGGATAGGTAGAGGTTGGCGACGTTGGCGGTGGCGTCTCTGCTAGAGGTGAAACGTTTGGAGTCCGCCGAAGGGTCGCTAGACAGGACGGTAGACAGGAGTAACGATTGCCACCCCAGCCGCGCCGAGATGGTCGCCCCCTACAGCTGCTTCACCCCTACGTGCTACCCATTCGGTGAGCGCTACTAACCTAGCCGAAAACATCTCCCACTGGCCTTTAAAAGAACGTGAGAAATCACCTCAAGAATTTTGTTGGGTAAATGGATGATCAGGAGGCCTTTCTCGAGCTTAAGAGAGACAATGTTTAGAAAGAAATAGTAAACGCTTTTAGATATATACGCTTTTTCGTGCGGTTAGGGAAATACGACAGCAAGTATTCTATCAGTTATGAAGAAAGAATGACTTTAACCGCAATAACTTCCAGGGTTTATCTTTCCGAGAACTTTTTAACCCGTATACTTACCGTTTCCTGCTAGAAATGATTAAATTCTGTTAGAAAAGGAGCGCGATAATGTTTGAATTTTATATCGCATTTCTTACATTCTTGGACAAAGTGATAATACTAGTAAAATTTGCTGCTTTTCGATAATACATTATTAAATAATATTTTAAATAATATGGATTCTATGGAAACAGTGCGTCTTGGAAAAGTAAACAACCGCTTGGAAAGGCTGTAAATAAAATTTGTAAGTTATACAATTCATCACTATATCGAATGGTTGAACTTATTAAACAAAGGCAAACTCAACTTATTACTAAAAACGAAAAATACATATTCTAATTAATAATTTAAGTTTAGTAAATATCATGTAGATATTTGTAAATTCATCGGTTTTACTATATTTTTGTTCTGTTTACTGAAGAATTTGATTTGATGCAAATAAAAATCATTAACTTTTGCTTTCCAGAATATACTATCTTCATAGAATCCACATCATTTAAAATATTATTTCATAATATACTATCGAAAAGCAGTAAAGTAGTTAGTGCTATGTTATAGTCTGGTAGTGTTTCATATCTATCAGAATAGTAAATGTCCTTAGTAGCATGACTGATCTTTTTGTAATTGGACAATAAGATTGCAGTGTCGTATTTAAATGGGGGTTGTCTGTTAAGATATAAAGCGAACAAATTGTATCTACCACCTACTATTTTGGTCGTTGATCGACCAAATTATCCCAGTTTATATCCGAGCGACGTATGTAAGTACGTGCAGTTCGAATCTCCTTTCTTTTCTTCTGCCGAGAAGAAAAGTGACATAAGGGTCACTTAGTAGTGATAGAATACGTATCGACACGGTCTTCTAAAAATAAACACAACAACTGATAAGTTTCGAATCGAAAGCTTCGTCACGGCATCGTCCTTAGGTCGCTTGTAGATCGTCCCTTACTCGTATTTTCCAATATTTTCAGAGTCCTAAATGCATGAGATAATTGATGAAAGAAAAAAATCGCTAACTGTATTTGAATTTACGCTATTCAAGTATATCGGAATGCGCAATATGAGGTGGATGACACACAGACTGAATAACCATCGCGACGCTTGACCTTGCTGAGAGTACGAATAAAAAGGATAGTTATAACGTTTTGTAAACGAGTTCAGAGTCGCGATCTTTATGCAAGAGAATCCATAAAGTGAAATCGAAAGAGATAACCTTGTGTTTATTCATTGGTAAACTGTTGACCGGTAAAGAAACAGATCGAAGCGATGGTGTGTATGTGTGTGTGTGTGTGTGTGTGAGAAAGAGAGACAAAACGCGGAAAGTAGGAAACGTTTGCGCGTACCTTCCCCTTCGGACGAATCAATAACTGGAACCCTTGAGTCGCGACTCGTCGCGTTTCATCGTGTCTCGTCGCGTCTCGTCTCGTCTCGTCTCGTCTAGTCTAGTCTTCGTTGAGTCGGATATCCACGAGTCAGATCGAGCTAATGTTCGACTACGAATATCGCTTTCGTCTTACGAACCGGATTCAGAGTAGTCCCTTATTCATTTCGCGCGCGGCTAGCCCTACAGATTTACTCCGTGAACTTTTCTTATAGATTTCCAGCATTTATTTTCTTCGCTGTACCGGTCTGCTGACTGCTGCGCCACCGCCGACGTCGTTGTTTCTGCTGCTGACAGAGTGTTGCGGATAAACGAAGGAGTGGGAATATGTCGTCGTCCACGTTAGACGACGCGCGATTGACTCGTCTTTAGCGAAATTATCGACCGTTTTCTTTTACCGTTTTTTAATTAAAACAATCTTTTCTTGAAAGGGATTAATGAAATAATGTTTTGATGTAATGTTGAGAGATATAACGATCAAATTTCTTTTTAATGAAAAAAGTCAAATATGAATGATGACTAATAAGCTAAGTTATCTTTACAAAGCATCGACGATTGTAGAAATTTCTATGATCATTAAAGCTTAGTTAATCGGCATGAAGCAGTCCCTTAGTTACATTTAATAATGCGTTATTAGGAAATTAAGAAACTAGGGAAAAAATGAAAAATATTGTTCTCTAAAACAAGAATGTCCAAAATTTTTTTAGACATTTAAAGAAGGAAACAATTTTCTTTGTGATTGATATTTAAATTAATATTAATTGCTTGTAAATAAGTGGTTAAGCTAATAAAATCTAATGATATAAAACCAAAGATTAATATTGATTATAAATCAGAGCGTACAGAGGGATTGGATGAAAATGCATGAACGTTCCAGCAACATGTAACATGGAGGAAGTCTTTGTCTCTGCGGTTTCTCTCTCTTTCTCTGCTCCCCCCCGTATCTCGTTTTCTTTTTATACATATATACGTATGCTCTCTCCTCCTTTTTCCTTTTCTTCGCTTTGGACGGTCACGCTTTCAAGGTCGATCACATTCAGCTGGGAGATCAGTTGATCGAGTTACCGATAGATGGCATCACGATGCAGTGAAAGTTTAACACGTGGTCTGTCGAAAATCGTGAATTTTTCCACAAAGGTAAAAAGAAATGGAAAATGCTATCATCGTTTATCGATAAATTTCTTTCATTCGGAAGATTTTGAACAAAAATAACAAAAGATTGTCCTACAAATATGGATTTTTAATGTTATCGCAATATTTTCTATATTTTTATTACGCGAGTTAAGAAATATTTCTCGTTACTTTCGCTATTATAAATTAACTTGGAAATGTTTCGTTTGTTAAGAAGAAAAATAAGTAAGGTAAACGTATTAGAATATCGGCTTAAAAACAGCTATTTGGCGCCATCTTCAATAATACACCACAACTTAGTTGAAGCTAGATGAGCGTATGAATAAGAAGACAAGATTGACCTCTATCGTATCTAATTCGAACTAAGTCGTGTTATAGCAAACATGCCTTCTTATAGATGGCGCGTTGATAACGCACCATCAACTAAAATGAATGTCATCCGTTGCCGAGAATAGAAATTTAAATTTTATATCAAATCACATTTATTTTTTTTCTTGGCGAACCATTGATTTGTTTCGATAAAAATTTGCAATCTTAAAAGTACAGACGAACGAGTAAAATGTATATTATAAAAATGACAATTGAAATCTTTCTAAGATTACAAAAATACCAACAATAGACTAGTACATTGTATTCTAAAATTAGTATAAATGGCATGCACTGCTTCTACGTTATGTACATACATACGTCACGCACCTATACATATAGAGTAGCCTCTTAAACAGTATTCTGATTTGATATTGAAAAATTCTTGATGGATGTCAAATTTTTCGTTAATCATATGGTCAACTTTAAATAAAAGAGTAACGTTATGAAGAGTACTAGTTAAGAGGCATCCGAAGAAAAAATCATAAAAGTTTGATACTTGAAAAAAAGAAGAAGAAAAAGAAAAAAGGAGAGAATCTTTAACAGGCAAGCATTCCATATCTACCATAACAGAGCGTTGGATAGCTAGCTTCAAAGTAGTGGCTATCGATTGCCACGAAAGGTCACACAGGAGAAAAGTCAGAAAAGTTTCTCACAAGTTTTACTTATCGAAAGTTACGGGGTTTCAAAAATTCAATCCGCTAGAAAAACTCGATGCAACTTGCTCGGTCATATGACGGCGAACACCATTTTCTGCTCATAGTCTATTTTTTTACTATGTATCTAAAATTTTGTAGAAACACGACTTCTTTATATTTGCGACATTAACATTATAAGTGTCGATTAATCGTTTTAAATTGTGCTTTCGAAAAGTTTAACGATTCTACTTTATAAATATTTTGATGCAAAGAACAGACAAAGAAAATCGAATCAAAGAGAAAGTAAAATGAAAGTAACTTTTTAGAAGAGTATTATGAGCACGTATAGTTAATATATTGGGTCCAAATGATGAATGCGTCTATTTCTTTTTAACCATTTGCGCTGGAATGATGTACTATAGTCGATTACTGACAGACGCAAAAATGCCATGTCGCTTGATAGTCATATGACTTATTGATAAGTTTTCTAATACAATTTGGAAAAGTATCGAACGGTTGAGTATAATATTTTTATAAAAGTAATTTCAAGTATCAGTTCGCTGTAAATTATATTGGACGCGTTTGCACGCGCACCATTAAGAAGCTGCCAGCGTAAGTGGTTAAGTTGAAAGATGGGAAAAAGAGATTAAAACAAAGAGTTTAAGAATTTAAGAGCAGAGACAGTCGACCGTCGTTTCCAAAGCTATTTTCTCGCAACAACTCGCTCTGATCACTTGTCAATCCTCGCGTATTAAAAAATCTGTTCGATTTATTCGATGAAGAGATTCTTCGAAGAAATCGAATCGGTTCGTCGCGCACAGTGAAACTACTAAATGTCCGATTTTCTTTCAATTCTTCTCGAAAGATGTAATAAGATTGTAAGGACGTAACTTTTCCAAATCAATGCGAAGATTGAAATAATTGTGGATACGTAAGGAAAGAGAAAGAGAAATCGGACGGCAGAGGAAAACATTGCGCGTCGACCTGGAGAAAGACGTGTCGAAATCCAGAGACGGTCGCGGTCGATAGCATCGTGTTCTTCCTCTCAGAACGAGTAGCGGTTGAAACACGAGGTTCTATCCTCTCGTTCCGCTTAACGGTGCGAATCCCCGCGCTCTTTCCCGCGCTCTTCCCCGCGCTTACCTTTCTTGATGAGCAAGCTAGTGACCCTCCGTAGCGCCTCGCGAGTGCTGGACGCGGAGCTGTGCTTACTTTGGCCGAAGTATTTGTTGGGTGTGATGTTCGTCGGCAGGGTTAACGGTTTCCTCTGATCGGCACCGCTCGGTAAGCGTGCATCGTAAGCGTTGTTTAGCCGCTCAAGATGCTCGATTGAAGCAGGTCGCGGTTGATTCACTTTTCTCGTTGGATACCATCCTCGATTTGGTCCACCCGCCAGTCGGAGCAATTCCGTTCCAATTATCGCCTGTTCCAGACCAGGATTGTTCCTTCGATACCTGTATCATTTTACGTCATATCGATGTGTTTCTTTGTTTTTTTTCTTTTCTTATATTTCTTTCTTTTTTTCGGCAAATATTTTCGAAATCGCAATCTTACCCAGTGGTCGCCGTCGTCGGGGCATACCAACCGGGTTGCCGGCGTGTTTGTGCCTGATTCCCGGCATGTTGTGGTGTTCGTGGAATATCGCTGCCTCTGGCAAAGACCGGGGTTTCTGGTAGAGAGCAGGAGGTTTGCATACCCGTTCCGCTAGACGCAACGGCGTTTGTCGTGGTTCCGCTGTTAGTTCCGCCATTGACACCATCGTTAGCACCGCCGTTGATATCGCCGTTGGCGCCTGCAACGTTTGAGGAGCAACCATCTGCCGAGGGCGAGTGTCTCTTTGCGAAAGGACGACGTCTCGACGACGGTCCTGGTAAATCCGTCGGTAAGGTCCTTCTCTCCACCGGCACCTGAGATAAAACAGACGCACGTCGCTTTTTTAATCATCTTTTATTGTTGAAATTTGAGCACAGCTTGAAACTTTCATTTCGTTCTCTGTTTGATGACGGCGCTTGGTTTCAAGAGGCGATCGTTGAAAAAAAATTGCCAATATTTACGACAATACCAGAAAGCCAAGTGGCTGCGCCGTGGAGCACTACCCGGATCGTTGATTGATGCTTTTGCTTTTTTCACCGAGCATTTTACTCTAGAACCACCGAAGCTGGATTATTGAACCGAAAAAAGAATGCTATTTCGAAGATGAGTATTTATCATTATACTTTTCCGACTATCCGCAATGTCCTATGTTTCTCTAATCGCTAGCGAGATGAATACAGAACGAATTTCGGAATGGATGGAAAATGAATTTCGCGCAATTCGTTTTGCCGAGAAAAAAGACTATCGAATTACACGTGGAGGCAGCTCTAGACAGTGAATTTCATCTTTATTTTGTTTTTAGGATGATCGAATCGAAGAAACGTAGTAAACTGATCGATTTCTTTTTTGGTGGACTAATAAGAAAACGGCTTATTATCGGTCATGCAAAATGATGCAGATGCAATTTTTTATTTTCCCCTAGGTCCGTCATTTGCTGGGAAACTTCTTTCTTTTCACGCCACGTCGCGTAATTGGTTGACAGTAAACTTTTCCTTTTCCTTCATTTTCCTTCCGTTTTCCTTTCAATAATAAGGAATATCATAAATACATATCGTCGCCTTTGTATTCTATCGCATTAGAAAAAGTTTGTGAGACGATATCTTATTGATTCAACATTTTCTTCTTTCAAGCGTTCCTCGATTTTTAGCTTCAAAGATTGTTTGTCAATTGCAGATGTTTTTTAATTTCTTCGTCAGTGTTTGATATTCTCTTTTTTTCCATTTTTAATTAATAATACGTGTGCGTTAAGAAGTCAGGCGAAATAGGGTCAACATTATGCTAGCAAATTAAGAGAGAATCTAACAAAACAAAATAAACGTAAATTCTGAGCATCTCTGATTCTTTTTCCCTTTTGCCCTTCTTTTTTGTTTTTTTTTGTTTTTTTAAATTGAACGATTAAAGACTACCGGTTGACAAGTCATCGTCCATGGAGGAAAAGCTACCTCTTTTAATTATTATTATCGTTTTTTTTTTTTCTATTTCGTAGTACTTATCCTTTGAGCTAACTGCCTACATCGTGTATGACACATCTACCCCTTTCCGTTCCTGACTATCGTGGGTTGAAGATCGGTTTTTACTTGATTCCGCTCTTTGGATGGTCCTTTGTATACCGAGCGTACTTTTAGTTTGTTCTTTTGACTCGTTCGACTTCCCGAGGCTTGTTTCCTTTTTCAATCGATCCTTTGAACACAAACGTTTCGTGCAAAAATAATCAAATAGAAACACTTACAATCATTTTTACGATGAAAATTGGAAGAAGAGAAGTTTTTGTCATTCCATTTTCATAAATTGATCTATCAATGTATACAGATCGAGTAAACGTAACGAAACACACAACTAATATTATTTATCTTTTTTTAAATATAAACATCAAAATAAAATTGAGATTAGATACCGAGATTTTCTTTTTTGTGAGTTTGTGATTAGCTTTTGGAATTACGTGTCCTTCTCAGTGATAGTCGTATTGCGATGATTCACTGCGGAATTATTTAGAAAGAGATACGACGAAAGGCGCTATTACGTTAACTGCACAAGTTGGCCGGCATCCAGCCGACTTTTCGGCCAAAGTCACGCTAGTTTAGGCCGACTTTTCCTCATTTGCCTTGACATTGAATTTCTTTCTCTCTTCGCATCGTTGTCTTTTGTTGCGTATTTACTATCTCCTCCTTTTCCTATTCTTTCATTGTCTGATCGATCTTAATCTCTAAAGAAATTACTAGGCATCCCCAATATCATTGAAAAGAGGAAAGAGAAAAGAGAAAATAAGAAAGAGAAGGGTACCTCTCTTCTCGAATTGCCGGCGGTCGGTGTACGTCTACCACGAGAGAATCCGGCATCCATTGATCTCGTATTAAGCGACGTTTGATGATCTTTGACATCGACGATTTGGCCACGATGCGGTGGCACCCGTGGTCTATACTCCATCGTTCTGTTACCGTGACTTTTCGACCTGGTGCTGATTACGGCATTTTGTCCAACGTCTGAGTTTTCCTCGTCCGCTTCCTCCACCGGTGACGGCGGCAATGGTGGAAACTCGAGCACTTCGACGTTGACCTGTCGAATGCAAGCACGCTTTTAGTCGTCTTTCGAAACCACCTCGATGCGACTTCGACAAGATAATTCTATTATCTTTTCTTATTACCTCGTGGAAGGAAAGTGAACAATGTTCTATTATTCGCACGAGCGAAAAGATGACGTGATTACACTCGACGATTACTTCCTTTCTATGTCGGATTTTTTTGAGATAAATCACGCGTAAATCGAACGAATTATTCGTTCCATATATATTTCCAACTTGGAAAGAAAGCATTCATCGCTTCGAAAGTTCGATATCCTACCTGAAAGTTAGGATTTTTTGAGTCCTCGAGTATGGCGTCGATTACGTGCTCGATTTGTTTCTGATTATTTTTGTGACTATCAATGCCATTTTGTCTCAACCTCCTACCGGACGCGTAAATGTCCGTTCCATTTGCTTTTCGTCGATCAAAATCACTCTCGGAGCTCATCTTGGAAGTTTCCGAATCGGAACTCTGTTGTTTTCTGTTTCTCGGCTCATACGGACTGCCTAGCGTCTTCCGATTCGTTTTTTCGATAGAATCGTTTTCGTAACTGTTTCTTCTAGAAGAAGCTCTAATGTCGCCATTTTTCCATCGCTTGCCCTCGCAATAGGACTCGCTGTTCTTAACGTTTTCGATCTCTTTTATGGCGTCGCTGACCTTTTCCAATTGTCTACGATTTTCGTTAAGAGCCTTTTTCACGATTTGATCTTCGATCAAAAGATTAACGGGTATTTTCGAGGACAGCCGTTCATTGCTCGAACTCATGAGTTTCTTTGATCGTTCTTCGAGGAGAAAATCGATTGGCTTACCGATATCTAAAGCTTTTGATGCCGAAATAGAAAGTGGAATACCACCGTTGCATTCTCTATCTCTATCAATGTCCAGATCCGTTGAATCTTTATTTATCGAAAAATTCGATGGTAGCTTTTCGTGAGAAATTTCGCCCATCGGACGTTCTTTCATTTTGCTGAATAATTTTTCTGACGTTTCTTCCTCTTCGATCATTATGTTGAGATGAGCTGCTCGATCGTTGTTCTCGTCCTCGTCTTCTTCTTCCTCTTCCTCCTCATCGTTGCTGCTGGTATTGTTATTATTGTCGTTGTTTATGGTCAGAAGGGAAACAACTCTAATGAGATCCGGAGGTGGGACGATTTCTGCAAATTCACTTGGTAATTCGACGAGATTCTCTGATTTGTCCTCCGACAATCGTCTTTTTCTAGTATCCAGCTTATTCTCTTTTAGGAGACTTTTTATATTGTCAAACGTGCTCGAGTATCTTTTCACGTCCGACAGTCGATTGTCGTCGGCGTTTTCAAAGGACAGGCTCTTCGTTTTCGTCGCTGTCTTCGGCAGGACCTTTCGTTCCTTTTTACGACCTCGTCGTATTACGTAAGTACCGTTTTTGGTCAGATTTTGCGGACGAATCTGATCGAAATCGTTCGTTGAGGAGTCCGAGTATGGCGAAACCAGATCGTCGTCTGTCGTCGAGAGCCGTGGATCTTGCCAGTCATCAAAATCACGAAATTTCGACGCCGATCCGACGCCTGAAAAAAAAATCACAGCCATTGAAACATTTCTAAACCCAGATGTAACACGACAAATTAGATGCAATTTTCTATTGAATGAGCGAGTAATATGCTTAAACTCTAGAGTAGAGAATCATAAATAAAAAAAACTTACTAGAAACGTCGCTGCTCTTTCGACGTCTCCTACCGACGACCTTGGTGCTACCGGGTGCATAAAGAGGGTCGTCTTCGAGCGAGACTTCCCAAGCGATCGAGTGTCTCTTGCTGATGGATGGTGGTGGAGGTAAGAGTTCCTCTAAGGAATCGTCTGAAAAGCGTTCCTCCTCGGACTGAGTCCGAAAATCGGTCGAATTTCTCGTTGAAAAATCCGAATTCCTCGTCGAGAACATATCGGAGTAACGTTCTTCCGAGCATCTGTCGGATGTGCGCCCTGAGAATCTTTCGTTCGAATCTGCTCGTGGCAATGAAAATGACACAAAGTCGAGGTTTCTAATAGAAAAGGGATCGGAGGTGGGTATGGATACGTGGTCGTTTGAGCTAGCACTGGCTACGGCTATCGAGAAGTCCGAATGGAATCTTTCGTTCGAGGTCGAGTTGGCCCTAGAAAAGTCTGAGGAGTCGCAATTTGCCCTCATGGAGAACCTTTCAACGCTGACCGAGCTCGAGCGAGGTATCGAGGATCTTTCGGACTCGGAGTTTCTCGAAAATCTACCCTCGCTTGAGTCCGAGTCGTTTCTTCGTCGTCTAGCTCCGATATCTTGTCCTCCTCCGCCGTCGCCGCTGCCATCACCACCATTGCTACCACCACCGATACTGCTGCCAACTCCCTCTCCTCCTCTATGATTACGATTGTGACTGTAATTATGATTCATCAGTAATCTATCCTCGACGCTACTCGATTTCATAATCTCGTTTTGCCTCTGTTTTCGCAAATGAGACGTCCGATCCTTGTCGGCGTTTTTGCGACGACGATCCCTCTCGAGATGTTCCTCCGAGGAACGACGTCTTACTTCGCGATGCTTCTCGATAGTGCATGGATTCGTCCGCGGTGGGATCCAATTGAAAGAGACCTTACCATCATATGGTAAGCTCGCGAACTTGCTCGGTGGACTCGAGCTAGATTCACGTTTTATTCGGCCCATTTCAGCGTTACCGTTCTTCCATCCGTACGGCCTTTGATGCCGGGTCTTGGGCTATACCAAAAAGCACATGACATTACGATTTATACCAAACGTTTATCGTATTTCAAGAAACTTCCCGTTTTTCCTTTTTTTTTCTCGATGAGAGCCTCTATATCGCTTGAGATCAAAGAAGAGAATACTCACAAGAGTCGTTTGTGTAGTAACCGCGTTTCCGTGCCGCATGCTATCCTCCATTGCTATCATCCATTGCTGTCGGTTGCTTCGCCGTTCTGACGATTGGCTTGTTCTCTTTGACGAGTTTCCGGGGGAGACTCTGATAACAGATAAAAACGCAATGCGTGCTTCGACTAAAATACGAGACATATCTCCTTTTATCGTATTCGTTCTCTATCAGTTATAGAGAAAATTTGATTTTAGGAAGGCTTATAGCTTTGTCCTCATTGAACTAACAAAGAGGAACTTTTTGCCTCTTGTTGCTGTACATTCCCAAACATTTCCAATAAACATTAATTTATAAAAAAGTTTTGTCCACATTGAAGTGAAGGAATATTTGGGAATAATTTTATTTCAATTTCAAAGCTATATTTGCTCTTAGTAATAAGTTGTTTATATGCAAATTAGTTTGTTTTAAGCTGCTAACTATGACTGAAAAAGACTTGCTCTTTGCAACTGCAGAATGTTTTGTTATCAGTGATAAAGAAAAGGAGAAACAGAAACTATGGATTAGATCAAATCTAGACCGTCTGAACGATGCAATTTTTTAATGTATTGAAATATGATGATTTTTTAATAGACGAGCACCTCTTCTCCATACATTATCTTTTGCTTTTTTGCATTTATAATTTTTATTTGAAGGGCTCTACAAATATTCGTATTTTCTGTACTCTGTGATTAACTTAATAATTAAATCATTGTTCTATGTCAATATTCCGGACATATTATGTATGTATAGACTGCGTTGATTACATCGGCAATGCGTTGTGAAACGGGCGACAAAGAATACAGATCCCGAAAGAGTATTTGTTTCTGCTGTCACGCCTTGACGCTTGTTTTCTATTTTCATTTAATCTTTACAGCTTCGAACAAATAGCAATACTTATTGTCGATAACAAAAACACGAATAAATCCGGAGAAAGATTCGACAACAAGCGGCAACTTTTTTAAGATACGTGGTATATCAACAAAAAGTACCTCTTTCTTGCTTCAGTAAGGACAAGGCTTCATTATTTACTTTTCTACCCGATTACTTGGTATTAATCATTCTAACTATGAAATGTTGCTACGTGAGATATTGAATTTTTACACATTTATAATCATGTATATAAAGTGAAAAATTAAATGTAAATAACAAAATAGATCGATAAACTTTTTTATGGATGTCTAATGGTAAAGAAAAAAAAAAATGAAAGAAAGAAAGAAAAAGGCATCGCACAGAGTGCGATTAGGTAGAAAGAAAATACTGAAAAATTCTTTTTTAGTTTGAAAGAAATAGAGTAGACGATGAAAAAGCTCCTGAAAGGTAGATGGATAAGTGGCCAAGTTTCTTGATGAAGAATGAGTAACAGGCATGAAACGTGGTGATTAGGATCGACGGGTCGAAGGAAAAGTAACTTCAGTATTGACGTCAGTACTAGCGTCGATATTGATTTCGGCGCCGATGTCGATGAATTTCCTTTTTTCATCGAGTCGAACTTTTCCACGAGGGAAAAGAAGAATTATGCATAGTCAAAGTACACTCGAACGTGTTTTCCGATATTTTCCTTCCTCTCTCGCTCTTCGTTTTCGCCTCGATTGTTACGACATTCCGGATACAAGCATTGGAACGTTTACTGTCGAGGAAATTCGAGAAAATCTCGATCAACGTGTTGAACGCACGGAGAAGATAGACAGGTGGAGAGAGAAAACGAGAAAGAAAAAAAGAAAGAAAGAAAGAAAGAAAGAAAGAAAGAGAGAGAGAGAGAGAGAGAGAGAGAGAGAGAGAGAGAATGGAAGGAGAAAATCGCTCGTGAACGAAAAACTTAGTCGTCATTCTTCTTTTTCTTTCTACTTTGCGCTTCAAACGGAAGTAACTTTGAGAATATTGTTCCGTTCGAATAAAATTTCAAAATCACATTCGAAGGTAAGGGAAAGAGTTGTTTAATTTTTTTGTACAAACGTAAAATTGTTAAAAATTGAAGAAAAAGATAATGCTAGAAATGACCTTTGTTAACACAATCATGAGGGTGTACTAAGAGGACTGTTAATCTCTATTTACGTCACGTAGAAGCGGAGAGTAATTACGCCGATTTTTCAAATTGCCATTCAAGGTCTTACCTCGAAGGTCGGAGAATATTATCAAAGTTCTTGAGAAAGTAAATTTAAGGAAAGTTAAATTTTCTTAACTATAAAGTTTCTTAGTTTACTTCAGGTATATTTCGGTTTGACTTTAGTGGTCAAAGTTCGAAAAGGATACTTTTGATCCGATACAAGTATGAATAGACAACTAGAAAAAAAGTACTAAAATAAATTTCTAAGAAAAGTATCATTTTTCTTCTTGTCATAAAAATAAGAATGCGATGCTTTTAACAGTTAAATTAAATAGCTGTTTATATCGGTAGCAAAAACTTTTTTTTTATAGCAATCCTTCATAAGTTGTATGAGATGACAAGATAAAAAAACAGAAAAAAATAAAAGATAAATTTAATGTGAATTAAAATTACTTTCAATTAATTATCTTATTGGCAGAGAACTGATTGCGTAGCTGAACTTACATAGGTAAAAGAGTCGAAATGATGCGTTCTGCTTCTTCAGGAGGCGGAGGAAATTCCTGTGATGGTAATCCCGCCGAGTCTTGTGGTTCCGGGCAATCCGGAACCGGACGTAATGCTACCAATGCCATTTTCGCTTTCCGTCCATTCATACTCATGTAACCGTCATCTTCCGATTGATGTCCTATCGAAAAAAAAAACCACATTCAATTTTCTCAATTCTTTATAGTTCTAACATTTTATTTTTTAAACTGATCATAATACATAAAAAGCTTCAAAAGTGATATTCTGATAACTTTGTAATTTAAATAGAATTTATATAATTATTTTTTTCCTTTGATAAAAATACTTTCTGAATTTTTTTATTTTTTTCGTCACACGTCGATACCTCTCGATCAATTTAATATCACAATTCGAGAAGAGATTCAAACTAAACTGTAAATAGCTCTCCTAGAAGTTAATAGATCCTTGTTAACGGTTCCATGCAATTAATAATACTTGGTTATTATTGCATTGGCTTATAACGTACGTATAAAGCTTATTCTATAGAAATTGATTAAACAAGCGCAGGAAGATAAGCATTATGTAGTTTCCTGGCTCTTCCCATGTTTGTAAGCAAGGCGGCTGCGAATAAATTTAATGATCTATTGTTTCGAAAAACAAGAGAAAGAAAAAATATTTTATATAATGATTTGAGAATTATCGGATTATATATATACGAAAAATCATTTGAATTATTTTAAATTCTTAAATGACAACTATGTATCATTACATAATCTGTATTCTTATTTCAACGTTCTCTAGATAACTTTAAAAGAAAATAAAGAGAAAGAAAAGTAGAGCAATTATCAGAAAAGTAAAATAAAATCGATGCATTAATGAGAATATGATATTGTTCTTTTCCTGATCTGTACCAGTTAGACGAATAAATGTGATAGATAAAAAGGCAGAGAGTAGAATAGAAGGGTAGAGGACAAAAAAAGGAAGGAATCATGTTTTATAGTACCTAAAGACGGACTCTCGTCGTCGGGTGTAAGACCAATACTGGGTTCCGTACTGCTACCACAACCTCCGAGGAAACCGCCGACGATACCTTCACCTCTTTCGTCGCCAACGACTTCGTTTCCACCAGCACCACCTCCTCCACTGGTGCCACCTCCGCTACCGTCGTCACCGCCACCGCCACCGCCACCGCCACCGCCACCGCCACCGCCACCGCCACTGCCGCCACCACTGCCGACTTCGCTTTCTGCCTCGTGCTCGTCGTACTCTGAGAGCACTTTGTCCAGTAACTCGATCGATCGTTGTACATCGTCACCTCTGGAACAAACGTAACGTTCGATTCTATAGAGATTATGAGACTTTTAACGCCCGATCATCTTCAATCCAAATGTTTCACCGTCCGCCATTTTGAAAATATGTAGCTATATTTTCTTAATTTCTTCAACATGATTCCTAATAAAAGATTAAACATACCATTTCTCCTTTATTCCCATCAAGAGACATAGTATCTCTTTGCGTTTCCTTTTATTCTTTATTTATTTGACGTTGAATCCTCTTAAGAACATCCTTATGATGTTAGCTATACGTACGTTACCAGATTAATTATTTCGTTCCCCTCGACATCCGCTAATGCGACTGTCTTCCTGATAAAAGCAGATCTATTTTCTTTCCCCACTCCACTACGTTTCTTCCCCAAGTGTACATTGTAACTTTGTTCTTTAGCTTCCTTCGATGTAAAGAATTAATTATACAAAGTCTGTGTCACTGTTCATCTATTATTAGCTCATCTCTCTAATAAAAAAATCTGTACTTTTCGAAATTCATTCCTTAAAATTCATTTGTTGATTTTTTCAATAAGTTTATCAATTAAATTGCGAAGAATTTTGAATTGTTCCTTCCCAGAAGCGAAAGAGACATGTGCATCGTTCAATAAATTTCGTTATGAGGCAGTTTTACTTTTATCTGGAACCGCGCTTACGGATACGTTCATCGTGATTTACCATGAAAAAACAATTATTCGACCTGCCGCCTTAATCGTTGTTATTTAATACCGTTTGATCGAATCGAAATGAAGTAAAAATCAGGTAAGTTACTGTAAATACTTTTTTTTTTCAGAAGGAAAGCTTGCAATTCACGCTTACTGTTGCGAAAGAATACTTTTTTTCGTATTTCTAATCGGGATAAAATTATTTGTAATTTCGACTAATTCATTAAATTTCAATAGTCTGAATCATAACTATCGTACTTCTTTTGGATTGTACAAAAAGGTGAGAAAGAAAGAAAGAGTATAACAAGAGAAAAGAAGAAAAAAAAGGATAAAATAGTCAATTGCAGGAGGTACCGTATTATACATACATAAATACATATATGCTCAGGCTTTCGTAGGAGGTTCGCTTAGGGCAAAATACGTTTGCGAAGGCTAAAAAACAAAGGAAAGGAGGCACACGATTAGAATAGAAGCCGAGGGGATGCATGACGAGCCACTATCCTAGTGTGTGCGAATCTAGAATGCGCCAAGTTCACCCTCGGCTCGACTGCAGCCAACGAAATCTCCCGTCGAAAGGCGACTCTCGTGAATTCTTCCGTCATTCGTTCTCGCATGCGTCCGGCTTTTTAAATAGCACGGAACAGCTTGCTGTGTCAGGCTCGTTATGCTCGATTTATAATTCAAGATTATAATTGGTCCGAAGTTAGGTGGGTTAAAAAGGATGTCTCACCTGAAGCAACTCAACCGCAACGACCTCTTCTACCTCACTTGTGTTTCATGAAAAACCGACAAGAAACATTCTTTTTCAGACTTCTGTCGCTATTTTTGTTTTTTCACTCAATGAACGTTTGTTTTCAAACTATTTCCTATTTCCTATTTTGTCATTCTATCAGAACATTTTCTCGTAATACCTTTTATCTGAGATTTTTTATTATAGATAAGATAATAGCGTTTGAAGATAAAGTACGATGACTCACGCTTGCCACAGATTGTATCGATCATATCGATCGCATCGATCTTTCGTTTTCTCGACACTCAAGAGACAGAGTCGATCGTTGTACGTGTCATGGTCTATCTTATGTATGTCAAATCTGTACGATAAATATAACACTGATATGCTTGCCATAGAGAAACTCAATATCTACCTCTCAAACAAATCCATAGAAAAATCGATACAATTGCTATTGTAAGTTGCTAAATCAGAGAAGAGAGAATTAAAGAGTAGATGGTTCTGAGCATGCATATGTATCTTAACATAACAGTACTTATTCGATTCATTTCGATCGATTTTTGGTAAATCTGCTATTTTAACGTTTATCCTTCGGATTTGCTTTAGCCTTCGAATAAACGATTCTTATGAATTATACATAGCAAAGTTACTCGGTTGTTTGAAACGCTTGCGGCACTGATTCCGTTTTCATTCACACCGATCGCGGATATATTTTGTAATACTCGACGTTCAAATTTCCACGTAAGAACCAAGTTAGGGCAGAATTTCTAAATATTTATAAGCAATTGCGGCACCGAGAAGTTTATGTTAACGTTAACTGAAAAGCCCGATAAACAATTCCTTCTCTCTTCTTTTAATGGACTCAAAGAAATTGCGTGGAAAATAATTAGCCAAGTAGCGCATAATATTACTAATATGTTCCGATCTTGAAATGGACTCTTGAATGGACTGAGTTATTTCAAGAGAGACTTCAAGTACATCTCGTTAGTCGACTTTTCGATCTTCACTAACGACAAATCTAACTTAACGATCGAGTCTTCGATCGTTCATATGAACTCTGTCCGCGATGTTTGATGTCAATTTGACAATTGCTCGTTATTTTCAAAAAACTTTCGAATCGAACAAACGAATTTTTCTTCTCGATAATCATTTAAAAGTTCTGTAGTTTCTTCTTCGACAAAAGAAATTGATATATTTTCTATATAAAATCTATGAAGAGACAGATATTTTTCGTTTATTATTCAGATGGAATGCCTTATACAAAAGGTTTCTTTTTTAAACGCGTTAAACTTTCATTGAATTTTTACGATGACACGCGAGATAAAAATATGACCCTTTAACGAAATATGAACTTTCCGATCTCTTGTGACTTTTTGAAAACGTTCCTATACGAAAGCTCGGGTAATCGTATTGAAAGCGTGTACGTTCGTAAAATATATTTTTTCGACGCAGGATACAGATCAAACTATAGACATGGTAGGTTTTGAAACGAGCGTGCACATATCGAGTGCTAAAGGAGAAGAGTGCTCGAAAGAAATGTTTTTTCCGACGAGTCAAGTGCTCATCTAACTTTTCCAATCGAGACTACCAGGGAAAATATGGAATTCGATTGGTGAAATACATTTTCAGAAGAGTTAATTAGCTTAAACGCAACTTTTTAAATTACTCTCAACCATCACTTTCTACATGTTTCTCGTAAGATACATCTCAATGAGAATTTGAACAAAAGTTTTGAAAAAAGATATAAGTGACTTTTCATAGATCGTACAACGCTGACTTTTCCGTAGTTAAGCAAATTCTTGAATGCTTACTTGCGAGGGGAACGATGTCGGAAATAAAATTACGACTATATTCCGTCAATATTCCGCGTCAAAGAAGATCTAAATCAATATATAGATGTATTTAGATAATTTTTTGATTTATTTGGGAGAAAGTATTTGTGTTTCACTTTATAAGACTTTTGTTTGAAGGATGAAAGAATAAGTCAGATAAGCTTATCGTTTTCAAGCCACGTTCAACGTATAGATTATCGGATCAATGATATCCTTCTTTTGTGTCAAATCTTTTATTCCTCGTGTGATCGATTAGTCGCGACGAATTACGAGTTGAAAGTGATATTGAAATTAATCAAATCTATCGATGTTGTCTGGCAAAAGCAAAGAATAAATAAGATAGAATGGAGTGAGTTTAAAAAAACAGCATACGAGGTCGTAACTGCAGGAAAATTGAATCGAGAATTTATCGAAAATTCGCGAAACTACCTTTAGTTTAATTAACTCTTTGGGCCGTTTCGATTATCGAGAGTCATTGAGAGTTCATGCAGCGCTGATTTTCGCGTAGACCAAAAGCAAGGCTATGGGTTCGCTTATTTACCTTTTCAAGACCTTTCGCGAGCCCTTTTCTCTTTGTTTGAGTGGTTCGAGTAGGTATTTTATCGTCGAGTGAGTTGGCATGAGTCCGGTAAGCCAAAGCAACTCATCCTCCTATCTGGCATTTGAGCAAACCTCGCACCTTTTTACTTTGTAAACGTTCTACACTGCATACCTTGCCTTAAGTACTTCTATAAATGTAATTTTCAATTACGTTTTTATTTCCAAACGCAGAAAGAAAGACCTTCGAATGTCGCTAAACGTATGAATGAATGGTGAAGATAAAATAGAGAATGGAGTCCGTAAAGTCGGTAAATTATGAAAAATTCTTCTTTCTCATTCTTCTTTATTGTTATCTATCCAATAAATCGTGGTGTGAAGGAATAAACCTAGTTTACAGAAAAAACAATATTTATTTTGTGAATTCATTTGTTTTTGTACGTATAGTATTGATAAGTTTAAAGGAAGTTTATTGAACGTTTACTGAACCAATTGTAAGTCATATATATGTACGTATAAATAAATTTTTATTTATTAGCTTTACGACGAAGCAGTTCGAAATGTAATATGTGATTTAAAATATCTTTGATATATGATAGCAAGCACCTTCATTTCATACTAGTAAGCATTTGTGAAGAGATTGATCCAAGGGTCTGGATACCTTAATAATCAGAGCAGCCGCCTGGAAAGTGGAAGACGGGTTCGAGACCAGGTTCCAGATTATCTGACAGCCCAACTTTTTTCACGAATCCTACAATTTAGTGTCAAAAGTGAGATGGAGGCTAGCATCGTTATATACTCGGAAATTGTGTAGTAATACACGAAAAATTAATAAAAAAAGAATTTATAAAGACGAAACGACGATGGAAGCGACATGAACGGTAGCTAAGGTAATTAGGAAGACGATTTTAACAGTTCAACATCTTTAAAAAGTTTCAGATGTAAAGATATAAAGATGTCTAAAGAACATTCGAGTCGAATGTGTGTGGGAGCAAGCACTTCCATTTTATACAAATCATTCGTGAAGAGATTAACCGAAGGCTTTGAATAGTTTAATGCTTAGAGTAGCCACCTAAAAAGCGGAAGACACGATTTCTCGAGTCACTATAGTCCAATTTTTTTCACGAATTCTACAGATATATCATCTGTGTATTTACATTTGTTCCACGAAGTTTTCATCTTTCTCTTTCTCTTAAGATAAAAATCAAAAGCCTCCCTTCGAACAAACGAG